TGTTCACAAAAGAGTAATTCAGAACTGCTTGAGAAAGTGGCAAAAACAATGGAGTATTCTGAGGGAGATTTATGGCAATGTGTCTTGTACTGCAAATATAATTTTATAATTTAAACATTCACCAGATATTCTAATCATACTGCATATATTATCTACATATATGCATGCTTCCAATGTATTTCTCTATCTTCCTGAGAATACGGCTATACTATATTTTGAATGTCTGCTCAAAAACTAATTGTAGCAAGATGCAATGTCATATACCTGAAATCCCAGCACTCAGGAGGTTGAGAAGAGGACCAAGATCTCTGAGCAGCCTGGACTATATAGGGTATTCCCTGCCAGCCTGTGACTACCAAATGAGACTCTGTTCTGAAACTCAAAAAACAAACAAAAACAACCAACCACCACCAAGAAAAACAAAACCTCAAACTCTCATAGCTTTGTTGGTTTTACAGTATTAAGAGGTAATACCTTTAAAAGATGATTGTGTCACAATGGCACTGCCCTCCTGAACAGATTAATGTCATTACTGAAAGAATCTACTACTTTAAGAATGGCTTCCTGATAAAAAAAGATCAATCCAATCTGATTTCCCTTCTCTTTCCACATATACATTTGCCTTCCAACATGTTATGACACAGCATGAAGGTCCATGCCAGATGCTAGCAACAAGAGTATATGCTAGGCTCTAAAACATGGGTCAGAAAGTTTCTTTGTTTATAAGTTGCCCAGACTGTGCATTCTGTGCATTCTGTTAAAGGAACAGAAATTATGAAGATAAATATAAATCACAACATCAGAAGAGGAACTAAGTTGTATTCTATGCTATCTCCTCAAAGCCTAGAATGTGACTTGACATATATTTGACTCATTATGAAGTAACAGGTTGATTTATATTTTAAAGGAACATTGAAATAACAAAAAAGAAGTTCTAGAAAAAGAAGAAACAAAAACTCATTACAGGATTTGGAGGATAATGTAAATATGCAAATCACACATACAGCAGAACACCAAAATTAGAAAGCATGACACCTAATTATGCAATCTATCAAAAACATCCTAAATCTGAACAATGTGTGAAGAGAGATAATACAATTCAAAGTTATTTCCTACAACTGCAATTGTTTCTCAACTGAATGGACTAAGTCCCCATATAATGCAGTAGATCATCCTCATATGGGCTCAGAACACCACGGACACAGAAGAGCCAAGTATTTGGAGCACAAAAAATAAAGTAATAACTTCATAGAAATTGTCAAAAGTCAGAATAGCACTGGACTTTTTACAAATACCAATGAAAAATAGGAGTCAATGGACCTTCCCAAAACAGGACTCTGTCAAGTTTGTACTCCTATAAGCATGCAATTGTTAATGAAGTAGGATAGAGCCACTTGCAACCATAAAGGGACTCAAGAATATTCAGTGTCATGTGCTCTTTCACAGGAATCTACCAGAGGAGCCATTCTATCAAATGAGGGTTTAACTACAAATGGGGCAATTGTGAGATCTAAAAACTTACAAGACAGGTGAGAGGAACATCCCACAGTGATAAATTGTGCAGTTGGTCTGCTGAGTGGCCTTTCAGATCAAGCTGGAAGTCTTGGAGAATTCTTCAAGAAATACAAATGTAGGGGCTGGGGATTTAGCTCAGCGGCATAAGTGCCTGCCTTGCAAGCAGCGGGTCGTGAGTTCGATCCCCGGTACCGATAAAAAAGAAAAAGACAAAAAAAAAAAAAAAAAAGAAATACAAATGTGTACGGACACAGTGGGTAGTAGAGATTTACACACTAGCAGATAATTTCAAAGTAAAATATAGAGAAAACAATGCAAATAAAAAGAAACTAATGTGGAAAACAAGGTGCAGGAAAGGAAGCGCAATCAGAGTATACTACATGATTAAGTTTTTACAATGTTTAATACCTATACACTGAAAATAGTCATAGTTACAATATACCAAACTGGGAGACGAAGACATAAAATAAAGATGTATGTACTAGGAGTAGGCAACAGTGAAAACCTAAATCTTTAACCACTGTTGGCAGTCAATAAAAAATTTAAACTAGAATTTGAAGAAAAAGATGTAAATGCCACAAAATCACTTTTAAAAGGTGAGAGCAGGGTTTGGGATTTAGCTCAGCAGCATCAGTGTCGGCCTGGCAAGTGTGAGGTCATGAGTTCGAGCCCCGTACCCATTAAATAAATAAATAAAAGAAAAAAGTTGAGGATGTGAAGGACTGGGGGTTTCCACTTTTCATTAATAGCCTGATAGAACTCTTTGTCTACTTACATATATTTCTTTAACAAAAATAACTAAAGATCCCACTCACATGACTAGATGTAGTGTTTACAATTTAGCAATATGCATCAAAATATTAAATGTACACATCCTTTGGCCTATTTCTACCAGATATCTGTAAAGAAAATTTTGGTACAAGGCAACTGACTACATAAGAGGATATTCACTGGCCACTGTTTATGGTATTAAAAAATCAGTGCAAAAGACTGAGGTATATACTGAAATATGATACAACCATCATTGTAATCCATTTTTACTACAATGGGAAGATGCCACAGTGGCACCTGTAATCTCAGCTCTCACAAGGCAGCCAGGAGGAGTGCGAGTACAAAAAGTTCAAGGCCAGCTTGAACTGAAGTACACAGTGAGACCCTGACTCGAAAAGAAAGAAAAAAGAAAAACAAAAGGCCCACATTCTGTCAAGCTAGGAGTTTAGGGACTGGCAGATCTAATCTCACATATACAAAACTTTCCATTCACTGGAACTGCTACTTTTCTCCACGCCTTCACGTTTTCCTCCTACATCTTACTGGGTTTTCAACTGATTTAAGAGATCTTATGAGACTACTTTTTAAAAAGAGTCAACTCCTCTCTGGGTTTTTTACAGTTTTTTACAACTCCTCCCTGGACCTTTTCCCTGGGTCTTTTACAGAACAGGCCCTGATGCATGAAACCAGTTCCTGAAGACCTGAATCCCAACACTAAAACTTATTAGCTGTGTGACATCTAATGTCTCAGTGCTTCGGTGCATCAAATAACAAACAAAAATAATAACAGATACTCAAAGTTAACATGCTGGGAAGAAAAACTAATTTATTATGCTGTGTACATTTGCTTGGTATGAGTTAAGAGTCACATGGTAATGATGAAAATTACTTTCTTCTGCATTCTTCTGGATTACCTGAATTTTTTTCACGATACTATGTAGCTTTTGTACAAAACTAGTAACACTTATAAAAAAAAAAAAACAGAAAGGGAAGAAAAAGTACGTATTATCCCACCATTTGCTAATTACCAATGTGTTTCCATGTGAGACCAGCCCAAATCTCTTAGCTGACAATTTGTTTTGTTTATACAGACATATTTCTAAATATACACGTCCTTATTAAATAAAATTTGGGATGGTATCACTTGTCTGTTCTATCACCTCATTCTTTTTAGCTGCTGCATAATATTCTTTGTGGCACGTACCAAGATTTACAGTTTTCCCTAGTGTTAGGCATTTAGAATGTTCTCGACATTTTTTACTGACAGTTTATACCTCAGCAGAACACTTGCCTAGAACTTTAGTTCAACCCCTAGGATCACAAAAACAAACCAAAACAAAATCAATTTCTTGCTACCAAAAAGCTACAATGAATGGGAACAAATACTCTTACATCAATCTATTACATCTATTACAATCTATTACATCAATCTGTTACAAGATTTCCAGGAGTTAATCACAAGGAATGGATTTTTTCAATTGTTTTAGATCAAATATTGAAGATCAAAATATGTATAAAAATTATGTGAAGTGACAAACAAGAATCACTGTATATGCATCACACAATTGAGCCATTATATATAAATATATTTATTTTCCCTTCTGTGGTGCTGTAGAGTGAATCCAGGGATTTGCACAAGCAGTCCAGCACTATCAGTATCCCCAGCCTTATTAGATTTGAAGCCTCATTTGCCCCACTCTGAGTTTGTGGCACAAATATTATGCCACTTATCAATCTTTATTCTTTATAGAGGAAACTAATCTCATTGTTTTGCTTTATTTTTTAATCATTACAAAACTTAGTAATTGCTCATAGATTTACTATTTGTAATCATTTTTCTACAAATTGCTTAATCATCTCCTTTGCCCATTCCTCTACGGTTGACCTGGGATGTTTTGCTGACTTATAGATGCTCTGTGCATATTAGGTACTAACCTACTGCTATTATTCATGTTATAAATAGCATCATGTCTTCTACCATATAAAGTTCTACAATTTTCTTTTTGACCTCTTAGATTAGTAATATCTACGTCACAAGTTTAATATTTTCTCTATATTATTTAAAACTTTTTACATTTAAATCTTTAATCAATGTATACTTATAGTGGGAAATGGGGGTTAGTACTGGATGGGGGCCCAGGTGAGGCCTTTAAGAGATGATTAAGTGATGAGCATTCTTGCTTCATTCATGCTGTCATCACAAGAATACTGAATGTTGGGTTACCCCAAGAGTGTGTTTGCTATAATACCAAGTTCCATCCTCTCTTTCCTCTCTCATACTCTCTTTGTCCTCCATCCATGTGATGATGTGGCAAAGAAGGCTCTCACCAGATATAATCTCTTAATTTTAAGACTTTTCAGACTACAGAATAGAAGGCCAAATAAATAGTTTAAAATCTTCCAAGTGTATAGCATGGTTACAGCAGCACAAAATGGTTTAAAACAAGGGTCTAATTTTATTTTCTTCCAAATCTATAATAACCAGTTGTCCCAACAGTATTTATTTAATAATACAATCTTTCTCCTCTGAACGTAAAGACTTTATTATATATTAAATCTTCATATAGATAATAAGTAGGCTTATGTGCGTGCTTGTATATGACATGGGGATGTGTGTGTGTGTGTGAATATACGTGTAACTGTTTCAGACTTTGTTTTCTCTCAGTATCTGACCTGGGTGAGACAATGGAACCAGGCCAACAGAAATCACTCACCTGACCTTCTTCATCAAAAGCCATTACTACCACAGCAGCTCCAAACTTCTTAATTTTCCTGGCCTTCTCCAAGAAGTCCTCTTCTCCCTCCTTCAAACTAATGCTATTGACTATGCACTTCCCTTGGCAGCACTTTAACCCAGCTTCAATCACAGCAAAATTGGAAGAGTCAATGCACAAGGGCACCTGAGATAGAGGGGAAAGAAAATCATAGCGTCACAAGTCATCATAAATTCCCTCCCAAGGGCTCCTAAGTAGTCACCCACATACTACTGAAGGTTCAGACCTGCCCAGGAACAAGACATACCTTGGCCCAGCTGAGAACATGTTAAAGAGTTCTGGTGACAATCTGGTGTTTGGATTCTGGTAAAAATGTGCGAGTAAATGTGCTTTACCATAATTAGCCAAAACTTGGTATTATGCGTTGGGTTTAGATGTCCCCCCATAGCTTCATATAGTCTTAGGTGGGATTTTTTCAGAGGTGGCTGGATTTAGAGTTGTTCAATCTTTTTTTTTTTTTTTTTTTTTTGAACTAGGGATTGAACTCACAACCTCACACTTGGCAGGCAAGCTCTGTGCTGTGAGTTATACCCCTGACCCTGGATCTAGAGTGTGTAGTGCTATACAGTACAATGGTAGGATTATGGGTATACCCTAAGTAGGCTGGACAAGACAGAAGCACTAGAAAGAGCTGTCTCTTTCTTGTTGCTTTGCTACCTTCTGCATGCCATGAACTGCTTCTCTCTTGCAAGGCTTGTTTGCCATCCACCCTGTCCTGCAGCCAGCTGATTATGGACTGAAATCTCTACAAATCATGAACTAGATAAATTTTTCTTCCTTTAACTTTGGGTATAAGGTATTTCATCTCAATGATAAGAGAAAAGTAACTAAGACAGTTGGTGTCCAATAAATTTTAGTAGTACTTTAGGTGAAAACCAGAAAAGATAAATGTTTGCAGCAATTAGAGGACAAAAGAATAATAATCTCTTAAGTTACATGAGGTTCATGGCTGACAAGGCACTTGCATCATTATAATTCACCAATCAGGTAAAGCAGGTATGACTAGCACATCTCAGATATAAGGAAGGAAACCAGGGTCAATAGTTCTTCAGTGAATGGGGAGCCACCCTTCTTCCCGCCATAGCTGATAAACAGCCGGCTCCCATGACTCTGACTGACTCTGAACTAAACTCTTAGCACTTCAAATTCTCAAAAGGTTCACTCTCACAAGTGATGAAGCTTTTTAAATACACAAATGAAATATAGGTAGTGTTTACCATAACTTCTAACTGTAGCATTTTCTGAAGCCTAATGAAAATCAGAGTTCAACCTGAGACATACCACTCCTTACTTTATAAAAATCAATCTCAAGCCGACTGGGGTGGCACACATCTGAAATTTCACCTACTTAGGAGACTAAGACAGGAGGACTTCAAGTTGCAGCCAGCCCACGCAACTTGCAAGACTGTCTCAAAAAAGTATTTTAAGAAAGGTTATGGTAGAGCTCTTGCGCGGCACATGTAAGTCCCTGCACTCATTCCCCAGGACTGAAGGGGTGAAGGTTCCTCGTCACAGATTTAATGAAGGAGAAATTAGGTGAGATTTCTGAACCCTTCTAAACATTTTGAAAAGACTAACACAAGAGTTAAATTTTCACCTTTTAAAGAACAGGCACAAAAGCTAACATAATGCTTTGATTTAACCTTGTTTCACACTACTGTCTTAACCTGGTAAGCCTAACAAGGTGGTCTCTTCCTAAAATAAGGAAGCACTAAGTTTGCCTGCCAAAGACAGAAGTGGGGAACCAGTAACATGCCAGGAAAGGTAAGGACACCATTCTGAAATGTGAGAAGTGGGGTCTCAGTCTGTCCAACCGCCTAGGGAAATTCATTTAGTTCTCATGACCAATTATAGAAGCCTTGCAAACTGCAAAGCTGAAGGAATATCACCCTTCAAAATCTGGTTTATATCAAAAACATCATTAGTCAAGGAAGCTGAAAATCAGAAACCACTGTGCTCTCAATGTAAGGGGGGAAAACCCGTTAATCCTTGGACAGATAATTGAAGCAACTGGCAAACCTGAGTGATGGAATAAATTCCCTTGCTGAATGTAAACTCTGTACAACCTTGGCAATGTCAGGCTCAGAAGCAATGAAGTTGCAAAATTTGGTCATTGCACTTGGACCGTCTAGCATGCCATCATCCATGTTGACATCCAGCACCTGGGCTCCCATTTCCACCTGCACTTTGGCAACACTCAGAGCTTCCTGAGGGAAGAATTCAAGAAGCATCATCATTAGGAGACTCAGAGAAGCCTAACAAAAATAAATCCTCATCACGTCCAGTAGTCCTTGCTAACTACTCTAGACTCGCCACCCCTACTCTTGACTGTGGGCCTGCTCTCCTCTCCACAGCACTGACCAGATTAACCTTCCTCACATATGTCTTTCACTACATCATTTCACTACTTGGAATCCACTAATGCCATCTGCATATGATAAAGAATCTAAACTCAACAAGTAGTCAAGGAGCGGGCTGCCTTCTCACTTAACTGAACTGCCTGCTCAGCCCCCACTATATACTACAACCAGCCAAATCCACCTCCACAGATCACATTCCCTCTTCCTTCTATGTTGATTTGGACTGTGCTGAAGTCCCATTTCCTTTAAGAAAAATCCTTAGATGTAGTTCAGTGCAAAGACTCTGGGTTCAGTTCACAGTACTGCAACACACACACATACACACACACACACACACACACACACACACAGAGTTTACAGAAAAAGTCTTTAAAGAAATCACCCAGTCCCATAACTCTTCAGTGTTTGCAGAAGCATATAAAAATGAAAGAAAGAATTGAGATAAATTCCAGTGTTTTCACACTTCTAGAAGGCTTCTCAAATCCCTTAATATTCTAGTATACACTGCAACTCTCCAAGAATAAAATACTATAAACAGAATCTCCCACTAATGACCATTTAAGGAAACTCTAGTAAGATCAATGTTCCAATGAACACACTTTGGAAAACACTGCTTATTCCATAATGACTACATCCTCTTGACATCATTATCATATGGCTTATTTCATTATAATTTACTCATTTGTTCATGTCTCCTAGTTACTCCTCCAAACAGATCTGAAGTATCTGGAATCAAAGAAAGGCCTTATATAGTCCTACTTTGAACACTGCTGGGAAAAAATGGACATATTCAGTAGTGCTTTCTAACTAGTTAAGCAGTCTTTTCAAGTCCTTACTGTAGACTTCAATGTAATAAAATAATCAAGTATAAAATCAGTAGTAGGTGTTGATATGTTCAGATTTTTTCTTAGTCCAAGAAAATCAAATAGGAATTTTTATTAGCCTTTGTGAGAGAATAAGAATGAAATTCTCTGGAACAGGCCATAAGGAAACAAGGCAAGGATGTGAGGCAAGGATGCACTGAGAAAGAATCACAACTGAATTCAACAAAATGTTTTTTCCACATCAGCAGTGATTAAATAATGTAAATAATAAAAAAAAAAAGGGCCATTCCCAGTCCCCATTCTTGAAGGGTTTACGTCTAGTTGGAGTACATCACACAGTTGACACTACCATACTAGCACCAAGAAATGACCTTATTAAACAGCAGATACTATTACTTCTACCAGTTTGCTTCTTCCTGAAGTAATCTCAGCTCTCAGAGTCAAATTCATTAAATCAGAGAGATGTAAAGGACACCCCAGAGGAATCAACACATAAGCAGAAGCATTGCCAACTGCAGAACATGGCCTGACTAGACGGGGTCATCAGCACTTCTGAAAGGAGCTAACATGAGCCAGGCTCTGCCGAGGACGCAAGCCTGTAGGGTGGGCAGGTCAATCGGGATAGGAAAGCACCAGACCCTGGTGAAGAACACAGAATGATGCCTCAAGAATTTGGATCTTATTCTGCTTTGCAAAACTGCTGACTAGAGAGGCCAGTCACAGAGTAACTTGGTGTACATTAAATTTTGGTCATCCACAGAGTGACATTACATAAATTTTCCAAAGTAATGGTCTATTTTATTTGTTTCAGTCTACAGTTAATAGGCTTGATCTTTTACCAATCAGCATTTGAAGCACTCAAGAGGAATCAGGTAAAACTTTTCTTGGTTTTCTTTTTTCCTACAATGATTTGTAAGAGGTCAAAATAAAGAGTATTCACTTGCCAGTTAATAGAAATAGGGAGAACCTGAACCCTACCCACCTCATATCACTTCATGCCCCCAATGTAGTACTTTTTAATAAATACTGACAACAGCAGCTTCAGTTGTATGAAGCCTCATCTTCCCACTAATCACCTGCAAACACCCATTACCATCTTCGCACCCTTCCCGTACCCTCTAACAGCACTACCAAAGGCATCGAGCCAGAAACACGGTAGATGCCTCTGGGGTTTCATGAGGATGCTTACTTCATAGTTTCCTGCCATGATGAGTTTAGCAAACTTCTTGGATCCTGCCACATTACAGCGCTCTCCAATGTTAACAAAATTGGTATATTGTCCAATCCTGAAGGGTTCTAGACCTTAAAAGGAGAAGCATTTTTTAAAATTCCTGAAAACACATATCTATGACACAAGACTCACAGACACTAATGTTTTCAGTAAGAAAGAAGTCACTGTACTAAAGCCCATCTGAGCAGACAGACAGAAGACCCAGTGTGGGAAGAGTACTACAATCTGATTCAGGGAGATTCAAATGCAACAAAGGTTATGTATTGTGGCTACATTTCCAGCCAGAACTCTCAAAAGAAGAAATAATTCAGGGCTTAATACTATAACTATCTCTAACTGGCTGAACTATACCATCTCTGAGAAAGAAGGAAAAGTTATCATCATATCCCTATGTGACCAAGTATGAGGGCCAAAAGTCATTAAGAAAGTTGGAAATGAAAAGAAGATTGTTCTATATCTCAGACATCAGCTTGAAGCTGATGGTACAAGTGACTTAAATTCCAGCAACAGAGTATGTACAACTTTGCTCCATTTCCCAAAACAGGAGCAAATGTAATGTAACACATATAGGCAAATTAACTACAGTACAAAGCAACATACAGTGTAGATACAGAAAAGGGTTTGAACTGCTTTTGTTCTACTTATTTTTAAACTATTAAGAGATGGGGTTATGGTTGATACATTATGTCAATTTGAGAAGTTTAGAAGTTTAACTAAAAGATTCAGCAGGGAGCCAGGGATCTTACTTTGTAAATATCCTCATCCTGTTTCAGAGGAGGGCAAGGAGATTTTGTGAGTGCTGCACTTGCCCTGGAGGGGAGAGGGGTGACCTATGTACAATATAAGGGAGGAAAAGAGGTTGTTCCCTCTACTCCCTCTTTGCTCTGGCTGCTTTTGCTGGCTGCTGCCTTGAAGTGTTGCCCCAGTGCCATACCACCCTGCCTTGAAGCCAGCTGATTATGGACTGAAACCTCCACAAACAGTGAGCTAAATAAACCTTTCCTTCCTTCATTTTGGGTGCCAGGTATTTTTTCTCAGCAACTGGAGAAAAGTAACCAAGACAGAAGGCACTCTCATTGGATGGTTATAGGTAGGCTCTGGAGACAAACAGCTCTGAGTTTAAATTACTTAAATGATCAGACAACCTGAGGCTATTTTACATAGCCTGTAAGCTTATAAAATATGACAGGAAAGTATCTACCTCATATTACTGTTGTACAAACGAAACTGAAAATGACTCATAGGCACAAAGTTTAACACTGGCAATCAACACTGGCAAAATAAAAGAATATGGCTTCTGAGTCCTTTGCCAAAACACTAGTTGAAAAAGCAGATGAGGAAATTAATGAATCTAAGCCAACTAACTGTAAAACCATCCCAAAACATTTGTTCAGCCACTCAGAAGACAATCATATTCCATAGTTTCAGCTGGTAATGACCCCAAGTTAGCTTCAGAGTACCCTGACCCTTAGGGCTGAGTGGTTGTACAAAGAATAGGCAAATGGAAAGGCCAGCAAATTAAATTCTTAAGAGTCCTGATGTGAGCTCCCTAACAGCATTTCACACAGTTCAATTCTATTAAAACATCAAATACCTAATACCAAAACAGATTTATTTTGTCTGCAATTTATAAAAGAATTAAAGCAAGTTAAAAACAAGTGTTTGATGTCACTATTAATATCTAATTGAAGGTGATTTAAAGAAATTTAGAAATAGAGTAAGAAATTAAAATTCAAGAAAAAAAGATTTTTACATATAAATTCTAAAAAGAATAAACCGTATGTAAATGGTTGTGTTGTTCAGATTCCAATGAAGGTCTCATATCTTTGTTACAAGTGCTTGGCTAAAGCAACACAGAACTGCAGGTTTCAAGGATAAGGCAAACCTTTCTGCCACATTTTCCTCTGACAAAGTCATAAATCATAAACTCCACCATTCCTAAGTTCATGTTCTACATTCTGGAGCACAAAAAGAAAACAACAGTACCACAAAGAGGTATGTTTATTGACTCAACTGGGGCTAATTCTATGAATATGTTCCAGCTGAGAAGAGTTGGTATTACTCTTCCATCACTTTTATTTTGCTTTTCTTAGGATAACATATGAAATAAAAATATTTTAATTTATAGAGATGTTAATTATAAACTACCAGAGAATATAAATTCTCACGTATTATGTGTAGCTTCTGTATAAAAATATTTTTTGACTTAAACTTGCCATTGATTATTGAATATCAGGAAAAAAATGGAAATTTAAAGTTATTTTTCTAAAAGTAAGCAGGAAGACTGATTTTACTAGTTCCTTCTTTTAATATCAAATATTGAAAATAAGAGGCTATCTACCTTAATAGAACTGTTGAGAACCAAACAAAAAATAAATACACATTTCTCTGTGACATACCAAACCTACAATAAATATAAGATTACAATAATAATGTTTTGGAAGTACACAAAATTTTCCAGGAAGATGTTGCTGCTATTACTCAACAATAATCCTTAGCAGGTTGGAATTTTCAGTAACTAGTACCTATACAATAAACTTGTTAGGCTGTGTTCAAGGGTATGTTCTTCAGAGCAGTGCACAATAGAGACAGGACCACCAAGTTCACATGGTAATCTGGGCAAATCACCTGGAACCTTCATTTATGTTACCTAGAAACCGATGTCTTCCCAGCCCCACGCCTAGAAAAAAAAGGGTTCTTCACCAGAATTAATTTAAGTGCCAAGAAAACGTGTACTCCTCTTTGACTTGTTTGTTTGGCACAAATTATCACTATCATGTAGAATAAGCATACTAAATATATTCTACAGATGGTTTCTGAAAGCATAATCACCACTTCTTCAGACTTACCGGACAGTAACATATGTCCTTCAAAAACATTGGCAGGTGGAACCCTAGGCTTACAATTTTTCACAGCTTCAGCAATTTCCCTGAGTTAAGAGAAAATACTCTTCATTAACACAGAATAAGATAAACTTAATTAAAACAATTTTTCAGCTATGAAATTAAGTCCATACTATTATAACTGTGCACATAATTATATGCCTTAACATGAATTATGCCTTCAATTTTTCCTAGCTTCCTAAAATACAGGAAATTAATCTATAAACCTTAAATTTTGGGCCAGGGATTTAGCTCAGTGGCATAAGCACCTGCCTTGCAAGTGCATGGTCATGAGTTCGATGCCTGGTACCAAAAAAAAAAAAAAAAAAAAAAACCCTTAAATTCTATGTGCCTGCCCAGTTGGCTTTGTGCTATATTGTTTCTGCCCTTGAACCTGAAGCTGTGATGGTCTCCCAAACACAAACTACAAACCTCCTCCCTTTCACCACACAGATGTCCTTTACTCTTCAAATCCACACACAGAACATGTATGTAAAGAACATGCCTGCTGCTTATTCAATAGTTTAACCAAAAAAAAGCTTCAGCTCTGAGGAGGAGAAAGACAGGAACAGAGGGATCAGTAATAAAGGGAAATCAGGACCTATGAACCAGTTTTTATTACAGGACACATAGTAGAGAGGATACACAGTATTAAGAGTGTTATGGGCCCTGGGATATAGCTCAGAGGCACAGCATCTGTCTGGTGTGTGTGAGGCCCTGAGTTCGATTTCCTGTACCTCCCCCAAAAAAAGGATTATTAGCACTTCAAAATGCTCTTCAAACTGTTTTAGTCATTTATACTCTCTTTAACTTTCTTAGCTCTAGTGAATCACGATTTTGATCAATCCAAGTTTGGTTTTTCCAGTGAACTCTACTGAGAACTTTTTCTCTCTACTGCCTTCTAAATTAGTGGGTAGAGGGCTAAGTGAAAGGATCAAATGGATAAAAAGATGATAGATATACAAACAGAAATACAGAGAGATATTTAAAACAATCCCTCTTTTTAAAGAGGAAATAACCTGAAAAACAAAAGAGACAAGTCTGTGATCCAAAGAAAAGGTATATTCAACTATCCCTGGCTTTTAGATATAAAAGAGGTTTTTAAAAATTGGAGCTGGAGATGTTAACTCAGTGTTAGGACATGTGCTTGGCATGAATGCAGTCCTGAGTTCAATCCCTACTAATCCATACACACATAGTCTACTACGGAAGTTAACAAAAACGGGACTATGGACTCATATCATATGCATGAAAATAGACCGCTGAGATGACTGGTTCAAAATATGATCATCAGTCACTTTATGGAAAAAGACAACACTAAAAGTTCTGAACTACACGCTGGTTCATGGAATTCCAGTCTTCCAGTAAGCCACAGAAATGATAAGGAACTAAACACACACATGGCTTTGCTCTTGTTTCACTCACTGCCTTCACACATTTCATTTAAGAGCACAAATTAAGCAATCACTGTGTACCAGGTCAGATGAAGATGCTTTCTGACCTCAAGATACTTGTCTGATTGCCTTTTCCATCCACGAAATAATTCTAATGGATTTAAGAATCGCCCACAAGAAGTGTGAGGTGGCTCTTTTTGAATACTCAAATGTTATTTAAGGGTAGAATAGTATGATGTTTGGGATTTGCTTCATCATATAGGGACAAATAAAATAATGGCAAAACCTTGAAAATTATGGCAATTATATGACAGGTACATGGATACTTGTTTTACTGTTTCTCTATTTTTATAATTTTTCATAATATAAAGATGTATTACTTTTCTGGACTGCAATAACAATGTACCACAGAACCAACAGTTTAAACAATGGAAACTTATGTTCTCACAATTTAGAAGACAGAAATCTGACTAAGGCATTGGTAGAGTCAGTTTCTTCTAAGATCTCTCTCCAAGGCTTGAAGATAGCCGTCTCCCCAGGTCTTTATATGGTCTTCCTTCAGTACATGCATCTGTGTCTTCCTCTTACAAGCACAGCAATCATACCGGATTATGATGGACTCACTGTTGCCTTAATTGCCTCTTCAAAGGCCTTATCTCCAAATACAGTCAAAATCTGAGCTACTAGGGGTTTGGACTTCAATACACAAATTTTTGGCAAATATAACTCAAAGCATAACCATCAGGGCTGGGGGTTGGGCGATGGGGATTTAGCTCAACAGTTCAAGTACCTGTCTGGCAAGTATGAGGTCATGAGTTCAATCCCTAGTACTAAAGCAAAACAATAATCGGTAAAATATTGACAGGTGATTATTACCTGATATGATCTGGTGTTGTACCACAGCATCCACCAACTATATTGACCAAGCCATCCATTGCAAAGTCCTGCATTAGGGAAAGTATCAGCAAGTTCATTTCAATTCTAAACTCACCAAAACCAATTCAGCATAGAATCTTTTACTTACTATATTTGCTGCATAACTAAGATTGCACTAACAAGAAAGCCAAACAAGCCAGATGTGGAAGCACATGCCTCTAATTCTAGCATTAGGGTAGCTGAGACAAGAGGATCACAGGTCTGTGGCCAGTCTGGACTATACAGTCAGATGCTGTCAGACAGATATGTCAGTCAATAGGAAGATAGGTAACTAGCAAAAAAGAAACCTAAACATACTTAACTCTAGTTATAAAAATTTCATAAGCTCTAGATGTAAGGGAAAACAGACTTTATGAAATATTTCATGCCACTTAAAATGGAAAAGATTCATTTGCCTGTCTGAAGACATTAAAGTTTTTTTACTCATATGCTGAGATGAATGAGTATGAGCTAGATGATGTATTTTCAAATAGCACATGAAATGATTATCAGTTTTTAAATTTAATTTTAAAATTTTTAAATAAAAAAAAAATCAGTTCTTCTGTCACACTAGCTACATGTCAAATACTCCAATAAGCAAAACACAGTGGTGGCTCCATCCTGGACAGCAAGGGTCTGGAGTTTCAGTAAAGATGAAGAACCCAGGAATTGGGACAAAACATCAAGGACCTGAAGCAAGAACACTGGGGAAAGCATCTATATAAGATACCGGAATCACAAGAATTAAGTTAGAAATAGAGACAATATCTGGGAGTCAGGATCAAAAAGTTTAAAGAATGAAAGGAAAGAGCCCAAGAGGTTGAGATGGGAGCACTAAAAAATAGTAGTGGGTATCAGAGTCCCATGATTCAGAGGGTAAGTAGGATACTGTAAGTGATACCGTGCACCATGAAGACATCTATTAACCCAGCAGATCATGGGGACAGGGGACAGAGGTGTGTGTGGGGTTATTACTTGGGAAGGGTTCACAGTAAACAACATCCAGAGAGTCCAGTGTCAACTTCAGTGGGAATTTTCCAACAGCTACAAGTGCCGTGAGCAATAATGATGCTGATAGCTAAAGCCAGCTCTTCTCTGTCCCTCTATAACCTTAATTCAGAGTAGCCAAACTTCTGTTATTTATATATGAGAATTTAATTGGGGAGAAATTCTGCTTGTAAAATCCTGTCTTAAAAACCCAAGTGAAAGAGGCTCCCTGACCTTCAGGTGCATGGCCATCATGGAAGGTGTTTCATCATAGTCACCAAAGGTGTTGGGAAGACCTGAGAAAAGATATTTCAACCATTATTCAAAACTACCTTAATAAATACATAAATGTATACAAATACCTCACATTGTTAAAGGCCTTAAGTTAAAAGTTTTAAAAGTTAGTGTTGATAAGGGATTATTTGCAAAATCAAGTAATATATTACTAATATTCAGATAATAAACAGAGATACCACATGCCCTCCCTCCCCAATCACAAAAGGAAATAAACACTATTTCTTCTCTATCTGATGCACAACTAATAGACAGCCATAGTTCCACTCCACCTCCACAAAGAAATTCTTACCGAGCTGCTTGGGGATGAGGCAGGGAACCACTTCATGTTCTTTGAACTAAAGACTACCTGACATTTAATTAAAAACAAAAACACCTGGTCTCCTTCCAAATAAATCTTATTATCTCCTTCCAGGTATCTTACTTCTGGTGAGAAATAAAATGTATTGTCCGTTTTATTTTAGGTTTTCTTTTCTTTTTTTTCTTTTTTTTTTTTTTTTTTTGTGCTGGGGATCAAACTCATGACCTCACACTTGCCAGGCAGGCATTGTGCCACTGAGCTATGTCCCAGACTCTATTGTGCATTTTAAAATGCATGCATTTGGAGAAAGAGGGCTAGAAAATAGCTGAGTGTGATGGTACACATCTGTAATCCCAGCACTCAGTGATGGAGATAGAAGGATCACCCCAAGTTCAAGACCAGCCTAGGCCACATAGTAAGTTCGAGGACAACGCAAACTACTTAATAATATCCTTTCTCGAAAGAAAAACAAAATCTGGTTAACACCGAACAGATTACCAATATGTAACTGAATGGTTTGAGAACTACCTACAAACTATTACACACAATAAATTAGAAATCCTAGCTGTTAAAGAGGAAAAGGTTATCACCACAAAAAAAAAATTCTTCTGCTACTTGTTTGCTAATGGGCTATGGGCTATAAGAGAAAATATATCACTCTCCTCTTTGGTCATCTCTCTGGTCACACTCACAATCACTGTTAGTAAAAGTAAGGCTCTGGTCAGCTATATAAATAGGCTCAATCTATGTAAGTATGCCCTATTCTGCAGCTTCAGACTGAGTCAAATTGTTCCTTTAGGTACAAAGGAAAATACTAGTCTAAACCAAAATATTCTTCAAACTGCTTTTTTGGAAAATCCCTTTTGAATGTCAACTATATACCAAGATCTGTAAAACAAACACTTCTAATCAAGATCTGTAAGCCCATATACATGCCTCTTTCCATGGACAAACCCTTGTAACACATACCTGCATTAGGATAACAAAGGACATAGGCAGTGGTACATTTTCCAATTGTTTCAATGAAAGGTCTCATTTCAGTTGCTCCCAGAGCACAATTTAATCCAATGCTGAAAAAAAGCAAAAGAAAATATTAGAAGGATCATCTTTTATTCAAAATACTTACAACAGTTATAATAAAGACAATACACCTAAAACCAAGCCAATAATAAATTGCCTATTTCAAAGCACTTTATTCAATTACAGTCAAAGTCATCTCACTGAGGTCTCCTACAGCACCAAGTATGTTTGCCCATGGATCCAACCTCAGATAGTACTACAGTTAATGGACTTGCCATGCGTGTAACTCCTTATGTACACAAATTAGCTGAAAAAGTATATTGTGAGATAGAAAAAATAGCAAACTGCCACTACTAACAAAAAAGTTCAATCTGGAAATATGTAAAGGAAGAGAAAAGGACAATCTTAAGGTAGGAGGAACATGAAATAATAAAAAGGAAGCCATCCTGATGTCCAGAAAAGCAGAACATAAGTACAGTCCCTGCTGCCCTAGAACTTGGGCCTCAAGGCCTTCTAGAACCCAGCAATCAACCATGAAGCCCTTGGACTATGTGATCTTTTGTTTTCATATTGTGCTTTTTTCCCTACTCTTTTTCATTATGTGCAACATGGCATTCTAGATTGGATCCTGGAACAGTAAAGAGACATTAGTGGAAACATTCTTAAAATTGCAATGGTATGGCTTGTGTCTGGATGTTCCCTCAAAGTCTCATGCAGTCATAGGCAGGGGTTTAAAGAAGTGACCAGATTTAGAGTGTGTGATGATGGGATTTAGTGTATGATGCTAGCATTCAGTGTGTGGTGCTGAGATTACGGGGTGTGTGATTACTAAATTAGTCCACTGACTGACTTGGCATAGCTCTGGGTATCAATAATGGGAAGGCCTACCCTGGGTGTGAGTAAAAAGGGGAAGCTTCCATCTGCTCACTACTTCACAGCTTTGGTGCCTGTGTCCACCATGAAACGGTTCTCCTCTGCAGTGCCCCTCTGCCATGCTACCTTGCCCTGGATTCAGCCAGTTATGAATTAAAATCTACACAAACTGTGAGCTACAAGAAGTCTTTCCTCCTTTAACTTTGAGTGTTGGGTATTTTGTCTCAGCATGGAGAAAACTAAAAGACATCTAAGAGTGTCTAGAGTTTAGGTAATACTAACACTTAATTTTGACAAAAGTACCTTGGCTAAGTAGTATGTTAGGGAAAACTAGATGAAGAGTATATTGGAATTATCTTTTCTATAAATCTGAAATTGTTTCAAAAAATATTTAACAAACATCCAAAGAATTCAACATGGCTGAAGAGAGGAGCCACACTGGAGCTACACAGGGAAAATCAACTAAAACCACAGGTAATTGGAAGAAAGAGAGGTCATACATTCTGACACAGAAGTCTTGCACCTGAATGTTCACAGCAGCTTTATTTATTTGTAAGTAAAATTGGGTAGCAATTAAGGTATATGAAAGTACAAACTGTGGTAAATCCAGACAACAGAGTGTTATTCAGCACTAAAAAGAAATTAGCTATAAACTCAGGCTTAGGGTTTGTATCTAGATGTCTCCCCATAGCCTCAGGTAGTCAATGGGAGTGGGCTGATTCTAGAGTCTGTGACTGATTTGTGGTGCAAATGCTGGGAATAATGGTGCTTGGATTAAAGCTGGGTGACCGCTGGATCAGTCCACTGATTGGAATGGCACTGTCCAAATCCCAGCAGTCTGTATAAAACAAGCATAAAGATATTTTCTTCCCCATTTTTATTCTTGTTGCTTCTGCTGCCAAGAATGGTTGCCTCCTGCCACTCCACTTGGCCATGGAGTCAGCTGATTATGGACTGAAACCTCTACAAACTGTAAGCTAAATAAGCCTTTCCTTCTCTAACTTTGGGTGTTGGATTGTTTTGTCTCAGCAACGAAAAAAGTAACTGAGACATCCAGAGATGATAAACTGTAGAGTTTTGAATGATACAAACAGCCTGCTGCAGCACATGTGTCATAGGTCTGCCACTACTGTACTAAGCCATTAAAAAGATATACAGGAAACTTAAACATCTATTGCAAAATGAAAAAAAAAAAAAAGGCTACATACTTTGATTACAACTATATTTCATTCCAGAACAGGAAAACTATAGTAAAAAAGTTAATTGCCAAAAACCAAGAAAAAAAAAAAAAAACCTTTATAGGTGGAGCCCAGGAGATTTTCACAACAGTAACACTATACTCTGTATGATATTAAACAGTGGATACACATCCTTACACATTTTTCAGACCCACAGAATACACAACACCAAGAGTAAGGTTAACACAGACAAACATTTTGGTTAATGTGATACTGATTCATACTGCAACAAATTTATTACACTAAGGCAAGATGTTAATAAGAGGGTAAGAGGGAAAGTAAGAGAGGAAGGCAGGATAGGTGATTGACCAAGCAGAGAGTATATGGAGACTCTCTGTACTTTCTGCTCAATTTTTCTGTAAGCCTGTAACTGATCTAAAACAAATACGATTCTGTGATCACTAGTGCCTAACAGCAGTGCTCAGTTAAGACTGCGAGACTAGCTGGGCCTCGTGGCACACATCTGTAACCCTAGCACTTGGAAGGCTAAGGCAGAAGGACTGCAGCCCGGGATACATAGTGAGAACCTATCCCTGTGCACCCCACCCACTCCAAAAATTGACCTATTTTGTTTAGCTATTTTACACTCATGTTTGGTAATTTAACTTTTTGTTTCATCTTATACTGCTGTCCTTAATACATGTTTAAAAAAACTTTAATTTTTTTTTTAAATCACAGTGTAATTATTAGACTAGATGCTTGATTTTTTCCAAACTCAGTTCCAACCCAATTCTCATTTGCCTTTTCAATAGTTAGGTAACTTCTGTTCCTCATTTGTAAAGTGAAGAAAGTAACATTCAGTTCTCAGGGTTATGTTAAAGTTCAAATGAAATATGATACATAGAAATGTTTGATCAACTATGCTGTTCTCATGTCTACATTAACTGACTAATACATCTATCCTGCCTTTCTGCTTAGTGAACTGCCTCATGTATTCCAGAAAAGCTCAAATGTCACCTTCTCCTAAGGATCCCATTACTCCTGTGTATGGCACATTTTCCGTACACAATTTGATGTTTTATATTTTAATTTATTTATGCTTAGTGTGACTGTTTCACATTTGCCAATATTCTTGGGCACACAGCAGGATTTCAATAAATGAATTAATAATATAGGGTTCTGTCCCATTGTTCTTTGTTAATATGCATAATTTGTGACAATCACAAATCAGTAAACAATAGTTTCTTATACATTACAGCCTTCTATCTACTACTTTAGTCTATAAGACTGACAAAAGATAAAACCTAAGCTTTAGAATTCCCATCTTGTTCAAAGCTAGCTGGCTGCCCCAAAAGTAGGGAGAGGTGCTGCTCTAAAATTTACAAAGCATTGTCCCCAAAATGTAAATAAACAATAAAAGCTCTAAAGTGTTACTCAGCCAAGCATAGTCTGTAAGTCACAAGAGATACCTACAAGCAAGATGAGAAGCAAGCGTTGGTTTCCCCAGAGGTACGAGCTCTCCCATTCCCTCCAAGTGACCTATTTTAGGTATTAGCCCTTGGAAGTACTTAAAAACAATACACCATAAAAGTGGTCCACTTGAAATGTAGAAGCAATCACGTTCCACATCACAGTTTGTAGCTATCAGGAAAGCTATTCCCCAAGAGTCAAGCAAAGAATCACTCACCAGAGTGGGTCTCCATGAGAAACACTAATGACAAATGCCTCTCCTGTCTGTCCAGAGAGAGTCCGGCCACTTTTATCAACAATGGTACCTGAAATCTGAATTAATAAAATAAACAAAGTCAATAATATAGACTCAGATAAAGAATATAATCACAAAGACAAAATAAAATGAAAAAGCTAATGTTTTTTGTGCTTTCACAAAGAAAACCATGGAACTCAAATTCAAAGGTAGCAGTCTGCATAAGAGCCAGAATGTACATATGCCAAGTGACTAGGGGAGGAGTCACAGGAACAGAGGAAGAAGAGTATCACTGAGGCAAAGTAATGCCTTAAACAGCACTAGATTTTACATATCCAGCGCCACTGGAGGAGCTTTCCCAGAGAAGGTTCAAGTTATTTTGGTGTGAAGATTGCACTTAATTGTCAACTTTGATTAGCTTGATAGTGACCACAAAGAGATTAGCAAAACACATTCCTGGGTGTGTCTGGGTGGGTCATGGGTACTGTATCTGGTCCCTAGCCCCTTCTCTGGTGTGGATCCTCTGCTTGATTTCCAGGACACCAGGAACTAAGTAGCTTTACTCTGCCATGCTCTTCTGCCATGTTTCTGCCTTGGAGTCAGCCAACTGTGGACTAAAACTAAATCATACACCAAATAAACCTTTCTTCCTTTAAATTAGGGAGAGCAGGTATTTGGTTCCAATGGCAATTGACTAATACATCTGATCTTCTGCTGTCAAACATCTTATTTTTGGATTCTCTTGTTTTGATTCTGTTCTATTCTCACCAACCAATCTTAGAACTCTCATATAGGGTCTGCCTATTAAGTTAATGAACTGGAGTCTGGAATCTTCAGTACTGAATATTTGACAGTCAGCACGTGAGTCTATCACTCCCTGAACCTTCATAAGATTGGGTCTTTAAGTCCCTGGTTTTAGGAGGTCTTCTTCTGAACAGCCTGCCTCCCACTAATCACTTCTGGTTCATTTTCATTGCCTGCTCAGAGGTGAGCCTGCTATTGACCTAAAAGTGGTAGTAGGAAAGTGCAAACAGAGAAAGTTAGAGTGGGTGGTTTCTAAAAATCAACATCAATGGTCCTCAAACTGACAATTATTAATAGAAGATAAAAATCATCATACAAACATTCCAAAACTTACAAAAACAGGTCGGGGAGTGTAACCCTCTTCAAAAAGTTTCTTGAGTGCAAACAAGGCTGCCTATCAGGAAAAAAAAAAGAGTATTTTTATTTCCAAGACAATGTGGCTAAGGTTTGTCTGTCTGATCCAAACCCATCATTTGCCAAAGCCTCTTCAGATAAGACACATGTACATACCCCTCCGTGCACTGAAGTATCTTCCCTATAAAGCACAACAGTGCCCCATTCTCAAGAGTGATACTGTAAATATCAAAGAAAAAAAAGTGACTAGTTTCACCTATGAACTAATACTTGTTCTGAGGAAAAGTGAAAGAATTATTTTTTTCCCTCCTTCAATCTAACATACAGATGTGTGTCTTCTTCATCCTGTCATATATATATAGTATGTATGGTAAATGAATGTGATGTGTATCATGGAAGAAAAAACTATGAGCTTGGACTGGATTGTAAAGACAGAATCTCATGTTACACTGTGTTGGTTAATCTATGTTTTAAGTTCCTGGCAATGGATCATCTCTTTTTATATCCCTGATTTAAGAATATTCATATTTTCCCAATTAATTTTCTAAAATCAGAATGCCACCTATAATTAATGTGTACCTTCTATCTGACAATGTGTTTCTTTCATAGAAAGGTACTAAATCAGTAATAATGAAATTTATTTTTTAGAATTAGAAAAATTGGACCTAAAAATCTTATGAAAAAAAAACACATAAGAATAGTCAGAAAAGTTCTGGGGGAAAAGGTAGGGTTAATAAAAAGGAACAAAGCATCACAGTGACTCAGACATGTTCTAATAGTCTGGTAAATAGTACATCAGTAAACAAACTGTTAGAAGAGACACAAATGAACTCCAGAATTTAGGACTAAGGGTAACATTCCACATCATTCCCATCACTAGGAAATAACAGTTTGTCTAGTAGATGGTATTAGAAAAACCAGGTAATAATAATAATAAAAAAAAAAAATCTCCTGTATTTCTGACTCTAAAATTCCAGAAGTATCATGAGGGAAACCTTAATAATCAAGAGAATGTGTATGGCACACATCTTAAGACTTAAAAACTCAACAGAAAAGATACTTTGGCTAGGGACTGAACTCAGGATCTCATGCAATAAAACATACCTTTAACACTTTATCTAGTGTTTTGCCACTCGTATTTCTAATGTGAACAATATTACGATTATTTTCAAATGTACATCTGAATCTCACTTCAATATTTACTTGTTTTTAACTGCTTTTATTTTCAAAATTATACCTGAATTGCCTTGAATCTCACTTCAGGTATTTCCTTGTTTAATTTCTTTTGTTTTCAAAATTATACCTGAATTGTTTTTAAAATTTTCATTTATCTAAGATCACAAAAGTCTCTTTTTCTTAAGTGCCAAGAGATTAAACTCAGGGCATTATGTATGCCAAGTGCTTTACCACTGAACTACATTGCAGTAACTTTTTAAACTGTATTTATTTTGAGACAGTTCCACTAAGGCAGGACTCAGACAGTATCTTCAGGCTCCCAAGTATCTTGAGATTAGAGGCATGCACCACAAAGCCGAACGTCACAAAATAATTTCTGAAAGAGAGAACCTGATAAAAGTGACATTAACAATAAGGTAGGTAGCCAGACATGGTGGTGCATGACTATAATCCCAGCACTCGCGAGGTTAGGGCAGGAGGATCACTATGAGTTCAAGACAAGCCTGGGCTACAAAATAAGTTCAAGGCCAGCCTGAACTGCATACTGAAATCCTGTCTCAAAAAGACCAAAAATAAAAAAAAAAGTGAGGTAGGGCAATGTCATTTGGATCTTGAATGTTCTCCAAAGATCCATGTGTTAAAGGTATAGTGCCCAAGTTGGCAGTACTGGGAGGTGGGGACTTTTACATAGGAGTTTGGCATAGTGAGAGGTATTTAGGTCACATACAAGGTGATCTTGAGAGCCCCATAAAGTAAGCAGTTTACTTTGCCATGTCTCTCCACCACTGTCATCTACTAGAGGACCAATGAGTCCTAAGTAGGAACCTCAGAAACTGTGAGCCAAAATTAACCTTTTTTCTTTATAATTACCTCAGTTATTTTGTAAAAATGAAGGAAAGTTGATTAACATGGTAGTCATCCAACTTCTGCTGGGAATGGCTTCCTGCATGCATGTATTTAGGCAAATAATATTTGAAAAGGCTTAAAATCTTTAAATCTTTGGTTTTATTTTCACAAGAATTTAAAGGAATAGTTGGCCGTGGTGGTGGCAGGGAGGTGCTGAGAGGCTGAGGCAAGAGGACTGCAAATTCAGGCCTATCTTGGGCAACTTAATAACAAATTCTACGTCAGAATTTACAATAAAATAAAGTAAAATAAAATAAAAATGAGGCTGGGGATGTAGCTCAATAAAAAGACCCTGGAGTCAATTCTCAGCACCACAAAAAAGAAAATGAAAAAAAATTCCAATAACAAAGAGGACATAAATCACAGGAAAAGAAATAAATGGCTCTACAACTACATAGATGTTCAATTTCATTTACAGTAGAAAAACACAAAATTACAAGGAGTTACACATTTTGTACTTGTAAGACTGCAAAAGGTTAAAAAAAGTAAGACATGTTATCAGAGAAGATATAATAAAATTAGCACTACTACAAACTGCTTGTTGATGGAGCCACAAATTGAGTACAATCTCAACACAAGATAATTTGACACTAAGGATAAAGTATACATTCTGACTTAGCAATTTCACTTGCAGAAATTTTTCTTATAGATGTACTGTACAAAAATATAGAGATAAATAATTTCCACTCTGCATGCTTAAAGAGCACATATGCACACACATGTGTGTGCACAAACTCACATGCTTGTATCTGTAGTCTTTCTCAGAAAACTAAATAAATAGAATCTTTCACAAGACTCCCAAAATGGTAATAGTAGCTGTTTCTGGAAATAAAGCTAAATATACAAGACTATATTAAAGAAGGATACTGACTTTTCATACAATATAGTTATGCATTTTTCAAGTTTACAACCACAGCATATATTCACTACGTATACAAATAGGTAAACACAGTAGTGATACATACAAACATTTATTTGCATTAGAAGAACACTTTACACAGCTCTTTTGTAATTTTACGTATTCATCTGGCCTTAGTGAAAAATATTTGAGACCAAAACGGAGGAACTACAGGAAATATATTCAACTTGGACAATGGCTATTATCGTCTTCCTACATTACAGCATTCTTCACAGCCACCAGCCCAGCCCTCATCCTCACCTTTTCTCCCCTTAACTCACCTTGGCATTGGCAGTATCAAAAATAGTTTCAATAAGTAAGATATCAACTCCTCCATCCAAAAGTCCTTTGGCCTGCTCTTGGTATGCTTCAACAAGCTCATCAAATGCTACAAAAAACAAATCACACCCAGCATGTCAATCATCCATACCCTCTGGATATGCTGGATTCAGTTCAGGCACCATGAACCATTGCAAATTAAATAAATAAATATGGCAACAATGGCAGCCAAACAAACTGAACACAGCTGTCCTAAACACTTGATATATGACCTCCTCTTCCGGTGCATAAACTAGGAGTAAAAAGGTATGTAAACTTCTCGAACTATACGCTTTATGCTCAACATCTTTAAACCATATCATTCTTCCCGCAGATCACTTTAGTAAGCCAATCAAGAGGGTAATGTAAGAAATATGATTTGAATACTCAACTGTTCTTGTAGGAAAAAAAAAAAAAAGAAAGAAATATGATTTGAATATATTACAGCCTGCCTCAGATCTCACTCTTTCTGGTTAAAGGCTATATAGGCAGGGATTTCACTCCTGCCCTTATACAAATTCTGTTGAAGAGAAGACTACCAAGCAGAAGTCTCAACCAAAAATGTTCCATCATTCTTAACGTTTTGTTAAAAATATCTCATGTTGCCAGGCGTGGTGTCACACACCTGTAGTCCCAGCAACCAGGAGGCTGAGCAAGGAGGATTACCGTAAGTATAAGGCCAGCCTGAAACATACAGTGAGAGTCTGCCTCAAAAACAAAACAAAACAACCCCCCCAAAAAAATCTTGTGTTATTTCAACCTGAGAATTCATCCTTTTTTTCCATTTTATCTTCCAATGAAAAAACAAAAATGTGGGGCCAGGGATTTAGCGCAGCAGCATAAGCGCCTGCCTGGCAAGCGCTAGGTCATGAGTTCAACCACTGGTACAAAAAAAAAAAAAAAACAAAAACATGATGAGATATTCAATAGAAAAACCTATATAGGAAATTTATGCTTAGTCTAAGTATGCCTGACTTTATAAGATACCAAGAGAGCTTAGTTTCCCCAATGTCAGGTCTAGACCAAAGAGAGCAATAACCACAAGCAGCCTGGTAAGTGCAATTCTTAATGAAAAAGTATGATATCACAGTATATAAAGTCTGTACCAAAAACCTACAAACTGTTTTTACTTGAAATTGTCATTTAGGGCTGGGGATTTAGCTCAGCGACATAAGCGCCTGCCTTGTAAGCAGGCAGTCGTGAGTTCAATCCCCGGTACTGATAAAAAGGAAAAAACAACAACAACAAAAAAGAAATTGTCATCTATACAAAACCCATTCCATACATCGTAACTATTCAGCTCTAAAATTTTAATTCTTTTTTATATAGTCTTGATGCTTAGTCATTAACCTAGATTCCCAGATTTTGTCAAATCTCAATACAGTACACTTATATATACTCATTTATAACATTAGTATGCTTAGGTAATGTGGACTGCTTTCTGATATATTATTACATTGGGATATAGTAGACAATTTTGTAATAGATCAAGAGCTGGTAAGCAAATTTGCTTATCTTCTCACTTTAAAATTTTTCTTCTTACTTTAAAACTTTATTTCAATTGCTTATAGTTCCAGCCTTGATAAAGAAGCATTAACACATCATTATACACACCCATCCTCAAGCAAGTTCTAATAACAACAGCAATTTTTTATTCAGATGTCTACTATATTTCAGGCACTGCTATAAACCCACAGATAAAATTATAACATCCCTGGGGTAAGTCCTGCTATTGTTTCTATTTTAGAGATTTACAGATTACTGAAACACCAAGGCAAGACCCAAATTACATACAATAAATACTCACTGATATTTCTATAATCTGGTCTTTCCACAGATGGGGACACAGAGAGTGTCTTATTAGTTGGACCCAGAGCTCCTGCCACAAACCTCTTGATTCCTTTGGGAAATGAAAAACAAATGTGAAATCTCTAAACAGCTCAATCTCTTTATTGTGAATCAATAGCCTATCAGACTTTTCCCAGAACACAGGGTTATAATATTTTGTTGTGGTTTGTAGATGCTCCTCAAAAGCCTCATGTAGTCATAAGACTATAGGAGTTTGATACTCATCAGCAGATTAGTCCACTAATGAGTTTATGGCTAAATGTGATGTTAGGAGATGAAGCTTGGTTGGAGGAGGTGAATCACTGGGGGGTGTGGCCTGGAACGGCAAATCCCTTTACATCCTTTGATTCCTTTCAGCTTCTGCAGCCACAATGCCATGAGCTGTATCACCTCTGCCATGCTGCCCTGCCCTGGATAAACTGTGAGCCAAAGTGAACTTTTCTTCCATACAACTGTGGATGTCAGGTATTGTGTTTCAGCAACAACAAAGTTAACCAAGATACCTTTTGTCCACAACTCTGAAATTCAAAAATCTATAAAAGCCCAAATTTTTTTCTAAATTCACTGGAGGATAAAACTTGATTTCTACTGAACTAATAAAAGGCTATTTATAGTTTTTCTACCAGTGGCATGATTCACAGATTTTACTAACATATTTTTAGTTTTAGAGGTCTCCCCAATGCTCTGATAAGATAGGGATAATGGTTTGATAATAAGGTAAGGAATATGTAAATATTATATATATTATTAAGGGATATGTAAATATTATTTGTATTAATATATGTAAAATAAGGGATATGTAAACCATTGCCCAGGATAGTGATTTGATAATAAGAATAGGTAAATATTACCACCAAACTAATTCAAAAAAAACTATAAATTCTCAAGACATTTGACCTCAAAGTACTTCTGTAAATAATCCTTTCTTATCACTACAGTTTTGTTTGGACAAGTTTTTTTCTCTCACAATACTTTGGGAATCTTGAAGACCCTGAACACAACAAAGTGCCTCACAGGGGCATTCAATCTGATACACTCTCTAGTACTGCAGGCCTTTTGCATAATTAACAACTATAAAGTCTGAAATTCAAGTATGAAGCAGATGGAATGTTACTACTTTAATAACCTTCCCTCTGGACCAGAATCAAGGTGCATCTAAAATGGCTTCAATTTGTGGTCACATATCATCACAAAAGCCAAGATCATAGTATGCATTACTTTTGGTGATTTTAGTTACTTAATAACCGGGGCTATGCCTTATAATTGAACTGAAGAAGGTCACTAGTTGATAAACCTACGCACAAGTTACAGGCCTAAATATTCTTTATCTTCTCTGAAACTGAGAGATAATATAGGTACAAGGAAAACATCCTTTTCTTTCACTGCTTAAGTCGATTCAATATGCTCTGCTCTGCTTTTCTACTGGTGAAACAGTTTATGCATTTCCATGGATTTAAACATTATCACACCAAGAACAGAATTCCTATAAATTGCTTTGGTCTTCATTAGTATGCTACAGCTAACTTCTTAACAATTTTGCTTTCCATCTTTCCTACTGGCAATAACTTCACACTTTCAAAATTTAAGGAGTTCCATATATTTCTTCTACTCCTTTCCCTCTCTCAAAGCCCCCACCAGCTGGTGCCCAGATGCTGTGTCAGGACACAGCATCCATTCAGGAGGTTAACTAGAGTCACTTTTCAAGTCCCAGCAATACTGAATCTAATGCTACACTCTTCTATGTGCTGCACAGCTGTCAACGTCATCAGTACTGGAAAGAACAAAATGCTCCAATCTCTCTGCCTAAATAACACAATTATGAAGAGGAGGGCAGCTTTAGAAGAAAGAGGTCAAATATCCTAACAACAGCCAAAATAATAAATCATCCAGCTGTTAATACCCTGATGATGTGCTTCCAAAATGAGAGAAATCATGTCAGCTCTAAATACACAGGACTAGCTCAAAAGTCAGGCGACTGACATCAGCAGAGTAAAAGAGTAAATCTGGAACCCAAGCACCACAGGGACAGCATCACTTCAGAGTGGTAGGGAATGTAAAAATATTAAAAATGTTGTAACAGAGACATTAACTACAAATAAGTTAAAATACAGTATATGCAGTTGCTTATGGGCCAAAGGTCAGTAACATAAGTAAAAATTGCAGTAAAGACAGTACATACAGCTAAGAACATCAGAGAAAACATCTGTTACCTGTCTGAAGTGTTATCTCCTCAGCAGCTTTTCTGGCCACATCTGCAGAGCACTTGTTCATTCGGTAGGCCTAACACATCAACCACTAGTATTAGTTTGTGCTGCTTTTCTTCTATACAATAAGGAATCTATAACCATCTAACGCCTAATTATATTTAGTAAGGAAATGTAAAATGAATTAATCTGAGGCTGAGTAGCCAAGTTCTATCAGTTGCCCCAGCCTTAAAAGGCAGGAGAAGATGGCAAGTGTTCTTGGAAACAACTGCTTTCATTTATGATCTTCTCCTAAATCCAGAGCCAGTGGTAAAAAGGACCACCTCTGGACATTCTGGCATATTACAGAATAAGCTAGAACAACTAAACAATACATAAGTTTAGAAACAGTATGGTAGAGGAAAATATAGGCTACAGAAGCAGAATGCCTCATTCCAGGACTAGCCCTGTCACTGCCTGCCGGGCATTTCCCACAGCTTCCCCTTCCCCTGGCCTTAATGTCCTTTACTGTACAATGGATGGTTATCATTCATTCCACATTTTACAGATTATTAACTTCGTACGAACTTAATTCAAAAAAATGAATCTTCTTACTAGGAAATAAAATGTGTACACATACAAAGTGTGGCTTGCAAGTTAAGGATGTTAGTGGCTTTTCAGAAACCCTTCTACACACCGGATCAGTGGTTCTAGATTTGTAATTTTCACAATCCCTTCCTATCCAGTCAGGTGTCATGGAGCCCCACATTAGACAATTAAATAACTGTAATATTCTACGTAAGAACTGGCATTGTTCATTGGTCTAATCTAGTTCCTGCATACTTTTGTAAATAAAGTTTTACTACAACATAGTCATTAACCATTTATTTACAAATTGTCTTATATGTGCATGTAAGCAATGATTCTACGTTCATCAAAAGCCACTGCATAAACCAGGCATGGTGGCACACGCCTGTAATCCCAGCACTCAGGAGGCTGAGGGAGAAGATAGCTGCAAGTTCAAGACTAGCCTGGGCTACAAAGTGAGTTCAAGGCCAGCCTGAACTGCAGAGTGAAACTCTGTCTCAAAAAGACAAAAAAAGTAAAGAAAAGTCACTGCATAATAAGTACCATTTTTACTTAAGTATTACATGCCCACAAAAAGAAGCTAGTTATAAAATACATCGGCTACTATGCTTAAAACCAGAGTAGATTTGACCCATTATCCCTGTCTTACCACAAACAACAGCTAACTAGGCATTAGCTTGACTAGAGCTCCAGGTAACTTTCCTTCTGACAATTACCAATGCAGCAAATGCTCATAAGCATCTTAGATACAAGGAAACATGATTCTTACCAAGTGTTCAAGGCCATAGTCAGTTTGGGCAATACTGGTACTACTAAAAGTATTTGTTTCAATTATATCTGCCCCAGCCAGCAAGTAGTCCTGCAACAAGAGGTAAGAGTATCAGTTCTTGAAAGTTTAGAGTCCCTGTCCACCAACACTGATCATGTCCTTTCATTATCACCATTACCAATCACCTTTGGACCACTCAGAGTAGAGCAGTACACTAAAGCTAAGATGCAGGAAACTGCAAGTATTTCACCAAAAGGCAAGAGGTTTAACAAATAAACTTAAATTCAGTCAAGTTCTTTAAACGCTAAATCTCAGTATCCTCATCTTAAAGCACTAATAATCCTCTTCTGAAAACAATATGAACTTCCGGTGTCATGGCTGCCCTGACCACAACGTAGTGCTGAGAATTTCTGTCCCGGCTAGACTGCTTACTGAGACTTCTACGGCCTACAGGCTTCATGGAAGGACTCTTACAGACCGGAAAGACACACAGTGATCTTTTAATATATTATGGAGGATGTCAAAGATGTAAGATCTAGCCAATTGCTCAGTACACACAATTAAGTTGCCATTTGACTCTTCCGGGAGAACATGGCGGACAGATAACAGCAACTACCGGCGGCTCTCTGAAAGACTCGGCTCAGAAGCCTGGAATGGTGCGGACTAAGGAGACATAAGCAGGTGGAGATATGCTCTGCTGACTCAGGAACGAACTGGGCTGAGAGAAGCCAACTTGGAATGCAGTCCTGGTGCTAAAACAGGAACAGAAAAGACTCGGTGTGGAGGCTGGAACCGCGCCATTGTAAGCCGCGATTTGGGTTTCCCGCCGCGCAGCGGCTGGCTGCCTCTACAGCGGCTCGGCAAGGGGAGAGACGTGCAGAAGCTCTGAGAACGGCAATCTGCGAATGACAGGGAGGCGTGCACTGACTTATGGTGAGGTGAGTGAGAGAAACTGACACTCTACCACAGTTTGACTCCAGCAGAGGACTTTCTGGGCCCGAGCAGTCCTGCGGGAGCAGGGCGCGGTGGCGACTCCAGCCACACATCCCCCTCTCGGGCGGGATTGGTGAAAAGTGCCTGGCCTGCGTGACGCTGCCGGCGGACCTGGTAGACTGTCCCAAACTAGATCCCAGAGCCTGACGGTGGCCGGGAGGGGAGACGCGTAGGCTGCCTGGTCCGTAACTCCCTGGTGCGCAGCGGTGAGCGGGAACACCTAACTGGCGCAATTCGATCAGGCTGTGGCTGACTGGGAGAGAAGCTGGGCCTCTTATATAAGCTTGCATATATAAGGAACAGAGAAGAAGAGGCAGCATGGGAAGAGGCAGCAACAAGAAAGTCTCCTCGGCCCCCAATTCTGAGAAACAGGCAATAGCAGACACCGCACCAATACACATAAGGCACCATATAGAGAGCCTCATAGACCAATTCAGGAATGAAGTTATCAACGACCTGAAGCTAGAAGTATGCAGAATAGTTAGAGAAATGCTAAGCACCACCCAAGAAAAAACAGGTGATGGAATGGAAGAACAGAAAAAAAGGGGAGAATTGTTTGATGGAGAAAACAGAGAAAGCATAGAATACGTGAAGCAGGTTCAAAGGGACTACCAAGATACTAAGAAGTCTATCGAAGACTGGCATAACAGCTTGAAAGAAACTAAGGACAGACTATCTGAACTGGAGGGCAGACTTGTAATATGGGAGAATGAAATGAAAAACTTCTTAAAAATAACAAAGAAACAAACAGCAATAATACAAAGACAAGAAGATGATAAGAGGATCCATAACTTAAGGATTAAGAACATAAAAGAAGAAGTAGGGACACAAACAAGTGAACTACAAAAGCTACTCACAGAAATAATCCAGGAGAATTTTCCTAATTTAGCAAAAGGTAAAGATACTCAGATGTATGAGGCATACAGGACCCCAGCTACCTACAACCCAAACAGAGCAACACCCAGGCATATAATAATAAAAATTCCAGAAATTCAATACAAGAACAGAATATTAAAAGCTGTAAGAGACAAGAAACAGACCACTTACAAGGGAACACCCATCAGAATTACAGCAGATTTCTCTGCACAAACCATCAAGTCACGAAGAGCGTGGGGGGAAATAATTCAAGCATTGAAAGATAATAATCTCCAGCCAAGATTGAGATATCCTGCACAACTGTCCCTGGAAATTGATGGAAAAACAAGGTGCTTCCAGGATAAAGAGGAACTGGGGGAATTTGCAACCACCAATTCAACTCTACAGAAAGTATTGCAGGATATTCTAAAAAAAGAAAAATACAAAGAACCCAGAAATAGTGGCGGGGAGGCCACAACAAATGGAGCAGAGAACAAAATGAAGAAGACAAACTGACAGCTACTGACAGAAAAAGAGCTTAACAGAAATGAGGGAGAGAAGATTGGATGATAGGAACAGCTATTTTGGAGAAAATGACATCTTAATAGGTAATACTGATTTAGTATCATCTTGTTTTGAAGTCTCATCTAGCTTTTGTCCTTCTGTCTCCAATGGTCTAAATAGGCTGTATCTTATTGGATTTTATTATGTACGATAGTATAAGCAAAAACCTTTTAAAGACAAGGAGATTATACAGAAACCATTGTTCATTTTCTGTTAGTCGATTCTAAATACTCTGTAATGCTGTCATTCTCTTGAATGGTTTTACATTGTTTTGATATACTTAATGCTATAGTATACGAAGTTGTACTCAAGGATTTCAAAGAAAGAAACAATATGGTAACTACTTTTAGGTTAGGATTATCTGGTGGTGAAACACTATTCTGCTTAAATGGTTATGTTTTGATCTGCGCTGTTTCGTTGTTATGCCCTCTTTTATCTCAATCTCCACTCCATTATTTACTTTTTTATCTTTATCCTTTTAATTAAAGGAAAAAAATAGCAGGATATATTATAGTAACCCATTTTGACTTTTCATTACCTTGATTTAAAGCCCTGTATTACTCTCACCATCTGGTTTTTAACTGATGTTCCCCTATTCTGTTTTGCTGGATAGTATCAGGTTCGAAAGTTTAGGCATCAGCTGTGAAGATAATGAGATTCATTATGACGCCCATTCTTGTTGACTTTTAGCTACTTTTGAAGACCTACAATGTCTCCAATGTTTTGGTTTTGTCGGTTTTATTCTTTACTGTTTTGTTCAATTGTATTATAACTAATGATATAGGCAATTCTATTAGAGATAGCGGGAGACATTATGGTAACCATTGTTGATCACCTGTATTATGTTTTTACATTATCTATTATGTCCACCCTTTTGACTTGACCGATTCTGTTCTGTTATGTCACATTTGGTTTTACTCTCTTCCAAAAAAGTAATAAGAACCGTGGGAGCAATGAAACCCAAAATGTGTAATAGTCATGGTACAAAAGAGAGGAAAAGAAAGTACTCTAAACTATATAACTGCATGTATATTTAAGTGTATAAGATAGAAAATGATATCACAGAGTTTTATTGGATCAATGAACAGAACTGTTTGCAGTATCATTGATGGAATGTACACTTTACAAGCTTTAATTTTGTGACTTGAACAATTATTTCTAAGATGACAATATGTAATCCATTAACTAGTGATTTCCTACTGTTCATTTTTTTTCTGTAAATCTGTATAACTCGTACCCTTTCCCTGCTTTTTTTTTTTTCTTTTCTCCTTAAATAAAATTAAAAAAAAAAAAAAAAAAAAAGAAAACAATATGGCTCTTTGGTAAGCACCGAGTACATCTTGGGTACTTAACAAATAGCTCTTCTGTTCCTTTACCTTTCTTCCTGCTGCAGTACAACATGGTCGACACTGAGAACTGTACAATCTCTGAGATCTCTAAATTTGACCAATTTTTTTTCAGTTCATCTCTCTTAGTCCCTCTCACTCAGACTGGCACCCTTACTGGAACACTAACGACTTCAGGCCCTACTGTTCTGCTGGAAACTCATCCTCCTGCTTTCACTCTTGGGACATCATCTCAACTCCAATCTGACTAGTACCCTATTATGTCTCAAGAACCTTGATTTTCTAACAATGAACAAACTCAGCCATTTCTAAACTGATGATTTCTTTTTCACAGTAGCTAGAAAATGAAAAATAACATAAATACATTTGTAACAGTAAGTCACAAAGATCCTAAATACTATCAATAAGGAGACAACTAAATAAATCATATACTTATTTTCTTATGCACTATATGACAGCTAAAAAAATCTTATATACATCTGCAAATAAGTTTAAGATCTTCCAGAGTAATGAGAAAACATAAAATATGTAAAGCATCCCATTAAACTAAAATATATACATTCACAAATAGTACTATGGGTTTTCTAGATAAATATATTTACATATATAAAGAAAGCTTTCTTCCCTCAGCTCGTACTGCCTATATAAACATAACAGAAGGAACTAGAAAGACATATTAACTAATAGTGGGTAACTGAGGAAAAAAACAGCAACTTGCAGTAGTAGTCAAATGGAAATTTATTCTTTTTTATTATGAGTTTTTGTTTTGTAAGAATGAATTAGTTAAAATTTATTTTAAAAATATCAAGAAAACCTGAAAACCACTTTAATGCCTAGGAATACTGAATTATTAGTTAGGTAAATAGTACACACATAGAACAGATAATGAACTTAGAAAACTGCATTTGCAAACATTTAATGCTCATGAAAAAAAGTAAAAAATGCAAATTATAAAACAACATAGACCCAATTTAATTTTTCTTTCTAGCCTTAGATTTTTAAAGTACAAACTAAAATATGTGAATGGCAGTTATGTCTTGGGACTTTATTTTGGGCAAAAGCCCACTTCCTAGTTCACAGCCAGCCATCTTCTCTCTGTGTCCTCCAACAGTGGAAGGAAGGGGTAAACAAGCTCCTGTAGGTCTCTTTTACAAGGGTACTTCCTAATACCACCAAACCAAGAAATAGGATTTACCATATGAATCTGAGAGACACACAAAAATTTAGACCATAGCAGTGCCCTTAAAAAGAGACATTAAGACCCTGCTTCCTCTTTCTGCTCTCCACCATGTGAGGACTAGAGACAATGCCTGAAAGATGGTGAACTAGAAGAATGCCTACAGCAGGCAAGGTTTGTTGCCATCCCGATCACAGACTGCCCACTCTCAAGAACTGCAACGAAGATATCATTTAAGCCACCTAGTCTATGATAATGTTACAGTCACCCAAAACAATGAAGACCTCTCCTTTTGGTATTTTGTCATAAAGGTTATTACTGTAACTTAACAAGACAGTAAACATAAAGTCTCTAAATTTACCCTTGATTTTTTAAGGGTTTGCTGGCATTTAATGCCTCAAAGGCAGGAAAAATGCATATGCACATGTATACATATTTTTATGTTTATATATGCATATGTACATTTATTTATCTATATAATATGCATATGTATTGACACTATAGATAACTAACAGATATAATTTTTTTCTCAAAGGCAGGAAAAACACATATACATATGTATTTTTTTTGTTTATATAAATACATACATATATGTATGTATGCTTTTTAAATAAACCATTTTCTTTTGTAATAAATTATGTCTTTCTTCTTTCCAATATGTGCTAATGCATAGCACAGTGGTCTGACATTAATATAAGAAATAGCTTGAATGAATATATAAGAATCTGGCAGTAACTTACCTTATGAATTTGGTAAATGATATCAGGTTGAGTTATACTTAAAATGTCATTGTTTCCTTTCAGTGGCCTGGTATGATCTTTAAATTCTTGACCTTGAAAGCTTTCTTCACTCAGTTTGTACTGCTGGATCATGGTTCCCATCCCTCCATCCAGCACCATAATCCTCTTCTGCAGAATGGCTTCAATCTCATCCTGAAGAGTCTCCTTCATATCTCCTTTAAATAAAAATTGTACTTTAGAGCCAGGCATGGTGGCACATGCTGGTAATCTCAGCACTTAGGACACTGAAGACAGAGGATGATTGTGAGCTCAAAGCCAGCCTGGGCTACATGGTTAAGTTCAAGGCCAGCCTGAACTATACAATGAGATGCTGTCTCAAAAAAATAAAAATAAAAAGGAATCAAAGGTGACAAAAATGTTCAATGGAAGAATTTTAGAGTAATTTATAATAATTCACAATAGGGACTAAGTAGTACTCAAAAAGATGTATCTACTACTCTATAGCATAAGAAAAATACTACCCCCAAAATGTCATTAAATCATAACAATAAAAAAATAACATTTTGTATACAGCAGAAAATCAGTAATGAACCACCAACCAATATAAAAGGAGGCTTAGCCAGTACTATTTCAGAAAGGAGAAAAACAGGCAACAGTGAATCAAGCAACAAAATCCTAGGCCAGGCTGCTAGAGAATCCTCTGGCTCTTTATTAATTTCAGGAGATGCTTCCTTAACAGGGAGACTTAGCATGAATAATTGAAAACCATTAGTGATTCCAAACTGACATTTAAAGTGTAAGCGTTTACTGTCATCTCCTCAACCTACTGCCAAAACTAGTAACAGCCTACAAACAGGTTTTACTCACTTACCTGTGCGTCATCTAGGATATAACAACTGACAAACACCCTCAAATTTCACAACTCCCTTCTTGCTCCTTAGTTTCCAATCCCTGGCCCTGAAGAGGCTCCAATTCCCACCTACCTTTTCTAGTCTTACTTTCTGGTTTCTAAGAATGGCTGGGAAATTCTGGTGATCTGGGTTTTTTCAAGCTCTCATTGTACATGGCAGCCAGCACAAATCCTCTCAATAGTTCAGTTTGCAAGCATACAAATGAGGTCAGACTACATATGTGGAGGTGCTTTGTAAGTTATTAAGTATTAGCTGGGCATGGTGGTGCATTCCTGTAGTCCCAGCAGTTGGGAGACTGAGGCAGGAGAAATGTTGTGGTTCAAGACCAACCTGGGCTACAAAGTGAACTCAAGGCTAACCTGAATTGCAAAAGCCAAACCCTGACTCAAAAAGAAAAAAAAATCAAGTATTGTACAAAGGTAAAAGATCTCTACCATTCCCAGTCACTAGGCTTTAATTCATCCTATGCATCATTACTAGATTAATCTTCCAAGAGTTTTGTTTGTTTTGGTAATACTGGGGATGGATGAGCTACATTCTCAGCTGTGTGTGTGTGTGTGTGTGTGTGTGTGTGTGTGTCAAGTTGGCAATCCTCCTACCTCTCAAAGTGCTGAGATGATAGCCATGATAGCCATGAACCACAAGAGAATATTAAATGACTTGGTTCCCCTGCTCTGCAGAGTCCTTCAAAGGTTCCCCACTGCACAAATCACAAGGACACCAACCGGTCTTGTCAATTTTTATGTTCCCTGAGAAGGAAACAAAGCTCAAATCGAATGGTTTTAAAGCTATTTCTTGGAGGAAAAACCCGTGTAGACCAACTTCTCTCTATCACTAGTAACACAAGGTCAGTACCTGAAGCCTAAATGTTCAATAAATATTTTCAATAAATAAAGGTTACTTAAAACCCAAACCACTAATGTAAGAATATTTATTAGCTAGCATTGGGCCCCACCTTGCCTTTTATTATTGTCTAGAGTCTCTCAAGCACACCATATAAAAACAGCAGGTAAGTGGTGGCCACAGAATCATTCTCAGTGACTTACTATAAGCACATTTCAAGGGAGGTTGCTCTGGTGACCTGTAAGGAGCAGTTTCTTTCTCAAAGTATATTATGTTTCTTTCAGGGTGTTCTATTCCATTCCAAACCTAGTTCACTAGTTGTGTTTATTGAGCATGCAGGTGTGAGAATATATTTCCTGACAAAAGAACAAAGTTAAGATCCAGCAACCAAGCCCAGCATGGTGGCACACACCTGTAATACCAGCACTCTGGGATGCTGATGCAGGATTGCAAATTCAAGCCTAGCCTGGGCAACTTAACAAGACCCTCTCTAAAAATAAAAACTATAAAATAGACTAGAGATATAGTTCAATGAAAAGTCTTTATGTTCAATCCACAGTACTGCAGGAAAAAAAAAATCCAATAATACTTCAAATACCAAAGGAAAGCACTTCTTGGAAAATATGGACAAAAAGGAAGGGTTGAATAGGGCATGTCTAACAGAAAGTCTAGCAGTAATTAGGCAATGAATGGTGCAGTCATTTCTAGCTATAGTCAAAGCAAATTCAATATGGCAAGTTTAGACACCCCACAAAGTGAATCCTCTCAGCTAATAAACACTGAGTTTTATAGGATTACCTAAACATGCAAGGATGAGAAAAGCTAAGAAATCTAAGTTTTACTCTCAGCTCCCCTAAGTAGCTATAGGGTTTTAAATAAGATTTCTCTGGTTTCAGCAAAAGAGAACAACATCAACCCAGGCATGGTGGGACCCGCCGTAATCCCAGAACTTGTGACACTAAGGAGGGGGATACATGCAAGTTCAAGGCCACCCTGGGATGCATAACGAGATCCTGTCTCAAAAAAATAAAAAAAAAAACCAGCAGAATTTTGACAATAAAGTGAGTCAATGTGTTAGAAGCTGGACCTCTCAAGTCACACAAGTCATGAAATGAGACACAGAGGTTTGATACACAGTGAACATCTGATAAATGTTAGCTGCTTCTATTACACTGTTACTATCACATACTTAGGATTGAAACTCTAAAGACTATGTTCTATGTACCATAAAGCTCAGGAAGCAGAGAAAACATAGCCAGCATATAAAGCCAAAAGCTCTCAGCCTCACTCATGTTAGGACAGGAATGGCATATCCACAGGTTTGGAAATAAACATCAGGGCAGAAAGAAGACAACATTTAGTGAAAACAAGTGGAGATCATTCAAATGAGGAATCAGAAGAGGGAGTAAATGAGGACTACAAGCTCTAATCTATAGCATGCCCAACTCAATTCCTTTCTCCTTAAAGCTATTTGGCTGTAATTCACTCTGAAATGAGACCAACTGAGCACAAGTGGGTGACTGAATCATAAGAATAATGAGAACACAAGAGTATGGTAGTGGAGGAGTAAGTCATACATGTGAAATGTCACTTTTTAAAGATATTCAAAATCTTTTAGAAAAAATACAACCTCAGTCACAGAAAAAGAAATATATCCTTTGGCATCAACTAAATGGTCAATCATCAACTAACATCATTTACATGTCTTTTTTTCTTCTATCTCTTCCTCTGGACAAATAAACCCATTTAGTAAATCTGACTATACAAGTATACCTCAAGTCCTCTTCCCATTTTCATAAAGTCTTAGTATTTTTCATAGGACTCTTGTTGTACTCACTTCTCAATCTAGAAATATAAACTTTGTTTTCAGTATTTAAGGTAGTTTATTAACATAAAATAAGCCAGCTTCCACAACCAGTAACACTGCAATCTTATCTTCTGAGGCACCCTAAAAGCAAAAAGATCAAAGACTTTAGAAAACGCTAAGCTAAATACCTGGTTGTTTTTCACCTTAGGAAATTGTCCAACTTATTCTATAATTTAAGTGGAGGATCTCTATGATTTTGAAGGGGGAGAAACTTAAATCTCTAAAGTCATATACACACACACACACATACATTCACACATACATACATACACACACATATATAGAAAGAGAGACAGACAGACAGACAGACACAGAGACAAAGACATGGAGAGACAGACTGAGACTTTCCCCCTAGGCTGAGAATTGAACCCAAAGCCTTGCATGTGCTAAGCAAGGGCTAGACTCCCAATTCCCTATTTTTCTTTAAAGATGAATTTGATAACATAAAAACTAAAAATTTCTTTAAATGAGGTCACCACAGATAAAAATAATAAATGATAAAATGATAGATTGGGAGAAGATTTCATACTGTCAAAAATTTAAAAGGCTAGGTGCAGTGGTGCATGCCTTTATTCCAGCAGTCAGGAGGCTGAGACAGGTGAACTGCTGAGTTTAAGGCCAGCCTAGGCTATATAATGAGTTTAAGGCCGACCTAAGCTATACACCAAGACTCTGTCTCAAAAAAACCAATACAAAAAAAAAAAAGAAAATTAAAAGGGACTAACATCTTGAATCTTCATACAAGAAACTCCTACAAATCAAAGAAACCAAATAGAAAAATAGGCAAAAGATATAGTCAAAGAAGAGACAAACTAAATAGTCAGCAAAATTACAAAGGGATGCTTAAACTCATTAGCTATCAGAAATATGAACTAAAACATATTAATTTATACATAGTAGATAGGCAATAATTAGAACAATAGATAGTGACAAAAATATATAAACTCTGACAAACAGAACAGAGTAGGCAACTAAATGGAAGGGAAAAGTGGGGGGCCATGGCAGAAGGAGAGCATGACAGAGACAAGTCAATGCATGCTAGGTATAACCTCGTTTTGATTGATTTTATTCTGTGTTTTGTTTTGTTTTTTTGTTTGGAACAGGGGATGGAACTCATGACCCTGGCTTGCCAGGCAGATGCTCATGCCACTGAACTAAATCCCCAGCCCAGCTGTATTCTGTTTTGTTTTGATTTTATCATGTCTGATGTATGGACAGCTATTCTGAAGAAAACAAGAGACATTATAGTAGCCATTGTTGATTTTCTATTATCTACATGAATGGTTGTAACCACTAACATAGAAGTACATTAATGGCTATAATCATTAATGTAAATGGCCTCAATTCACCAATAAAAAGAAACAGAAATTCATAGACCAAAAGTCAAAGGAAAGAAAACAATTGTTTTATGAGGCAGGAAACAAACAAACAAAAAAGCAGGAGTAGCTTGCCCATCAATCACAGAATGGATAAGAAAGATATGGTATTTTCATACAATGGAAAGCTACTTAGCTATAAAGGATAATCTTGAGGCTCTTGTAGGTAAATGGATACAACGTGAGATCATGCTCACAGGTGAAATGATTCAGATTCATATGGGTAAACATCGTGTCATTTCCCTAGAATAAAAAACTGAAGAAGTTAGTGGGATCCAAAATGTATAATAGATATTGTGAAAGAGATAGGGGCGAAAACATCTAAAAAGGCAAGGTAGTAACTAACCACTGTTAATTTCTTATTATTTCATTTTGAATTCCTGTATTGTTTTCATACTTTTGTTAGGTTTGGTTTTCTTCTGTCTTGTTTTGTTTCATTTTACTGTGTCTGATGGTACAGGCAGCTATTTTGAAGATAACAAGTTATATTACAGTAGCCATTATCTGATTTTGAAGTCCTGTAATGCTTTGTTTTGAGTGGTTTCTGTTTTGTTTGGTTTAGTTTTATTATATCTGATGCCATGAACAGTTATTTGGGAAAAAAAAAAAGAAGAGACATTATAGTACCCATTGTAGATTTCCTACTATATTGGTTTGAAATTCTGTATTACTTTCATTGTTCTGTTCTGATTAGCTTTATTCAGTTTTATTCTCTTTAAATTAAAATATATCCCCTCAAGTGTGCTTGGTGGAATACAGTAACTTAGCAAAACTCAGTAAAATTAAGTGTACATAAAATCAATGCAGGGCACAGCATGCCTGTATAGTAATCTCAGTTACTCAGGAGACTGGGGCACAAGAATCACAAATTTAAAACCAACCTGGGCAACTTGGTGAATCCTGTCTCAAAACAGAAAATAAGAAGGGCTGGTAATGTAGCTCAGCATGAAGTGTCATCATATCCCTAAATACATAAAAAGTAAATAACTAAATGGCAGGGGGAGTGGGAAGGAGAAGAGAGAGGAAGAGGGAGAGGAAAGAAGGGGAGGAAAGGGGAAGAAAGGACAAGACAAGACAGGAAAAAAAGGAAATTTCACTTTCGGGTATATTTTCCAAAGAAAGTCTCTTACAAATCCCTAAGGGAACACAAACAGGCTATTTGTGGGAATGACAAGGAAGCAACATAAGGCTAGTAAAAGGATGGAATTTTGAATGAAAAAGTTAGAAATGATTAGTTACCAAGATCCCATTTATGCAAATTAAAAATATGTACACAGGCTACAGTCTACAAGGAAACATACAAATATATGTATGTAAAATATACTACCTATGGAGCAAGAGACTTGTGAATAGGAAATACATATTAAAAAGGAATGCACAAAATGTATGAGTATGCATTATAGGAATGGACTACAAAACTCCTCTGCAACTAAGATCTTTAAAAATACATTGCTTCAGGCCGGGGACTTAGCTCAGCAGCATAAGCACCGGGCTGGCAAGCACCAGGTCCTGAGTTCAATCCCTGGTGCCAAGAAAAAAAAAAATATACTGCTTCGACATCATCCACCTACTTATTTTTCCGTCAGGGGATAATATAAGATTTCCCACTTAGTGAAACTAAGAAGTCTTCCTCCAGAAGCTCCGCTGTTAAGTAGCCATAGTTCTTAACCTTCTGTAAGCCCCCAGCTTTTCCAGTGGGAGATTATTTTTCCCTGGCTTCTGATTGCTATTCTAATTACTGAACCATCAGAACTTTCTCAGAAGAGTAGATCCCTAGGCTAGTTATGCTTTCCTTTTGTTGAGTGGGCATTTACTGAAATGTTGCTCTTCTATGAAGATCAACCTTCCTCCTAAAAATGTTATCTGTATTAGGTCCATTAGTTCTAGAATATTTTATACACTTTACTACTGACTAGTCATGTCCTAAATAGAATGGATTCTTTCAAACATATTTCATAATAAATATAGCAATAGTAGTCGTACAGTTCATTATTTAGCTGATTAGTTCTCTAACTCAGAAGTAGTTTTATAAATGAGTATATGATGCAGGCAACTGAAATACAGGCCCAAGAAATACTGATTAGTAATCTCAACAGATCATACAATAGTTCCCTGAGTTTGAATGGATCTAGCCAATGTACTTTTTCTGTATTAACATTTTCTTCTTTAGTTAATAAAACTGTATCCCAAACAATAAACATGGGATTAACAGGTGACAGCACAGAGTGAGAGAGTAATACCTTTACACACCTAAAGAATGACAGTATGAAGGCATAACCCAAAAACCCCCAAGATGTGTCAGGAACCTATTTCCTCAACCCAATCCATATAGGTTTGATATTCCTAGGATTTCCCTTTCCACCATGCCAAATGAAGCAAGGAAAAAATAAGTCTTTTTTCCTGCACATTAGTACATGATTTCAGTGCTTCCTCAGCACTGAATTGCCCTCACTATATTGAAGTCTACAATATCTTACTTCTGCTTTCCAAGAGGTACTTTTTATTTTTGGACTTCTAATTTTAGTTTGTGCTTACCTACTACACTTTGCAGTCATCTCTCTGCTTGTGTATTATTCCATTTTTTAAAAATATTATTTCCACCTGTGAGTCTAATATGCCCTAGAAGGATTAGACTAATATTAATTCACTTTATCATTTCTTTGTTCTACTATTCATCAACTCAATTCCATATAACATAAATGCACTAAGCAAGGATAATATGAAGTAGAAGCTATAGTTCAAATTTTCTCAAATGAAGTATTTTCTAGCCCATCAGTCACCTTCCCCAAGACGTATAACCAAGGGGATCACAGACATTGTAAGGTCACAGGCATTTAATCTCAAAGCCCCAACCTTGACATTCAGGAATTCCCAATTCTTCATTAAATAGCTACATTAAGATTTCACTGCCAGGCATGTTGGTACATCCCTGGTGATCCCAGCACTCAGAGGAGGCTGAGGCAGGAGAATCACCTCTAGTTTCAGACACTAAATTCAAGGCCATAATGAGATCCTGTCTCAGAAAAATAAATAAAATAATAATAATAATAGTAATAATAGTAATAAAAGATTCCACACAGCAAGCCCACATGGTGCAGGCCTGGAATCTGAGTACTCTGGGTAAGGCAAAAGGATCCCAAGTTTGAGCCCAACCTGGTCAACTTAGCAACTTACGACACCTTGTCCTAAAAAACAAAAAATAGGCTGAGAAAGTAGCTAAGGAGTCCCTGGGTTCAATCCTCAATGCTGCTACCTGGTTTTGGGGTTCTGGAGTTTCTTATAGGTAGTTTTACGTTCTTTCTATCCTGAACACAGAATTAGTCAAGACAAATGTAAAAAGTAATGAAGTTTTATATTTATTAAAGGTAAGAGGAAAACAGATATAAAAAGAGAAGAAACATGCTTTGCAGAGAAAGTTCAGGCCAACTAAAACTAGGAAAAGAAGTACACTCTACTGTGTGAAAGAGTAGTGGCTCAATGAGGACAGGTCCAGGCCATCCTATCAGAAGCCCAGTCCAGTTCTAGTAGAAAAAACTAAAGGTAGCACTCTCTGATTGGTTCCATCTGTAGGGCTTTGGAACCATTCTGCAGTGTGTCAGGAAACTGTAATTAACAGGCCATACTCCCAAGGCAATTTACCACACCTTAACCTCACCTACCTCAATACTGCCACAAAGAGAGACAGAACATTATGGAGTTGGGGTATAGCTCAGTCTTAGAGCATGTACCTAGCACCAGGAAATAAAAGAAGAGAAAAAGTGTTCAAGTGCACACACACCTAAAACTAGATACCAATAATTGACTAGTGGTTTTTAGGAAGATAAAACTGTAAGTAGCAAAAATACATCTAAAGCCTATTCAGAGCTCCTTAAAGGGTCCTAAACTTGGTTATTCTTCGTTCACATGGCTGTGAAGGACAGGGCTCAATCTAAACACTCAATTTTCTTGTCATTTTCTGTAAAACGATCGTTCGATATTCTAAATCTTAAGAAGCATTGTGCCTACCTTCAGATATTTCCTTTTTAAAAGTAAATGGGCAGGTGGGAGCCTGAAGTCATTAGTATAAGTATTCAAGCACTTGTGATACCTCTATGAGAGATGCAGATTCCCTGTTAAAGCAAGTGGTACGTTTCTCTGCTAGTCCCAGGACTTACAAGATCAAGTCTATCAACCCTCTCCATCAGGACTCCAGGATCGATGGGATCACCTGACAAATTTCCTTGTGCGTTATAAATTTAGCATTCATTCTTCTTCTGGAGTTGAGCATGCTGTCACTAGATAGTTACCACAGCCCTTACCACTGATTCTCTCGCTTCTACACCTCCTAGCACACATGTCATACATTTTAATGGGGTATTTGTCCACAAATTATGAGACCTTGAGCTCATATAAAGCTAAAGTAACTTCGTTCTTATTTTCAACTAGCTTTTTTTCCTCGTGGTTAATCTGAGCCAACTGAGATAAGTATTTCCCATCCAGACCTGCTGTGTATGTGGAGGTGGAGCTTGCTGATGTATTTTTAAAGACACTAACCAGACTGGAGTTTGTAGAAGTGGAAGTGGAAGTGAAAAATAACTGTTCCATCCCCATTTACAGTAGTCCTCTGGGTATCAGTCTCCCGGCCCCTGAGCTTTCCTCGCCAGCAGACATTCAGTAAATGTTTACTGAGTAAGAACGTTACATTATGCAAAACTTTTGGCAGGACCTTCTTGGAATATGTTGCTTCTTTGAGCCGAAAACCATAATTACTTTGAGGTTGAAAGAGTGTTTCTGGCATTGAGGAGAGAAGTCCTGGGCGGGTTTTCTTGGCCTGGGAGGAAAAGAAGCAAGAAAGGCAGCCTCGCGGCTCTCTCTCGGCCGGTTTCTAAAGAAGTCGTGAGCAACCGAGGAACCCCACCAGCATGGCCACACCCGGACGTCACCGGGGGGATAAGAATTCACACGCGCGCACACCAAACTACCGAATCCCGCGGACCGGGTCGCAGCCTTACCAGGTTGCGGCAGGTCGCGCAGCGCGGGGTACATGGCCCCAATTCCCGCTCCTGCCCAGGGGTCGTACAGAGGAGTCGCGCTCTCCGCAGGTGACGGCCGCGGCGACACCAGCCAGCTAGCTGGCCAGTGGCGCGACTTCCGCAAGGTGACTACAGACGGGCATTTAGCCCGTAGCTGTTGGGCACGTGCTGCTTCCCAGGCACACCGCGGGTCCTCGGCGCAAACCACGCAGCCAGACACTCGCGGAGTACGTGACTGCAACCACCCTCAGCCTTCAGGCTGAGGCGTAGCTCTCAGCGTGGTTACCTTCGCACACCATTTAGCCTCGCGTAAGAGAACCCGCCTCCTCTTACCTGTGACTGGTCTGTAGGAGTTGCACGCCGTCTTATTGGCTCTTAGTCTTAACCAATCGATGGAGTCTTAACCCCTGAGCCCTTTGGGAAACGTAGTCCTAGATGCCAAGTTTCCGCAGAGACCAGAAGCATCGCTGCTTTGTTCTTAAAGTTTGGCTTTGGGCCTCCTGCAAGTTCAAATTAGGGTGCCAAAACTGCGTTGGCCTGCAGCAGTGTTAAAAGCCAGGAACTTCGGGTCAGGATGCCAGCACTGGTTTCCTTTTACTGGCCTGGGCAACATAACCTCCTAGACTCTCTATAATACTGAAAATAGGAGATGGGGGTCTGGTAATAATTACTATTTTATAGAACTGTAAATCCCATTGAACTCATCCACCCCAAACCCAGTTTAGACTTTAAGCTTCCAACACTTTCTTGGTTGTGTGAGGCTTCTTTCCCAGTGGATTCATCCTCATAGGAAGAAGTTCTGATACGAGTGAACCTAAATATCCATCGCTTACATTATACAAGCAGAAAATTCATATGCCAGCTGTATGCATTGTTCTGTGGACTTGGTCGTGTGTAGAAAATCATTAAGTTATTCTTTGTGTCCTGCTAGTCAGAGTCCTCAAAATGTAAACTGAGGGCCAGATCTGGGACAGAGGATTGCTGCAGCCGGGGTCTGTTGAAGTGACCTTTGGCTTTCTGGAGAAGACTGGAGACTTTGTCCCCAAGGTGAACCCTGTTATCTCCCTTCCTCAAATTCTTCCAGAATTTTAAGATTTAGACCCACATTGGGGCTGGAGGTTTAGCTCAGCGGCATAAGCGCCTGCTTTGAAAGCAAGCAGTGGTGAGTTCGATCCCCGGTGCCGATAAAAAGGAAAAAGACAGAAAAAAGAAAAAAAAAAAAGAAAAGAAAAGAAAAAAAGATTTAGACCCACCCTTGGTATCACATATGAACATATGATTACCCACACAGATTGTACTAAATAAGCAGAGATTTTGAGACTGTGTATGTGACTCTAACACCAATACAAGGTAATTTCAAAGAATGGAAAGGAACCAGATGTATGGTGGTGCATGGTGGTGCATGCCTATCCCAGCCCTCAGGAGACTAAGGCAGGAATAGTTTGAGGCCAGCCTGGACTCGTAGTCAGAGTAATACTCTGTCTTTAAAAAAAAAAAAAAAAAGCCAGGAAATTTGGGATTTATATCTAAATATAATACCTGTAACAGGCTTCCCTCTACCTTCCCTCCTACATTAAGAAAATTACCATTCTCTGTGATATTTGATACCTAGGGATCAGTTGACTTCATTTGTGCCATCTGCTCTACAGATTCCAAAAGCATCCATCACCCCAGGCACCCTCAACCAAGAGATTTTGCATTAAACTATATTCCCAATTCCCCTTTTTAACGATTTTGATACAGAATCGGTGAGTCCCAAACATTCCCAGGCTGGAATGAAATTTTCAGTCCTCCTGCCTGGGCTTCTCAAATAGTTGAGATAACAAGTGTTCACTAATACACCTTTTAGTTGTCAAAAACAGTCTATGTTTTAGCAAGCTAACTATGCTAGCACCCAAAGGTAGATATTAAAAGCAAAAACAGAATTTAACTAGTTATGTGATATTACTAATTAGGAACTGAACTTTTAAAAATCTTATGTGCGCTCGTATTTAATCTTTACCCTACTATTCAGCCAGGAGTCAGCACCCAATGCAGTAAGTCAGGGAATAAGTAAGCAAAATGTATTTCCAAATTCTAAAAGTGTCAGTATTCAAACTACAGATGGAAGCCAGCTATTGAATTTGATTATCTGTATGTGATTCTACAGAAATTTAGAAAAAGCTGGTAATAGTAATGCTGCCATATTATGAGCCTTAAAAACATTAAAGTCATTAAGGTGCCGAAAAATGGTTACAAATTTTAATGATGGAAAGCATTTTTGTAACTTTAAAACTTTACTATATCTAGTGCTAGTGCTGAGAGCTAGTGAAACTTTTAAATATCAATAAAAACTTGTATGTAATTTTCAAAGGACTATGACAAAGAATCTCAGGCCAAGGATGTCATGTAAGAAACAAATGAGTAAAAATTTTGGTTCACTGTCCCAAAAAACTAAAAGGAATATTTATACAAGGTTTAAGTGCAAGAATGTTTTTTAAACTTCTTCAGAAAATCCAAGTAAGTGTGGAGTGAGGGTATTCTTTTTTTCTTTTTTTTTTTTAGTTTGATCTTGTGGGGTTTTTTTGTTTTGTTTTGTTCTTTGTTTTTTGGGTTTTTTAAAACTTGGTTTTGGCTAAGAATAATACAAATATTTTTATTTAGTAGATAACAATATTAATCACCTTAAAATCTTGAATTAGAGCTAAACTTGATAATTACCAATACATCTTTTTAAAAATGAGACATAAAAATAAAAGTAATTCAGTAAGTATTTTTAAAAATTACTTGAATCTTGGAAATTTACATAATAAACATGGAAATCAGAAATAATTTTTAAATTGAAATGTAGGAATTAAGAGAATTAGGCAGCATTGGTTTCTGGCCCTGTCTAGAAGGTAAGATCCAATTAAGATATCAAGTTGAAAGTTAGAATTTCTGTTGTATTTTAGATCAATTCAAAGTCATGAAAAGTATTCTTGAACTACTGAGAGGAGGTTGTTTTTGTTTTTTCAGATGGGGTCTTTCTGCAAAGTTGAAGCTGGCCTTGGACCCACTATATAACCCAGGCTGGCCTGGAATGGAGTCAACCCTCTTGCTTCAGCCTCCCTGAGTGTTGGAATTACAGGCGTGTGCCACCATGCCTGGATGGTCTATTGGTATCTAAAGATGCAATTGTTGAAGTCCTATGATTTGTTTGGATTATCTCTTATTTAACAAATATTTATTGGCTCCATGAAATAAATGATAATCATATATATTATCATATATTATAGATTATTCTAAAGATTCTTGCTATGGCAGAATCTCACTCAAAACTAGTTGCTGTTATTCTTATTTTACTGATAAGAAACACAAGATAAAGAGAAGTTAGACAATTCCCTCAGATCATGGTAACACATGGTAAACCTTGGGCTGAAATCTGGGGAAGGCATAACGTTGGAGATTACATGGGCGCTTGGTCCCGTCCTTCAGAGCTCTTCCCCTGCTAATCTGGCTGTCTCAATTGAGGAGCTTTCCTGTACCATGACCTTCCACTATAAACTTCCTGTCTTGGAACCTGCTGACCATGGACCTCTGCGACTGCGAGGCTAAGTAAGCCTCTCCTGTTTTAAATCATGAGTGTCAGGCATTTTGTCCCAACAACAGAAAGCTAAATACGGGATGAAATCCTGGAATTTTAACTGCTTTACATTTTCGATAGGAGATGTTTCTACTTGGCTCGTTGTTTAAACAAACGTGAAACTCCAGTGTTAGTTGTTCCAGACTTTCCTGTGCTGTGGTAGGTCAGATACCTTCACCAGGTCTAATGCATGTTGTTCACCTTGCATAATTTGTGCTTTATGTTTCTGCATCCCATAAGATGTACAAAATGCCCATGTATATGTACATGAGATATTAAATACTTCATAATACAGGTTTTGTGTTAGATGATTTTGCTGAACTGTAAGCTAATATAAATTTTATGAACATGTTTAAAGTAGGCTAGACTTAGCCATAATGTTCAGTATGTTAGGAATATTAAGTACATTTTTATGATATCTTCATCTTACAATGCATTTGTTTGGATATAACCCCACTGTATGTTAAGGAGCGCTTACATTCTCATTTTGTCTGTACATCATTTTCTTGGTGTCCTGTCTTTGCGTATCGTTATCTTTTAGCTCATACTTATGCTAGTTGATTTAATATTAATAATTTCAATGTCTGGATTTCTTTAGAAACAGTCACTAATTCTTTAGTTCTTATGAATAGACTACACTTTCCTACTTTTTGCATGTCTCATGATCTTTTATTGAGAATTAGAAATTGTATTATATTCTGATAACTCTTGAAATACAATTCTCGCACTCCTCAGAGATTTCTGGGTTGTGTCTGTTGGGGCCTGGAGTATGCCTTCGGTGACTGCCACATTATTTCTACAAAATGCATGCTTCTGGTTGTGGTCTGTAAATTTTCTCTTCCACTGTCTCTCCATCAACTACCAACATTTCCTTAAATGTCTGGCTCTAGAAAGGTGGAAGGTAAAATTCTGTTTCTTTCAATGTCCCTGGCTGGGAAGTCATGCCAACCCACAGGGTTTGAAACAGCAGCTGAGCCCTGTGATGTGCCCTCAGCAACCAGTAAACATACAACCCTGATTTTCAGAGTGCCAGGTCCTTATTGCCCACTTGGCTGCCACAAGCCACACCAAGAATGCTTGGTGCTGTTGCACAGCTGCTTGCTGTGAGACTGAGGCCTGGGATTCAGTGGTGGCTACTGCAAGAAAGCTGAAATTTACTGAAATCAACTACCAGTTCTTTCAGAAGTTCCCTTCTGGGTCCTGTTGTTCATGCTACGAGATGAGAATTCCACAACAGTTCCTTCAGACACCTCTGCCAGTTCACTTGTTTTGGTAGGGGAATGAATTCTTGAACCTTCCCTATTTTACCTTCTTGACACCACCTGTGGGGGTTTTGTTTTCGTTTTGCAGTGCAGGGGATTAAACCCAAGGGCCTTCATACTAAGCTACATCCCAAGCTCCTTTTTGAGATAGGGTCATACGAAATCATTAAGTTGCCCAGGCTGGGCTCAAATTATGATTCTCCTGCCTCAGTTCCCTGAAGTGCTGGGATTATTCTTTTTGCACTTTGTGTAGAAGGCCAGAATTTTTATTCTTTTTGTGTCTAGTTAACTGTAGTTTGTTTTTTGTGGTGCTGGGAATTGAACCTATGCTAGGCAAGTTTTCTACCACTGAGCTATATCTCTAGCCCTTTCATTTTTTGAGACAGGCTCTGGCTAAATTGCCCAGAATGGCCTCAAACTTATGACCCTTGTACTTCAGTCCCTCGAAGTAGCTGGGATTATAGGCATATACCACCTCATGCCTGATAATTGTTTATTTTGTCTTTATAATTTAAAAAAATTTTTTTAAAAAGCAGAATGTATGTTTCTTTTTATCCTTCTTCTTTAGGGACTTACAATATTTTACTCAATGTAAGTTTTATTTAATGACATTTTTGATTACTATTTCTATTCAAAAATAATTACGGTTTTAAAAAATTTAGATCAGTTTTCATTTCTATTTTTGGTCATTTGTCTTTACAGAAATGTTTTTTTCATTGCTACTTTAATTTCACCTCATCTTTTTTCATCTATTCTTCTCAGATCAGCCCTTTTCAAGTAAGTGAACATAATGGCATTTATTTGTTTACACCAAGTACTCATACTCTACTTCTCCGTGTATAACGCTACCTACAGTGCTAATCTTTTCCTTCTCTAGTAGCTTGCTGTCTAAAGGGCTCATGGTAACTGGCTCTGTGTTTCTGCTATAATGGTTTCCCAGAAACTCTGAGCCATGCCAAAGGATCTCTGAGTGTACCCTGGTGGACTCCCCAGCATTTCTTCTGTCCATCTGTCTTAACAATGGAGAAGTCTGCACTGCTGCCAAGAGAACTTTTAAAGGTTTAATGGATGGGCATTGTGGTAGTCTATGATCCCAGCACTTTGGCAGGCTGATGCAAGAAGTCTCTGTAAGTCACTAAATTGCCCAGACTTGGCTCAAGTTTGCTATCCTTCTGCCTTGGGATTACTGGCTTGTACCATCAGGCCTCGCAAGATTGAGTTATTAATGAATTCAAAAGGAAAAAATAAAAACCAGTCTCCACTGCCATGTTATCTGCAGGATGCAAACACTTCTGATACTTCAGTGTGACCCCTGTGCAGGCTCTAGAGTACTTGAGAAAATGCAAAGAAATAGCAAAAACACTTGGTGTCAGCTTTTTAACTAATCCAGGAAAACTGGGTAAATGTTTGTCATCTTGGTAACAACTAACACTTCTTAAAAAGTAAATTTCTGATTTGATATTGTTTAGATGTTTCCTTTCATGTGAGAACTGTAGAGAGCTCATCTCCAGCTAAGATGAGAAAGTCAAATGTTTCCATGTAAAACCGATTAGTTACTTTCAAGCAGTTTTATATTACCAACTAGATGTACAAGATTTTGTGTGCCCATTACTGTGATGGGACTTCATATCAATATTTGTCAGGACTCTCCTAATGATCTTAAAACTTTTTGATTGCTTTTAGCTAACTCTTTAATCCACAAGTTTACCGTTAGAGGTTTTTAGAATCTTCACAGAGCCCGAAAATATGTGCATGTATATATCTATATATCTATATCTATATCTATATCTATATCTATATCTATATCTATATCTATATATCCAGGGCTTAACCTAGACCTTCACAATGTGAAATCTAGAGGTCAAAGTTGGGTGTTATATTTATCAACTGGGAATTCACAAGTGACCTGCTCCTAATCCATTCTTCACTCACCTCTAATTAGATCAACCCTAGGTTTCTACCTTAAATTTACTCTGTACCAAACATGCCATTCTCTACTTCTTTAAGAGATGTAAATGAGAGTTTAAAATATGATGGAAATTTTAAAAGAATAAGTTTGTTTGCATGTAACCAAAGTGGCTGGTTATTTCTTTGAAAAAATAAAAACAGGGATCCTTTTTCTTTTACAAATTTAGTTTAATTGATAATTCAGCATCAGAAATGAAAGTGACTTCTAGAATGAGAGTATAAACATGTTTATTATTTTTCAGTTTATTTCCTTTCTTCATTTATTAGCAGATAGTATTGATCCGTTTTCTCACTGAATGTGGTAAAGTTAAAAATTTAGGTAGGTGAGTTAGCCACACCAGCCCTAAAACACCACAAGTTCCCCTAGTAATACCCTCAAAGAAGAGTAACTTCTCAGTTTCTCCCTCATGTTTATGGATGGGATATAGCACCTGCTTGAAATAAAACAAGAGTCAAGAGCTCACCTACACACTACTCAAAAAGTATCTGGCATAAAACTCAAGGTTCAAATATTTTAGAAATCTGTAACTACCAACAACTTAGTAATGAAGTAAATTAAATGCCTAAAGGTCAAGGATTCTAAGTGAGTCAGTGCGGTAATAACAGTATCATGTTACCAGACAGTTGCTAATGGAAAGTGTCATTATTTCCAGATGTCTATGGAAATCTACAAAAATCTAAGGAAACAGACTGTAGTAAATAGACATATTGCTACTTTTCTAAAACACTTTAAATGCTGTTTGCAACTGGGTTTTTTTATTACTCATTTCCTGGTTTTTAAGGACCCAAATAAATAGTTTCTGCTTTGTTCTCCATAAGCTGTCAACAAAGGGGAATAACAGAAAGAGTGGTTTTAGCATATGGTAGCACAAGCAGGAAAGTGAACAAACATTGAACAAAGCAGGGCTCCACGTCAGGAGCGCTGTTGGCATCTGGTGTCATGAAGCCAGGCTTGACACCAACACAGCCAAACTTGGGACCTGTTAGAAGGCACTATCCCCTCTTGGTGGTGAACCCCTGACCACCAACAAAAGCCTCTCCCACTGCATGCTGCACAAAAGGCATCCACCCAAAGGCTATGTGCTGACTGGTCCACCAGGGAAAAGAACTCACCTCTACTGCCCTAGAGGTTTAAATCCTTCCTGTTAACTCCGGTTTCATTCTAACAGATCTTAACATAGCACAAGGAAGGCCAATCTGGAGTGCTAGAAGGTACCTATTGTCTCTTGTTATAAACAACTACTGTGGGAGCCTACTTATTTAAAATCAGAGCACTCATCTATGGCATCTCTAAAGAATCTCTGTGAATAAGGATTGGGAAAAGCACAGGAATCTGAGTAATTCTAAAACTCATTTACCTAACTGACCACATTTTCATCTCTAGCAAACAACTCAGTTCTATGTTTCCTCAGATAAGTAAGGCATTAAATCCACCGAGGGATTATCTAGTCTTAGACAATGAACAACTGACTGTAAACTCAATTTCAAAAATTCTAAATACTAAATCTTTTGTATAGTTCATTTCTTTGCCGGGCAGGTCCCTCTCAGATATTCTACTCAACTAAAGAGAGACAGCAGTACCATTTATACTTAGGTAGAGCTAATCTTTGGATAAACCAGAAAATAAAGTGCTACAACCTCTAACATTCTCCTAGAGATAAGTACATAAGCATATTAGATATGAGGGCTTTTTAAAAAATATCAAACATTTAGCAACTTGTGATTTTTCCCCTGATCTTGAATCTTGAGTATTTTGGATTTTCACTTTTTTTTTTCTTTTTTTAAACTTGTCTTCTAGCTCCAGATCTTCCTCATTTTAAAGCTAATAAATTGCTTTGCTTACTCAAAGGAACAAACTAACTGCATATTGCATTTAGCTAAAGAATTCAGAAATAAAACTATTTATGAAGCACACTATGCCATACTATCAAAAATCCATTTCAGTCACGTTATTCTGCTAGACTGAGCTCCTACAAAATTCTTCCCACTGTAATAAAGCTTGTCAAAGTTCCCAGGAAACCAACTGTGACTTCAGCTTTTATTGCATTCTGACAGGATCAAGGTTTACAGAACCTCAGCATCACAGATCGCTCTCTCCGTAGAGCGCAGAGGAGAAGGCAGTGTAATCCAGGGCCCCAGGCACACTGCCTGGGCCTGAGTAGGCAGGCATCCTCTTGATGCAGTACTGGGCCTGATCTGGGGGCAGCTCTCGGCGCAGTTCCTCTGCCAGGATATATGGCTGCAAAAACACACAAGTGTTTGCCAAGTCAGTCCCAGGAAACATTGCATTTGAACAGTATTATACTTACACATTTCTTGCCTTTAGTTTAAAAAACAGATCGATTTAAAGGGAGCCTACCAAGCATTTGTACCAGACAACCAACAAAACGCTGAGTCCTACTGTGGAAGGATATCTACAAAGTAACTTGCTTTTTGGCCAAGAGGATATTTAATACTGCTTCATAAAGGCCAATGGAGAAGCATCATCAATGTTTCTCAAACAGACTCCTAATGTGGGCAATAAAAATTATGATCTAAATTTCATATCACATAGTTCAATTAATTTATGTCATTCACTGAAGAGAATAGAGTATGTATTTAACTCAATCGGTATACTGATTTAGAAACAAAAATGTATGTGCCATGAGCTTTTTGAAAATGCAGTAATTTGGGGCTGGGGATTTAGCTCAGCGGCATAAGCACCTGCCTTGCAAGTAGGCGGTCGTGAGTTCGATCCCTCGTACCGATAAAAAAAGAAAAAGCAGTAATTTTCCAATTTGGATTATCAAAAAAATAAAAAACCTAGAAATATGTTGCTACAGGAGAAAACCATTGTTTATAATATGACTGACATTTAGTGGTGGAGTTTTCCTTTTTAAATGTCAGATAGCCAATGAGAAGTAGGACAATTATGATAAAGTGGATTGGTGAATAATGGTCAAAAATAAATTAATCACCCATAGCGTAGGAGTTTTTGGGGGGACAATGGTTGATTGAATTTACTGCTCAATTAGATGTTCTCTCGGGGGGCCCTTCGTCCCCGCCGTCCGGGCGCCCCGCACCAGCCCCCTCCCCTGTTCTGTCCCGCGCGGTAGCGGAGGAGGACCCTTAAACCTAGAGAGATGAGGTGACTAATTCAAGGTCACAGTGTTGGGAGTGGAATCCAGACCTCCTGATTTTCTTGCTGACTGCATTATCTTGTGAATTCCACACCACTCATTTTATGGATGAAACCCCTAAGATATGGAACAGTGAACTGAATAGTCACCACCCCACCCCTGGAGCCTCACACATGACTCTTCTATTCAAGTGACCACAGGGTTTCACTGTGTATTCTCGGCTGGCTGCCAACTCAAGATCCTCTTGCTTCAGTTACTGGGATTACAGTGTCTGTCCAAGTTTTCCAAGCTGGTTCAAACTTGTGATCTTCCTTCCTCAGCTTTCCAGAGAAGGTTATAAGCATCATCATCAGACTTGGCTAGCTGACTTAAGAGGACCGCCTGTTTGCAAGGCAGGTGCTTATGCCACTGAGCTAAATCCCTAGCCCCAAATTTTAATCTTTCAAAGAACCAACTCTTGGGGAGGAGGAGAACATGGCGGACAGACAACAGCAACTACCGAAGGCTCTCTGGAAGACTCGGCTCAGAGGCCAGGAATGATGCGGACTAAGGAGTCACGAACCAGTAGAGATATGCTCTGCTGACTCAGGAACGAACTGGGCTGAGAGAAACCAACTTAAAATATAGTCCTGCCGCTAAAATAGGAACAGAAAAGGCTCGGTGTGGAGGCTCGACTACGCGCCATTGGAAACCGCGATTTGGGTATCCCGCCGCGATTTGGGTTTCCCCGCCGCCCGGCGGCTGGCTGCCTCCACAAGCGGCTCGGCAAGGAGAGACGCGCAGAAGCTCGGGAACGGGAGTCTGCGAACGGAGTCGAAAACAGGACGGACAAGAAGGCGTACACGAAAACTGACTGGTGGCAAGGTGAGCGAGAAAACTGAGCCCCTACCACAGTTTGACTCCAGCGGAGGTTTTTCTGGGCTCGGGCAGTCCTGTAAGAGCAGGGCGCCGTGGCAACTCCAGCCACACATTCCCCTCTCGGACGGGATTGGTGAAAAGTCCCTGGCCTGAGTGACGCTGCTGGCGCACTCCCTAGGCTGGCCTAACCCAGATCCCAGAGCCTGACGGTGGCCCGGAGGAGCGACTGACTCCCGCGTAGGCTGCCTCCTCCGTGACTCCCTGGTGCGCAGCGGTGGGCGGGAACAACTAGCCAGCGCAATTTGACCAGGCTGTGGCTGACAGGCAGGGAAGCCGGGCTTCCTTTGTAAGCTTGCATTTTATAAGGAAGAGAAAATATGGGGAAGGGAAGCAACAAAAAAGGCTCCTCGGCCCCCAATCCTGAGAAACAGGCAATAGTGGACACCGCACCAATATACATTAAGCGCCATCTAGAGAGCCTCATAGACCAATTCAGGAATGAAGTTATCAACGACCTGAAGCTAGAAGTATGCAGAATAGTTAGAGAAATGCTAAGCGCCACCCAGGAAAAAACAGATGGTGGAATGGAAGAACAGAAAAAGAGGGGAGAATTGCTTGATGGAGAAAACAGATTGAGTATGTGAAGCAGGTTCAAAGGGACTATCAAGAAATTAAGAAGTCTATCGAAGACTGGCATAACAGCTTGAAAGAAACTAAGGACAGACTATCTGAACTGGAGGGCAGACTTGTAATATGGGAGAATGAAATGAAAAACTTCTTAAAAATGACAAAGAAACAAACAGCAATAATACAAAGACAAGAAGATAATAAGAGGAGCCATAACTTAAGGATTAAGAACATAAAAGAAGAAGTAGGGACACAAACAAGTGAACTACAAAAGCTACTCACAGAAATAATCCAGGAGAATTTTCCTAATTTAGCAAAAGGTAAAGATACTCAGATGTATGAGGCATACAGGACCCCAGCTACCTACAACCCAAACAGAGAAACACCCAGGCATATAATAATAAAAATTCCAGAAATTCAATACAAGAACAGAATATTAAAAGCTGTAAGAGACAAGAAACAGACTACTTACAAGGGAACACCCATCAGAATTACAGCAGATTTCTCTTCACAAACCATCAAATCACGAAGAGCGTGGGGGGAAATAATTCAAGCTTTGAAAGATAATAATCTCCAGCCAAGATTGAGATATCCTGCACAACTGTCCCTGGAAATTGATGGAAAAACGAGGTGCTTCCAGGATAAAGAGGAACTGGGGGAATTTGCAACCACCAATTCAACCCTACAGAAAGTATTGCAGGATATTCTAAAAAAAGAAAAATACAAAGAACCCAGAAATAGTGGCGGGGAGGCTACAACGAATGGAGCAGAGAACAAAATGAAGAAGACAAACTGACAGCTACTGACAGAAACAGAGCTCAACAGAAATGAGACAGAGACGACTGGATGATAGGAACAGCTATTTTGGAGAAAATGACATCTTAATAGGTAATACTGATTTAGTACCATCTTGTTTTGAAGTCTCATCTAGCTTTTGTTCTTCTGTCTCCAATGGTCTAAACAGGTTGTATCTTATTGGATTTTATTATGTACGATAGTATAAGCAAAAACCTTGTAAAGACAAGGAGACTATACAGAAACCATTGTACATTTTCTGTTAGTCGATTCTAAATACTCTATAATGCTGTCATTCTCTTAAATGGTTTTACATTGTTTTGATATACTTAATGCTACAGTATACGAAGTTGTACTCAAGGACTTCAAGGAAAGAGTCAATATGGTAACTACTTTTGGGTCGGAAATATCTGGTGGTGAAACACTATTCTGCTTAAATGGTTATGTTTTGATCTGCCCTGTTTCGCTGTTATGCCCTCTTTTTTTTCTCAATCTCCACTCCATTATTTACTTTTTTATTTTTATCCGTTTAATTAAAGGGAAAAAATAGCAGGATATAATATAGTAACCCACTATGACTTTCTATTATCTCGATTTGAAGCCCTGTATTACTCTCACCATCTTGTTTTTGACTCAGGTTCCTCTATTCTGTTTTGCTGGATAGTATCAGGTTCGAAAGTATAGGCATCAGCTGAGAAGATAATGAGATTCATTATAACGCCCATTCTCGTTGACGTTTATCTACTTTTGAAGACCTACAATATCTCCAATGTTTTGGTTTTGTCGGTTTTATTCTATACTGTTTTGTTCAATTGTATTACAACTAATGATATAGGCAATTCTATTAGAAATAGCGGGAGGCATTATGGTAACCATTGTTGATCACCTTGTATTATGTTTTTATGTTATCTATTATATCCACCCTTTTGACTTGACCGATTCGGTTCTGTTATGTCACATTTGGTTTTACTCTCTTCCAAAAAAGCAATAAGAACTGTGGGAGCAATGAAACCCAAAATGTGTAATAGTCACAGTACAAAAGAGAGGAAAAGAAAGTGCTCTAAACTATATAACTGCATGTATATTTAAATGTATGAGATAGAAAATGATATCACAGAGTTTTATTGGATCAGTGAACAGAACTGTTTGCAGTATCATTGTTGGAATGTCCACTCTACAAGCTTTAATTTTGTGACTTGAACAATTATTTCTAAGATGGCAATATGTAATCCAGTAACTAGTGACCTCCTACTGCACATTTTTTTCTTCTGTAAATCTGTATAACTTGTACCCCTTCACTGTTTTTTTTTCTTTTCTTTTCTCCTTAAATAAAAAAAAATAGATGTTCTCTCTGTCCCCACTCTTACAGTAAGTTATTCACTGTAAAACAAACATTATTTTTGAAATTGTTGCTCCTGTCTGATTTTTATGGTAATAAACATGGCTGAGCTGATATGTTCTAGCATCCCCATTTCCCCTGGGATAGTTTTTTTACCATTCAGTTAGAACACAGGGTAAAATAATCCTTTTCCAAATTGAATTTCTGCATTCTGAGACATTTTTTGTTTAGAGATGAAATTTTAAAATTCTGAGCCTGCAGTAACATTCTTAATTTCTAGGCTCTGTATAATGAAATTCCTGCCAGTTTTTAAGATGATTGAGTAGTTATATGTAACTGTTCCAGCAGCTGAGCACAAAGTCAGGTCAGTGACCCTTACAGGGAAAATTTCCAGTTCTCTAACAACTGATTTGTTTAATGTCTTCTTTCTGTGTCACATGCACCAACCCAGAATGTATAACGGGATTAAATCAGTAACCCATGCCCACATAGCTGTACAAGATACACACTATTAGCCCTGCTATAAAACAGCATGAGACACAGTGCAAATACCAGGGATGGAAGGTGCCTTTTCTCTGTATGCAGCACCCTACTGTGCTTCTGCCGCATTCCGTGCTGATGCTGTGCAAAATGCACTGCTATGAGAATGGTTTCTTTTGGCAACCTGTTTATTTGGCTAAAATTATGTGGTGAATTACTGCTAAAGGAGAACGAAAAACAGCAATTCAGACCTTGTCAGAAGCTAGGATCCGGAAAGAGGCGATGACCTGCTCTGCAGTGTCAGTGTCCGCAGTCTCTCTAGTCATGAAGTCAATGAAGGACTGGAAGGTGACCGTGCCTTGTCCGTTGGGATCAACCAGGGTCATAATGCGGGCAAATTCAGCTTCACCCTGAGTGAGACAAGATGACAGACAGAAATTCAGTTTCTTTATCACTGAAAACCTAAATAATCTGGCATTTTCTTTCAGTCTCTAAAAGAGATTCACTTTATGGTTGAATTAGGCTGCCATCAAACAATTTTAAGAGTTGCTGTAGCATCAAGTCAGAAGTACCTGAATATAAGAATTCTTTTCTCTTGTGATCTATGATGCTTTCTTGGGTCATATAAGGTAACGAAGGAAGACTAAAGCAAGAGTTGGGCCTTTTCTTAGACTGCAAGTGACAAAGTGATATTGCTCAACAGGCAATTCAGAGATGGTTCTCATGATTTTATATTCAATTTCTGGAAGGAGCTAAAGCAAATCATATTAAATATATGCATCAAAAGGAAACAGAGAAGTTTGGGTATACTGGAACAAACAAAGTCCATAGAAATGTCTTATTACCTATTACTAAAACCTTTTTACCTTTTAAAATGTTAAAGGCAAAAACACCTTAAACCAGAGGTTAAGTCACCAGGATGCTAAATGCTACTGAAGTGTACACTTTTAAGAAATGAACTGTAGTGTGTGAATTATAGCAGTAACCTTCCTAAAAATCATTGGGAAAGTCCATCTTCTTGACTTCTTCACTGGGAAAAATATCCAACCAATTACTGAATAAAAGTAAGTTTTTGCTTTGTAAAATTGGTTTTATATGGTAAATAGGCAATTCAGAGATGGTTCTCATGAAGCAGGTCTTTAAAAGTAATGAAAATGACCAATCCCACATGTGTTACCTTACATTTAAACCAGTCACTTCCCAACAATATAAATCCAAGTGCAACAAAATATCACTTCAGTGCAGTTTTAACTGTGCTCTTACCAGATCATAACCCATGGAAATCAGGCAGGCTCTAAAGTCCTCATGGTCCATCAGACCGTTCTTCCTCTGTTGGGACATGTGAAGAGCACAGAGAATTAGTGGCAAGATGAACAGCTCTATTTGCCCAAGGAAGCACATTTGGCAAAGGAAGGGCTTCCCTGAGCCCTACGAAGATTATAAAGATCCCTGGGGACTTACTGGAAGGAGAGCCAACACAGAAAGTTACAAAATAGTTTCTCTGGAAGGAAAAAGGGGTAGGATTTACGGAGGCAGACTAGACTAAAAGGAAAGGAGACCCCATTTGCAAAAGGCACAGAAGGAACCGGTCAGTAGCTCATCACTCCCACCTACTGATTGTGGAACACACTGCAAGCATTCTGAGAAATGCCATTAATGGCCCTGCCTAAGTCATCTGTAGAATTCCCCAAGATGAAAGCATTTCCAGAACTTTAACAGCTGGAAAGTTGGTACAATCACTTGGGTCAGGTGGCAGTGGCTCCTCCACATGGAAAGCTTTGTTCAAGCTTTGTCCAAAATTCAGTGTGTAAGAACAGTGTGCAAGATGGCTCCTCATAGACACCAGCTTTCTCAGCTGAGGCCAGGTAAGGCCAAACCACATCCCAAGCTTTGCAGAAACAGGGGAGTCAATACAAAGACCTGGACATGATGAAAAGGTTTTGAAGGAATCAGCTGATATCTAATCTTCAACATGGAATTAAATATAAGACAATACTTTTATTGGTCAAATCAACTGTTAAATGGAAGGTTAGTGGTGTTTTGTTATTTATTTTGTTCTGGCGATACTTGGGATTGTGCACAGGCAGCAATGGGCTACCTACCCAGCACTTTTTATTTTATTTTAATTTTAAGCCTCATGAAGTTGTCCAAGCTGGTCCTGAACTTGTGATCCTTTTGCCTCAGTCTCATGAGTGGCTGGGAGTGTAGGCATTTTGTCACAAAGAATAAGTTTTACTCAACATTATGCAAATCAAATTGCAAACTATTTTACAAGCAGTATTTAACTTTTTATATGCTTCTACTATAAAAAATGCTACCACGTTGTGGGTCTCTTTTCCTTAAAATATACCATCAGTCAGTTTTGTTAACTGAAAAAGTTGAAGGGTTTTTGTGTTTGTTTTTGTGGGGGAGCCAGGGTTTCACTATGTAGCACAGGCCGGTCTTGAATTCACAGTGATCTTCCTGCCTCAGCCTCGTGAGTACTAACATTACAGGAATATAGCCCCATATCTAGATGAAAATTGAGTTTATAAACTGAAAGAGTGAGTTAAATTTTACATAAACAATTACTTAGGAAAAATATATCAGAGGTTTGAATTAAGTCTTTAGAAAATGACCTAAAACCTAATGAGCACATTTTGTTAAGGATATAATTTTACTCAGAAGAAACTAAGCTTTGGTATTAACTACAAATGTGTTAAGAGATATGTACAAAACAGCACCAATATGTATACTTCAAGACATCCTCAGCAGCACCAGAGCTCAGCATTCCTTGTTTTGGTAGCTACTATCCTTTGGCATTAGTTTTCCAGTAAACTTTTTGGGCCATTAAGATTAAAAGTGATAACATGCATATTATTTTAGCTGCATTGTTCCACATAAACAGAATTGCCTTTCACATAACCAAAAGGAGAGAGGTACCCTGTCGAAGTGGTTGAAGGAGGCTCTGAACTCATTCATCTGCTCCTGGGTGATGCCTTTCGCGTCTCTTGTCAGAATCTGGGTCTCCACCTCATTGATTGTTCTAGCAATGGTTGTCAGCAGCAACTCCCATCCGACGCGAATGTGCTATGCAAGGTAAAAGAGAAAGCGATCAGCTTTAGATTTTCCAGCCTGTCAGCCTTGTCTCTTCATTTTCACAACAGGAGGGTCAAGCCAAATGAAGACAAGTAGGGTTTGTTGTAGACGTTTCTATACAGTTTTTCCCCCTTTTAATTCTACCTCTTCATCCTTTTTTGCAAGATTCTGTAGTAGAAAATACTCAGAAGTGAGGCCAGGATTCTAACAGTGACAACTTGCACTTTGTAGACTCAATATACAATGTGTAGTCTATTTATCACTAAAGATAAAGTCCTGTCTACTAAGTAGCACAATGCTGGCTCTCAGGAAAATCAATCTGGGCCAAACTGGTAGAAATGACCAATTCCTGGTACTCTCTACAAAGAAATGTAACTAATTAACTGATAGTAAAACTATAATTATTAAATTTATTTTTGCAATGCTGGAGATCAAACTCAGGGTCTCAGACATGCTAGGCAAGTGCTGTACCACTGAGCTAACCTCTAGCCAATAACCACGTTGTGATAATCTAACTCTGCCATGGTGCTAGAGGGAGTTCACAGAACTTCTCCACATACATTCAGTGGAAAGATTTAAAAATCCTCAATGCTCATACTTGCAAAAAAGGAACAACAAACAAATTCATGTAGAAAATGCCCTGAGAAGGTGACAAGATAGCCAGCAGAAGCAAGGGCCACGGACTTGTCTTGCCGCCATACCTCCATGGTATAGTTGGTATGCTTGTTGTCAAAGACCAGTGCCTCCTGGATGAGCTGGTGGTCTCCTTCCAGCTTGTCGATGTTGTTTTTGTAGTTGATGATGTTGTGTTCATACTGCTTCAGCTGATTCATCTGGTCCTCCAAGGCCCCTGTGATCTGGATCGAGCTCCGGGCAATCTCCTGGGGAAGGCAAATGAGCACATGGGGATAAAGTGGTCTCTGAGGCAGACCCTCAGGAGTCACCAGTCCTGACTCTGCATCAGAGGCCACACCCACATCCAGCAGCAGACCAGGTCACTGGATGTCCCCAAACAGGACGGAAAACTGGATCACTGGATGGAGCAAGGTCTAGCTCTGGTCTGCTGGAAAGTGAAAAAATGGAAAACAGTCAAGTTCCAAAGCAGAGATGAAAGAGGGGTAAGGAATGTGTCCTGCCAGACTTCTTGTCAGCAAGTGGACACTCTGGGGCAGTCGTCCTGCTCCTCTGCGCCACAGGCTGGGGTGGCAAGGCAAAGCTGGCAGTAAGACCCCATTACCCATTCCAGCAGAATTTCTTATGATTTTAAGTATTATCCCCTTTATGTAAAGTTTTATCACCATGAAGGAGATGGAAAGAAAAAATGCCTCCTGCCTGTTCTTACTGATAGGAGCAACCTAGACCTCAGAGCCATTGAAAGACCACTGTTCCTAGGGTGCTCCAGAAGTGCAAAGTGACTCTTTACTGGACTCCTTAGGGATGAGTGGTTTAAAACTAGCTCCTACAGACCAAAAAGTAAGAAACAACATTGTCTGTCTGTCTATCTGTCTCTCCTTTCTTTCTCCTTTTGCAAACAGGATCAGTCTTGTCACATAATTCAGACTGGCCTTGAAATCGCTATGTAGGATCAAGTTGACCTTGAACTCACTATGATTCCCCTGCTTCAGCCTCGAGTGCTACAATTATAGGCATGTGCCACCATGCCTAGCTAGTCACTGTTTTTAACAACAAAATAAACAGATGGCAGTAGGAGTACCTTTGTCTCCCTCCACACACACACTTTAGCATGCCCTCCAAGCCCTGATCCGTGCTCAGCCACAGAAGCCCGGAAGCTGATAAGATAAAGCCTGGAATGACAGCAGGATGAGTGGGGTGGCCGGAAGCCACAGCATAGGAGGTACTGTTCCATCAGCCAAGGGATTGTCTCCAAGGCCACGATTGCGCAGGCAGGAAAGGGCATGACCTACCTCCATCTTGTTCTGGATCCAAGGCCCAACGGCATTGGCCTGTGCAGCAAACTGCCGCCGCAGGCGTTCATTAGTGTGCTGGCGAGCCAGCTCCTCCTGCAGGGACTGATCCCGGATAGGCACCAGCTGCTTCACCTGTTAACGGCCCGAGGACAACACAGGTGAGAGGCTAGTTTGGTCTCATCGGTATGACCACAGGAAAAGTGTCCAAGAGGGAGGGGAGAGGTGGAGCGGGAGGGAAGGTAAGTAAGGCAGGGGAAGAAAAGGATAAGAAAAGGCAGGACAGTCAAGAGTCCCTACTCTGGGAACTAGCTTTGACTGCCACCTAGTGCCATCAAGCGGCTGCTGAAAGGTTGGACAAGCTGAAAGGTATTTAAGAGTCTGCATTAAGGGATGCTGGCCATTTCTCCAGCAAGGAGCTCTCCCCTTTGAAGTATCAACTCCATGGGGCCCAGTGTACAGTGCAGAATTATGAACATGAATGGAGACTGACAACTTCCAGCCCTGCTGATTGAAAGTTAGCATTTGCTTTGGTCTTGAATGTGTCAGCAAAGCCACAGTAGGACGTAGTCACCTTTACTTTAGTGTGCCCTGGGCTGATCACTGCCCAGCAAAATCATGTACATTCAGCTCTTCAAGAATAGCACGCAGCTCTTAGATCTTGCTTTTAAATATATCAATAAAGAGGGACATACATTATCAACTCCCAACTTCTAACACATTTTAATAACTACATTTTCAATATAATCTGTTCCCTTCATCATCTTAAGTATTTTTATGTATGTTCAAACATAACTATTTGAAAGAGTCCATAAGCATACATTGCTGGGTTCACAACGAGGAATCCTGTGCAATTCTGGACCACAGCAAAGCTTGGCACCTGGTCTCATACATTTTGTTCTACTTGTGAATTATATGTTAATGCCTTGCCCCTCAGCTCTCTCAATCAACAAACAAAAATAGTCACTATGGAAATGCTGTATGTTTTATCTGCAAAACTGCTGCTATATGATTCAGTGCTCCTTGTACAAAAGTCTAATTTGCTTTACAACTTACTGAAGGAAGAAATATTTATTTCACTTTAAGAAATGACATATTTCTACCGTTCCCTCACAAGGAAACTCCTTAGATCAACACATTTCCCTTTTTACTTTGACTGTTAGGAAGATCAGACGTTACTTCCAAAGCTCTTCTACTTTATCTAACTACTATCCCACTTGTGTTTTTCTCTGTTATGTGTTGTGTATAACTCATTTGTTAGGTGTGAGTTTATAGTGAGCCATCTAGAATCCATGTGGTAGATTTATTCTTCATACAGACCATGTCTCAGTCATCTCATACTGAGATGACTATTATAATTTACATTATGAAAATAAATTTGTCTTAAAAATGAGGCATCGGGCTGGGGATATAGCTCAGTGGCACAGTGCCTGCCTGGCAAGGATGAAGTCATAAGTTCAATTCCTGGACACCAAAAAAAAAAAAAGGAAAGGGGTTCAGCTGATCCCACTGTGACTATAATTAAAAGCCAGCAACAGGTTGTAGAAATATTTTGGTTCTTCAGATATAATTTTCTACAAAATTTTTCTGCATTTAAAATTCACACACATTTGGGGCATGTCCATTCTGTAATCCAAAAACTCTTTCATGAAGTACTATAGGCAAGCTGATTTCATCAAATATTTGAGGTTTTTAAAAAGGGTTTTCTTTATAGTATTAGTATTATAACCTGTTCTGACTTTACCAAAATTTGTAAGATTTTCCTTAAGGAAAAGAATCCTCACTTTCCCCACAAACTGCAGAAGTGACTAGATAGCATTTAAGAGTTTAACGTAGTTTGCCTGTGAAATTTAGGATGAAGGGAAATCCTGATCATGATGCTATGACAGGCAGCCACCCTAAGTCCCTAAAGTATTTGTCCTGCCCCTTGACCCTGGCTTTGAAGACGCTGCCCTCCTGCCCACCTGGCCTCTGATGCCCACCTTATCCCACTTGGTGCGAAGCTCGTCCATGGTGACGGTACTGTACGGGTTGCTGGAGCTGATCCTGATGTTGTAGCTCTGAATCACCTTCTCCACCTCGTTCTGGATGGCCGCGATGGACTGCCGCTCTCCATCTGCCTCAGGCAGCGTGGCCTTGAATTGCTCATGGGCAGTGATGAGACTCTGCCAGGGAATGAGTACAGAAAAAAAATTTGACTTTAGTGCCATTTTACAGGCTTTGCTGTTCCCTCTACACACATGTTAATGTCTTTAGATTGGAGGGATCTCTGGAGGAAAAAAAAGTCTGGATATTTCAGAAAAGTTCTCTGGTGTGCAGAAGTCAAGTTCCTTGAAGATAGAAGAAAGATATCAAGGCAGTTTAATTAATGACCATTTATCTATTCTTCAAAAAATAAAATCTTGGGGCTGGGAATTTAGTTCAGTGATACAAGCACCTGCCTGGCAAGCATGAGTTTGGTTCCTGGTATCAAAGAAAAGAGCTTTTTTTTTTGGTATCAGGGATCGAACTCTTGATCTCACACTTGCCAGGCAGGTGCTTATGCTGCTGAGCTAAACCCCTGGTCCTCTTTTTTTTTTTTCAAGTCATGTTTGGTACATTATTCCTGGTCCCCAGCTACTGTTTAGGTTAGTCTTTCTACTGATAAACAGAATTTAGCTGTCCTTTCTAATGACCAGTTTTTCCTTTGCAGACCAACGTAAGTAACTATCATTTGCTGCCTTACTTATATATTTCAAAATAACCAGGAAAAACATCTCTACTCCTCAAAAAGAAAACCAGAAACCAGCACTTTACCACAAGGCTCTATACAACTTCCATTTATCAAACCTATTGCTTCACCATAAAGCAAGAGGATTGCTGTAAGGTGGAGGCCACCTCAGCATCAGAGTGAGTTCAAAGCCAGCCTGAACTACATAGTGAGACTTTGTCTCAAAACAACAACACACCACCACCAATGGCAACATGCTCAGGATGTCAGCCTGTGCCTTGGTGTATATTTAAGAAATATCACCACGCCTCCTTCAGATGACAGCTACAACATGCAAGAATACACATGCTGCCTCACTTACAATGCAGTTACGTCCAATAAGCCCTCCACAGTTTAAAAATAACCTGAATTGAAAGTGTACGGAATGCACTTACCTACCACACATCATAATTTAGCAACACAGCACACTACAAAGGGCCAGCTGTTTCCTCTGTGATCACAGGGCTGACCAGAAGCTGCTGTTGCCTAGTACCACATGAGAGAGAGGACTGTATCTCAACTCAATCATTAATCTAGGAAAAGATCAAACTTCAGAATTTCAAGTATATGTTCTACTAAATGTCTATCACTTTTGCACTTTCATAAAATTAGCTTATGACTTATGTTAGGGGCTATCTGTAATTCTCAACACTGAGGAGTAAATCCTAGTAAACTGCTCCTTAGTAAGAAGATAAGAGGTTCGAATATATATATAATAGGTGGATTGAGACAGACAGATGATAGATACATACACACGAACATACATAGATGATGATCCCTACACAGTAGGAGTTCAGGGTCAGGGCTCAGTTACCTGGATCTCCTCAATGCTATGGACTATAAACATGTCCTGCAGGTCCTCCATAGCACCTTCCATCCAGTTGTTGAAGGGAGCAGCTCTCTTTGCAAACTCCAGGTGCAGCTGATCAATGGTTTCAAGCAACTTCTCGGTCCTCTGAAGATTAAACAGAAGCAAGCATCATCATAGATTAAATATTTTTGATGCACAAATGTAAATATGTATCCTAGAAAACAGTGTTATCTGATATTTAGCATGTGTCTACAAAAGACTAACCAATGCTCAAACAGGTAGAGCTCATTTAAAAATGAATGACTTGCATTCATTTTTTTATTTCCTCACATTCTAAAATGTTTGCCCTGTCTTTCCTTTCTCAACATTCTTTTCCTCTACGTAGATTTGTGACAGCTACTTGGCAACTAGGAAGCTTGATTTCACATATTTTATAGGTTTCTTCAAAGTCAAGTAGAAATGTTTAAAAATCGGTCAACTGCTTTTATGTCACATTAGTCTTTTAAAAATTTTTTATTAGTACATGTCTGTAGTACATAATGATTACATTCATCGTGGGAAGTTGGTATATGTACCAACACATAGTAATTCTTTTTTATTTCCTTCCCTTCTTCCCTCTCCTTCCAACTCTTGGGTCCTCTTCTCTTTCACAAAAGATCTACTACCCTATTTCCTCTAAGCTGCCTTTATTTTGCTCTTTGAGGTTGCTTTTGTAAGAGAAATTATGGAATATTTGTTTGTGTGTCTGATTTATTTTACTTAACATTAGTCTTTATGTCAAAAGATAATCAGGTTTAGTTAAGCCCAGATATCAACTGTCATTTACCCAAATCTTATACTTGGATAAAGCCAATGCATTCTGATTCTGTTTCACATCAATTTTTCTTTCCTTCATTTTTTCCCCCATTTTCCCCTTAGGAAGAATTTCATTTTTCCTAATTTCCTCAACATGAATAAAATAAATTTTGGAAAGTCATTGTAATTACTACTTGACACAAAGTAGGCTTATATTATAATCTCATTAACCTTTGATTTTTAAAAAAAATCCACGTACATTTCACTGCTGTATGGATAAGTTATAGCACAAAGCTACCAACCTCCCACATCTCTCTGTTTCTCATTCTTCATATTTACTAGATGGTGTTTTGTACACACAAGGTCACAGAGAAATAGCCTCAGTGACTTAAAGAAAATGTATTAAAGATCTCATGAACAAATATGGCTTCATAAATAAGTCAATGGGTGGTTTCAAGACATCACCTCCAAAGCTTCTCTCCTTTTCTGTGTGAGTGTCCCCAATCTGTCCCACTGGTCACAAATCTTTTGGCACCGATCATTAACATTCACTGCATCATGATAGTCCAGTTCACTACGAAAGTTAAAGAAAAATAAAAATTAACTTACCCACGTGATATGAGGACAAGTGATTCAAATAGGGGAGTTTTAAAGGTTTTGTTAATACTGCCTTTGCAAATATTATCCCTTGGGTAAATGACCAGAAGAATTAGTAAAACTTATGCCTGGGCTAGTTTTCTTTTACCTGGTTTTCTTAGTGAGGCCCTCTGAGGGCCTGATTTTAAAATGGAAACTGTAAGTGAAGCCAGCCATTGACTTGCTGACAGCCCTACACTCACAAATGACTGGAACATTAGAATGAGTCTATGGACAGAGTCAAGGCTCCCACCACCTAGGGTCTTTGGCTACTCCAAAAGGGCATGAAACCTGACACCAAATGAAGCGGGATGCCTTGACTTTATCTAGCACACAGGGCTTTCTAAAAGGGACAGAGCCCTTCCACTTAGGTACAATAAGGTTCTAGTTTGGCTTGTGCTGCTAGTGTGACAGAAAAAAAAAAAAATGAGTTCTTGCTAAATGCTTATTTTTGCCTAGCCAGTTCCGTTTAAGTACCCTATCTGAAGTCTTATTGAGGTGAAGGAACTGGAATTACTATTAAAGAAACACTTGATTAGAAGGTCACCCTCATACCAGGGATAACAGGTTGAATCCTGTACAAAACACAATCACCCTTTTAGTTAAGCTGAAAGTGAGGAGGTTTCTTCAAACATGATCCAGGATGAGACAACTTTCTAGAAGTCTCCTCCTACCCTGCCAATCATTTCCCTTAGAGTTAGGTTTATTTGTCTTTTTACATTTTAAGTTATGACAGTGATCATTCACTTTGTTTTCCTGGAATAACATTAATTCATATTTACTGACTTAATTGTATATAGTTGTGGTCTGAGTGTTCTTCCGTGTTCTTCCAGAACATTCCAACAGGGAAAGAGCTCCCTGTCACCTTGTTACAGCTTGTTCTATTCTCAAGAGCAAGCAGCAACTATCTACAAATACGCACATCTGACTGAGGATGACTAAGATTTTTTTGCCTATTTGTTATAACCAAAAAAAGCAAATCACACCAATAGTTTACAAACCCTGAATACTAAACAGAATGCCAATGGCTCTTCAAAATGTAAATATGAAAAAGAAGAATACAGAAACAAAACCCTAAGAGTCCCTCAACTGGCCTTGGGGGACCCCAAGGGTTTGCTCACCCTCTGACATTATCTTTATGGTCTCTTCTCACTAATTCATCCATATTGTATGAAGTTTGTGTAACTAGTACTATGCTCTTTAACTGAACAAAAAGTTTGACTTCTCGTTTTTGGACAAGGAAAAAGGAAAAGGATGTTAGTAAGAGGATCACAGATTTAAATTCAGCATTGGTTCATCTCAATAGTATGATGAAATGGGCACCCAGGGCACCAGGAATAATTATAATTATATAAAATTATTGCTTAAATTTTATAGCCTACACTAAAAACTGTTCCAAATTACTTGTGGGAACCATTACAAAGCACTAAATAGCTTGAGTTCCTATTTACTCCCATATTTTATTGGTGAGTAACTGTTAGTGAGCAGTGAAGAGCCAACAAGCAAGAAGCATGATAAACAGGACCACAGGAAGGCCACAAATGTGTACAAATTGGATGTGAAGGTCACATATAATTAACAGTCTATATAGATAAGGCTGCAAACAGGACACTCTTGTCAAAGTGGCCCTACTTGTCAATTAAGGACTTTGCTCTAGTCAAGGGTGAGGAAGCTGGGAGTTATATAATATAGTATCTTGAAATAAATTTTAATTATTTACTTTTTTTTTTTTTTGTCTTTTTCATTTTTATCGGTTCCAGGGATCGAACTCACGACCGCCTGCTTGCAAGGCAGGTGCTTATGCTACTGAGCTAAATCCCCAGCCCGTAATTATTTACTTTTTAAAGTTACAGGTATGCCTTAGGCTTCAAAAATTCTGCAGATATATCAGCAACTATAACAAATGAGGAAGAGCAAGGATTGCAATTTTATACTTATCAAAAGAGGGCAAAGGCCATATAAAAGCTCAGAGACACCTGAGCATGGAGGCCCCCACCCCAGAGGATGGCCACCATGCAGGCTCCCTCGGCACAAAGCAGGGATAGAGAATGATGGCTCAGTGCTTAGCTAGCTGAGCCTCAACAGATCAACATGCTAGCCCTCCCTGCAGATCAAAAACCATCAGAGTAGAACAGATGGTTACGTCCGTTTTGGTCTCACCCCCTGCACTAGCCAAGGTGCAGTGGCCTCCCAGACCAATCCAAGCCTCTGGCCTCTGCTAATTCTGATTCCTCACTCCCCTGGCAGTGAGCTGCCTGTGCCACGGCTGTGTGATGCTAGATGGCAAGGGGATATTGACAGGGGCTGTGAGTGGGAGACAACAGGGGTTCTGCTACAACCTAAGAACCAAAGCCCGATCTGTTTCTAGTTAGAGAAGCAAGAAGCAGCCATACCCTGGCTGCTCTGCCTGACTCTGAGAATCGAGTATGGGAGGGTTATGCCAGCCACCTTTACTCTCTCCCTGGAATCCCCGTACAGACCCCAGGGCTGGGGCATCCACACGCACTTGAGCTCCTGTGCAATGGCTGCAATCTGCTCCACTCGGTCCTGGTGTGCAGCCAGGTCACTCTCAAAAGCCTCGTGCTTCCGCAGCAGAGCCCGCACCTCCGTCAGTGATGCTGACTCATAATCCTTCTGCAGCAGGATCTGCTCCTTGCCTGCAAAAGTGGCAGCAAGACAGTATGAACACCCCAATGTCACACAATGGGAAGGCTTCCTTGTGGCAGCAAAGTGCTCAGAAAATACTTAGATTTCAAAGAAGCAAGGGGAGGGGCTGAAAGTGGTAGGAACATAGAAGCAGACCCCATTGCGGTGGCATTCAGGATGTCACCTGCAATGCACACCCAGCCCTCAGGTGCTCACTTGCATATACTATGATGCAGTGAAGTGTGGGGAGGGGAGGGGGGGACACCGAAGGGATTCCACAGAGCCAGGTTGTATTCCTCAGCAGCTTGAAACTCAGTTCAGTTAGTAATTAAGCACTACCTGGGTGGTTGAATAAAACATTCCTGCTCTGACTGCCTATCTACAGGTTCCCCTCCTGCCCCACATCTTTGTGTTTAAAAGCAATAGTTTCTGTAGTTAAATGTAGCCTATGATTGTCCTGGCAAATATTAGACGTTTTCCTCTTTGAACCTCTTCCTATTTCCCTATAAATATTTCTGTTTTCTTTCCTCCTTCCTCCTTCCTGGGATTGAACCCAGGCCTTTGCACTGAGCTATTCATTCCGTCCCCTTTTCTAAATTTTAAGACAGGGCCTTAATAAGTCACTAAGTTGCCTAGGCTGGGTTTGAGTTTATGACCCTCCTTCCTCAGGCTCCTGGAATGTTGGGTTACAGGCATGTGCAAACACACCTTACTCATAAATATTTCTTAATATATTAACTATTGGGGTAGAATAACTGGGTCTACCTTTATTAATATTTATAGTGATCTTTAAGAATTTAATTCTATAAAGCTGAAAATGAAAAACAAATGTTCATGTTTAATGACAACATAGGATTGTCAGACAGTGATTAAAATGCTCATTGCAAGAGTAGAGAGAAGTTAAGGTTTCGAAAGTGGTAAAGATATGTTATATCCACATACCAATCTTCCCAAAGAAATACAACTATACTGTATTGCAAATACATACTAATAAAAAATGAGAAAAATAAAATACCGCATCTGCATAAAATCCCTACAAGGGAGTTTTTACTGCTAGGTCCATGTTGAACAGGACATTGGCACACACAGGCTAAAGACTCCAGGGCTCATGGATGCCACACTGTCTGGCTCCAGCATCTGGATTCATTATCACCTTGCTCTGCAAAATCAAACATCAAGAAAAACAACAAAAGGAACCAAAGAATGAGGGAAGGACTCTCTGGTGGCTCTCAAAATGGATTATTATGTGATGGGGAGAATATTTTGTTCTTCTACTTCAGCAAAAAATGATCATTTAGTCCAGTAGACAGCCAAAAAGTACAACCATATTATCATGGCTACAGTCACAGGCACATTTATAAGGCCTGAAAGAAACAGATGAAAGCAACTGAAATAAGGAAGTTAGACTACAGAAAATGAGCCAGCGTCATTCCCTTTTCTAATGAGATCTCCTAATAAGAAGTGTATCATGTCGCTCTGCAGCCTTATGTATTCGGTTGGCAGAAGTGAGAGCAGGGCCAGAGCTGTTCAGCGCACACTCAGAGCCAACAGATACAGTGCAGTCAAACAGAAAAGGTGAAAGGAGGCCAGGAGTACATAGGTAAGAACCTGAAGAGCATGCTTTGGGTACCATCTGATGAAGAAACATGTTTATCTGCCTGTTTAGAAAATACATTTTCCTACACATTGATAATTCCAGTACTGTGGGAAGCTTATGCAAGAAAACCACAAGTTTGAACCTAGCCTGGGCAACTTAGCAACTTAATGAGACTTTGTCTCAAAATAAAAAATAAAAATAAGAGGCTAGTGATGTGATTCAGTGTAAAGGCCCTGGGTTCAATTCCAAGTACTGGGGGGATTAAAAGAAAGGAAGGGAGGGAAAGAGAGAGAGGGAGAGAGAGGAAAGGAAAGCAAATGTATTTTCCTGTTTACCTCTAGAAGAAATACATCACTGAGGCAACAGAGTAGAGAAAGGTGAGGACACCTGTCCATGGCGTCACAGACATTAGAGACAGAGCTAATGATGTGCTGTGGCTGTGCACAGTGTAACTGGAAATAAACACGGAATGTGAGTCCTGCTCCTTACCATAGGCCCATGTCTCGTGTGTCGAGGCCTTCTGCCGGAACTTCTCAGCCAGATGCTCCACACGTTCCAGTCTGCGAATCTCGTTGAGTAACCATTCCTCATAACCCTTCTCAGCCTGCTCCAGCCGCTGCCAAGCCCCAGCAATATCCTGGAAGGTCGGAAGACAAGCAAAGGTACACTTGTCTCACCCAATGTCATGGCTTGTTTCTAGATGTCCCCTCAAAGCCTCACGTGGTCATGGATGGGGTTTTTCAGAGGGGCTGGATCTAGGGTGTGTGATCCTGGGATTTAGTGATGATGCTGGGATTAAGGATACATGATTACTTAATGAGTCCAATGATGGTTTGGCATGGTTCCGGGTGTGGTGTGGATGGCACCACCCAAGGGGCAGGCAGCCCAAACGGCATAAAAGGGAGAGGTGGGCCCCTGCAGCAGGTTCTTCTTCACTACTTGCTGCTTTCTCCTCTGAGATGCTCCTCTGCCATGCCACCCTGTCTTGGAGGCAGCTAATTATGAACTGAAACCCTTACAAACTGTGAGCCAAAAGAAACCTTTCTTCCTTTTAACTTTAGGTGTTAGGTATTTTGTCTCAGCAACTAAAAAGTAACTAAGACATACTAACCCCTTGAACTACTTCTGTGAATCCTTCAATATGTGTTTGATACTGTCCTTCTTCTGTGTCACTGCCACCCCTTTTACCACCCAAATTACCAAATGTCTTAATTATTATCACTGGGATCTTTTAAAATAAATATGCTGTTCTCATTAGCCAAGCTGACACTTCTCCAAATATGGACAAAAGATATACAAGGTTTCACTTTTCTGGCTCAAAATGATGAAGCCTCCAAGTGATTCAAGTCAAAATGTTTTTTTTACTGTAATGAATCATCAGGCTGTCATCAGCTACTTCCTAGGTGCCTAGTGTGTCCCGGGCACTAGCGAGAAAGAATTAAACAATAGGTTCTCTGTCTGGTTTTCTTTCCCAATATGGATTTCTTAAGGGGTAAGGAAAAGATACATCAAGTAATTAACTAATAAGTTCATTGTGAGTAATAATATATGTCTTGAAGTAATAATATATGTCTTAAACAAAATAGGACCTGGCTATATGGAGAGTCCTCAGGATGGATCCTTAGGCAGAAGTTTAGAGAAGACAGGAAGAGCCAGTTATGGGGAAAAGTGTGGAATGGACTCAGGGACACAACGAGGAGAAACACTCAGTGTGGGGAAAAAACCCATTCTGGACCAGTGTGGTCGCTACATGGTGACAATGGGTGGAGCAGCAAGAGATGCCTCCAGTGAGGTGAGGAGGGCATGCTGGATGCTACTGGCAGGATAATGGCCCTTGATTTCATTCTGAACATTGCAGGAAGGCACAGGAGGGTTTTGAGAAGGTGGGTGGCAAGCTCAGATGTACATATTTAAACCGTGACTGGCTGTTGCATGGGGCATGAATTGCAGACAGCAGTGGTAAAAGGAGAGCTGCTCAGGGGATACCAACAGGTCCAAGGAGAGAGAAGTGAGGCCCAGCATCGGTAACAGCGGTGCAGGAGGAAAGAAGGGAAGAGCGAAGGCCTAATGAGGAAGGAGAGTCAAAGGACTAGCTGGGGCCCTGGATGTCAGAGTGACCGAAAGGGAAACACAGAAGACGGAACCTGGGCTCGAGGCTTAGTAACTTAGGGGACAGGGGTGCAATTTCTAGGGTAGAGGATTGTGGAAGGCCTCTTCTAGACAGGTCAAATTTAAAATGTTCTTGAGACATCCGGGCTTGAAGTGTTTCTGAGACTCACATGCATAGTGGCTCATGCCTGCAATCCAAGCCCTCTGGAAGGCTGAAGCAGTAAGATCACAATTTGCTAGCCAGCCTAAGTAATTTAGCAAGACCCTGTCTCAAAATAAAAAATAAAGGGCTGAGGATATAGCCTACTGTAAAGGCTCAATACCACCCCCCCCACACACACACACAAAAGCAAAGCTCTTGACATCCAGGTTTAAAATGTTTTCTGAGACATCCAGGTTGATATATGAGCCTGGCTAAGGAGAGCCAGAGCTGGGAGGTGAAATTCAAGAGGCCTGAGCACTTGTGTGGTGATTACAGCCACAGGCCTAGATAAGGTCACATGCAGGGTATAAAGACAGAGAGGGGGCTCCTCACAGAGCCAGGGATGTTCAACGTCTGTACAGCAGAGGAGGCAGGGCTGTGGGTAGAGCTGGAGAATGCCTAGGCTGGTGAAGGAGGAGGCAACCGGCAACTGGGCAGCGGCTACTGAGAAGCCCAGGAATACTGAAACGTAAGTGCCAACTGGACTGTCAATGTGGACGCTGCTGATGTTGAAGAGATGTCAGGAGGGAGCAGAAACCAGGACTGTATGTTGAAGAATTAAAGATATGAGTGGGAAGGAAGTAAAAGCCACAAAAGGACTCTTTCTACAGAACTGAGAAATGGGCTATGGAGTGATGAGGTTCTAGCAGAGGCTGGAGCACTACATCGAGGAGTTGATTCCACCAAGAGGGGAAGTGATGTGGGGAGACTAGATGGACATGGGGCTCAGATTCTGAGACAGTGGAAAGGGCCAGTGGCAGTAGCAGCAGGGGGCAAGGGCTCAAGATCTAGATGGGAGTAGCTCTCTGGGGGAAGAGGGACAAGGCCACAGAGAGAGCAAGGGAGAGGTCTTGAAGCTTCTGCTGAAATTCTGCTCTTCATGGTCACTGTCAATGGCTAAGCCAAAGGATAATAGGTAGAAAAATATCAAGAATGAAGTGGTGACACAGCCTTACATTCACATAGTAGTCAAGATTCAGGATGTTGTGGTCTCCTGCTCAGCAACCCATCAGGGAACACAATCAAGCAGCACTAGGAAAGTGCGAGGCTTCCCCAGGGCCCAAGGGCTGCCTGAAGCCACTCACCGACACCATCTTGCCCTCAGAGGGCATGAAGGCTGGCCGGTTGCTGATCCGCAGCTTGGTCTGCAGGGTGTTGAAGTTGATCTCCAGCTGGCATTTCTCCTGCACCTTAGGGGGCTTATGTTTCCGACGATAATCTCGGAAGTCCTCCAGCTTTTTCTGCATGGCCTGCATGGTCTTCTCAGGAGTTCGGTTCTCTAGCCAGGGAATTGTGCGCCGAATCCATTCCAAAAGCTGCTCCCAAACACAAAAAGGCTGCTAAATACACTAGCAAACTTCTCACAATTAAAAAACAGAAACAGCTGATATTTTGGAATGGGTTCACCTAACATCCCCCAAATTGTGGAAGTGTGGGTTATAATGCCCCTGACCTAAAGAAGGGGAAGACAGATCTAGGCACAGTTGCAATATATGAACTATTCAGTGTCCACACAGGGCCACTAGTGATCACCCCAACAATACCACACACAGGTCAAAAACTTAAAAGTCAGCACGCAGAGTCATGTTTTACAAAAATGTGACATTTACAAAAACTCAGGGACCAGACACTAGCAGACAAATGCTGAATGAAGCTTTCAAATTAAAAGAAGAAACAAAAATAAAACCAAAATACCTGATATGGCAGAAATGTAGAGTAATAAATTCAACAAGGAACTGGGTTTAACTTAAAATACAATTAAGAAAAGTAAGTTCAAATCTAGTGAATTTATTTATTAGACAAATGTACTATAAGCCTGGGACTGACTCAGTGCCAAAGTATATTTTAATGTCTAGTTTTTAAGTAGATCCCCACAAGATAAATGAATTTCCAAGAACAAATACACGCCACTCTCGTGAATGACTGACTGCCCAATATGGGAAATGACCTGCCTACAGCCTCATCATTTACATTTATGTGTACTGATCACTTGGAAAATGAAGGTAGACTAAAATAAAGAACTGTTAAAATAGTATAGTTCTGCTGTCTAAGGGTGTTAGAAGGATAAATGAAGGGCCAGTAAGAAACAGATTTCATTCCCAAGGATCATCCATCCTTCTATCCTGGTCATATTTCAACTCTGAAATTTATCACTGGCCTAACCATTATCAAATTGAGTTTTGCCATGGCCGTAATATGAACAAAAGATGGAGGAAACCCTAAACCTTTCCCTAGCAGCAATACAAAAATATAAACTCAGCACCATTGGATTAATTACCATGAAATATTGCTCAGGAAAGATTTATTCTAAGTGTCTTGATATTTTTCTCAGTAACAGACCAAAAAGCAAGTAAATGAAATCCATGCAAAAATGAGCTGGTCTTGAATTTGTGTTCAAAGCCAGAGGATATAGTATGGAACACCTGCCACTTGTGCTTCTATTAGGGAAAACAGCACAGGGGCAATAAGGAGACTGCACTGCTGTTGTCTATGCTACACACTAAGGACAAAAAGAACAAGAGCTATGGAAGGTGCTGCACTAACCAAGAACCTGGCTGAAGAGGTGTGGGAAAGCATCATCAAAACTCAGGGTGGAATATCCTGAAGGGCGGGCTCTGCTATCCCAGAACTCCCTCAAGGAAGCTATGTACACACAGACTAAGCCACCTCTCCACAATGGGCTGTGGGAGTCCCTTTGTGTGAGGTAACTACAGAGCAAGACTCCTTTACAGAGAAGATCTCATGTGCTGCTGGTTAGCCATGGGTTAAATAACGAGTAAACCCAAGCAATCTAGATCTGACTGCAAGGGTGCAAACTGAGGGTGGAGTATATTCTACTTTCATTCTATCTGAGGTGAAATACGCAAAAACCATTGATGATCCATTCTCCCCTCTACATCTCACCCCTGGGTGAGTGTGGACAGAGTTTTACCTCACTTGCTAGCCTCTCATATTCTTCCATCAGCCTCTCATTCTCTTGATTCACAGCAAGAACCTTACATATCCTGTTAGCCGCTGTCTCAGCCTGCAAAACACAATAGGTAAATGGATGGCTCTGGCTGCAGGGCTGCGCACACACAAAACTGGACATGGTAGGTAAGGGTGACAGAGTGGGGTGGCATGGTGGAAATAGCACAGATCGGGGTTAGGACGGGAGGTGACATGGGACATGGTTTTTTGAAACTATGAATCATTTCACACCATTTTTAGTTTTCACACAGACTTTCACAGCAGGCTGAACAGACTGTAGGGAGTAGCGGGGAGATAACATTAGTCTGAGATGCAAGCTTTGTAAAACACTGAGCATGTTAGTAACAGAAATATATGGAAAAGAGACGAAAATCTTCGGTCCCTAAATGTCTGTCCACCTGAACACTCCTGACACCAATCTCATGGCAATGGAGTGGAAACTCCATGAATGATACTGATCTTCAGAAATCAAAGCAAAATAACTGAATCTTGACTATATAGACATACCATTGCACTCGAATCCAGTGGAGACCTCACCTCCTAAAATGAATACACACAATTTTCCAGAAGTGATTCTCCCAGAGAGCTGACTTGCTTTAAGATTGTGCTTAATCTACTTTTTTAACCTACATAAGGAGTCATGAAGGTGATAGTTCTCTATCATCATTTCTGGAAGGGAACCTGGACTATACCCCTCAAATTATGATCATATGGTTCATCAAGAAGAATGTTGGGCTGGAAGTATAACTCCATAGTACAGCACTTGTTCGCATGTGCAAACCCCTGGGTTTCACTTCCACTACTGCCCCCACCACCATCCAAAATAAGAGGTAGAAAAATAATTCATCTTCCAGCCTGGCCTGACCAAAAAGTCTGGCCTCTAAAGCCCTAATGAGCACAGCAAAATTTCCTGTTATCATGATTTCCTGGTGAGGCTTTTAAAGAGGTTGCAGAAATACTATACTCTGTCTACCCAGCCTATTAGGTTTTCCACATAAAATAAAATAAAGGGGTAGTAACAAGAGCATGTGACTGCAGAAACTGAAGAACATTCTTCCCATGTCCCATGGGCTTTTTGTCTTGGGGAATATGAATTTTTGCGGGTGTAATGTTGCTATCCTTTTCACTATATAACTAAAAATAAGATTATTCTGGAAAGATGTTAGAATATATCACAGAAGAGTGAAGGTAATTTCCAGATAGATGAGAATAGGCAGATATGGGAAAGGCATTTGTCCTTGTTAATTTCCCCTTCACTGCCTGAAGCATATGGCTTGATTTTCATGACACTTTTTCCATTCTAAAGCTGAAATGTTTTCTACAATTTACCCCACTGGTAATTGTATTTCATTAATAAAGAAATATATTAGAAGGAAAAGATAAATAAAAGCACTTTATGAACTGCCAAAGCTGTTAATAAAAGAATTTGTGTTTGGAACTTGAAGTATTAGAGGTCATTACAATACAACGACAAAGTCCAAGGTAAGATGTGAAGCACACAGACACACACACACATGTGCGTGCACAAACAGATACACAAACACACACACAACAGAAGAGCAACACAGCTGGCCAGGTACACGGGTCGAATACCTGCTCCGCTCCCGCGAAAGCATGGTAGAAGCAGGAAACGTAAGTCATGATGGCTCTTTCATCAGGTTTGGGAGTGTTCACAATGTCTGAGGGGGGAGAAAATAACACAGGACACAAAGACATGCACAGGTGAAGAGGAAAAACCAGGGTGAACAAAGGGAAAAACAAACTAATTCACATTGACCACTTTTCTATGTGTTTCTAGGCTCAAGAACTTCACCCCCAGGAAGACCGTACAGCACTGAAATGATGAGGAAATGTGAACCTCTGGATCTGCATGACTTTTTAATGACTGACTTAATGGCTTGTGACTCCCCCATGGGCTTTTGAAAGTACTGTTAGTGTTAGCTAACACGTTAACCTGGAAACCTATCTGCTGCACATCTGACTTGTCACCCTTCAAGACTCCTCTTTTGACCGTTGTACTAAGGCATGCATATCACTTTGAAGGATGTGGGACACACCAGCAGGAATGCCCCACTACTACCCCATCTCCACTTTCCTAATTGCTGGGGCTCTCTGTTCTGGAGGCCTCCCTGGGAATGAGAGTGACATTCACTGGAGAGGCCATGTCCCTTAATACTGCCTACACATACTTACCATGCTGCTTACAGGAATCACCAAGAGCACAGAACAAGTAAAGAGAAGGGTGTGCACACTTGTGCTCATTATGACTCCTGCTACAACTTACATTTGCTGATTTATCCAATTGAAAAAGAGAAATAGAACCATGTCAACACACATCTTTTCTTTTTCCACATTGGCAATTCCATTTTTTGGTAAACTGCTTTTTAATTCAAACTAGTCAATGAACAGAATGAAGTTAAATAATACCTTCTGTAATTATTCCCTACAGTGCAGTGAAACCCTGCCACTGGGTTTGCAGAGGTTATTAATGGAAACAAGGTAGAACTGGGTAAGCATTTGGGATCTTCTGGGAAACGAACTTGGATGGCATGGCACTGCATGAACAGAAAGTAAGTTTTAAAGACAATTAAACCAAAAAACACAAAGGACTGCCTGCTCAGAACCTTTTCAACAGAGAAAACTGACACGAGTGGCAAAGGGTGAGGGTGACCTGTGTTTTACATACTTACTTAGCATCAAGAGCATAACAGTAACCAGACACATAGTTCATTATGACGATCAGGTCTGCCAGTGAGTACTAAGTCTGTGTGGATAAAATAGAGTTAACCACTTGGATGTGCAAACACCAGAAGGCTTCTGCTAAGTGTATTCTCAGAGAAGGCTGAGGCAGAAATCTTCTTCTTGCCCCACACTTTTTAAAATCTTGGCTCACAGCAAAAAAACTCATACTTGCAAAGTCACTACTCTGGCCATTTTGAGAATGGCCAAGAGAAATAAAGGATTTATCAGAAGGCAGGCCCTGGCTAATCCAGAAAAGCCTTTACTGGCAGCAAAAGCACATCTCTGGGCAGAAAGAGACTTTGAGAATTATAGCACAATTCCAGGCTCATTCTACCACTATACACGTGAAGGTGCAGGGTCAGAGAGATCCATTTGGCAAGTCTGCAGGGAGCATGTGTGCCCACATGAGCCAAACCTGGGACTCATCTCAAAACAGGTTCATCGTGCAAAACACAAATGGTACATAGTTAAGATGAGAAGAATGTCACCCATTTTCACTGGTACAGTTCATGGGTAGGTAGCCAAATCAGTCACTTGAAGAGACCCACTTGAGTTCAAGGACCAACACAAAACGTGAGATCCAGGCAGCAGGAGGGAAGAGCACGGATTCAGTGAGAAGTGTTAAGGAGAAGAGCAGGGGAGACCTGGCCCCAGTGTTACCATGAAAGTACACAGTGATGAGAAAGCATTCCTGCAGAACGGAGGTGATGAGACGTCCCCAGTGCAGACAGCACAAAGCATAATAGGCAGAGTGAATCTGTGGAGTAGTCACATTACAGTGTGTTCCTCCCCAAGGGAGTCGTGATCACAACTGTTCAGAAGATTATAAAACTTAATCTACAAAACTAACAATACAGTATGTGAGCACTCTTCCGGACCACTAAAAAGGAAAGACAATGAAAAGCAATGAAAGCAAGGCTGGAGGCAGAAGTAACTACTGGCTAACACATCGCATTGCCAGTAAAAATGAACATAGACTAAGAGAAAGCGTAGGAACTGAGAAGAAAAATGTAAGTAGGGCCAGAAGAATGATGATGGTGATCATGCTTATGATCATAAGTGAGTGCTTCAAGTAAGATTTGTCCTTAATTTAGGATAGTCTAAAGACATTACTGAATCAGATGAATTTACTAATTCATCCTGGCTATCAATTCAAGAACTCTGTGAAGTTATGTATCATATGGAAAGGTCACAGAAGAAGGAGCCACAAAATTATGAATTTAGTTTGGAGAATATAAATGGATAAAGAGGAAAATGAAACTTTCTATGTTTTAACTACTTGCTGTATTGACTTAAATCCCTTCTCTAAAGAGCCTTGGAGAAAGTTTAATAGAAACTACCTTCAAATGTGAATACTTGAACCAGTGTCTAATAACAGTACATTTAATAAATGGACAATATGAGAGTCCTAGTCAAAAAATCTCTCTTATACAATGAACCGTGTCCTCCTAGAACAGATGCTAAAGGGCTAGCCATGATCTTATTTGCAAGAAGGGTCTTTGAAGATGTAATTGAGTGAAGATGAGGTCACAGTAGAGTAAGAAAGGCCCTTAATCCAACAGGTATCCTTATGAGAGGAGCAGACACACCAAGACAGACCACAGAAGGCCTTGTGAAGACAGAGGCAGGAAGTAGGTTCATGCTGCCACAAGCCAAGGAATGCATGGGCTTCTAGAAGATGGAGGGAAGAATTCTCCCCTTCAGGTCTGGCCAGTGCTTCATTTCAGACACAACCTCCAGAGCTAGGAGGGAAAATGAATCTTTGTTGTTTAAAGCTACCCAGTTTGTAACCATTTACAGAAGCCCTCAAAGAATCATCAGAATAAGAAGAAACAGATTAACCACAAACTATAATTAAGCTCTTTGCTTTTCCCTAACAGTGCTAATTAGTAAAAACAATGGAAACAAAATAATATATGAATACAATACCCTTGTGGGCAGGGTCTCATCCTCTCATCACCTCCTGCAGTACCTAGCAGAGGATCCTGCTCATCGAAAGCACTCAACAAAGGTCTATTGAAAGCTAAGTGAACCACACACAAAGCATATGAGTGATCTGTACACATATGCTTTAGATGGTGTGCCATAGGCCCAGCTCACATTAACTCGCCACATAAAAATGGCACAAAAAGCATGTGAAATAAGTCCCCAGCATGAGTGCAGCAAAAGTGCAAAATATACATGAGTTTTTCAGATCTAACAAAGTTAAAATTTAATTAGACAGTTAAAAATGAAATATGAAAGTTTGTATGGTACTCTGGTACCATATTTTATATTTAATTTTATAACTTCTAGCCAGGAAAAAGAATTTTTTTCCCTTAAGTATGTCACCAGGATTCATTTGTTAAACTTTTCTCTTTGCAGTTAAGGAAAATACATTATGGTACTGAAAAAATGTTATTTTAAAAATTGTAAGCTAAGGCCTTCTGCTTCTTAGCTGAAATATTTGATGAATTCTTTCACTATGATTTTTCTCAGTTGCTTTCGAGCAGGAGATATTTTATATAGATTAGGTCGGTAGGAGGAAACTGAATACTGCAGGTATAACATAGCTGTAGTTTTACAAAGTCCCCTGGGGTGTAGCTGTAATATCGACAGATTTTCTGTAACACAGTAAGCACAATTTTCATCTCACCTTCAGCATCCAACATTTTAGGAATATCCAGGTGCTTCTCTGCAATTTCCATTGCCAGGTTAATGTTTCCTATGGGGTCATCCTGTATTTAAAAACCAGATTTTTAAAAAATTATTGAATCAGGACTTATAAATAATGCTTTTTATATCCCTCATTTAGGGCAAGATGCCTTCCTGTTCCCACACAACCATAACATGTAAGTAACTTTCCTTACCTTTTCCCCATCACTTCAAATGTTTAGAGAAGGATCAAAAATCACGGAAACCACACAACCCATGCACACTCCATGAGAGCTAAGCAAAAGATTTGAAATGCTTTGTGAGAAGAAGACAGAAATTGTTAGGGAACCTCTCACTGATAAGGAAGAACATCCTAAACACATCAGAAGTTGTTTTCCAGCCTGTGAATAACATAGTTTCAATCATTCAAAAAAATCATGAAAGCTGGAAGGTGATCTTGGAAAACGTTTACTCCAACATACTGGATTTAAACTTACAAAGCTGGGAAAGAGAGATGATGAGAAGGTGCTGCCAGTGAGATGTTAAGCTCACTAAAGAGGTTACAAAAATCATATTTCTGTGAGATTAAATGCTAAAAGAATTTACAAAACCTTAAAATTATACATGAATTCATGAAGAAAAAATTTTTGAAGAACAGTTATTTATCACTGTAAAACTTGTTAAATACACATAACATAATAAATTTAATCAGCAGCACTTAACTGACATACTGAAAAACTAGAAGACCTAACATATTTTATTTTATTAAGCAGATTAGCTGTAATGAAATTGAAATGGGACAAAATATGATAGAAAAACCAAAATGAAAATTAGTGTCACTATAGGGATGACTGTAGTCAATTTTAACAACAAAGTCATTTAAACTTTTTTAGAAACTGCAATGCTGACTGAGCACAGTCATTTTAATACAGTGAAATATTTGAAAAGCATGGGCTTCAAAAACACAGTCAATGCGCTCAGTGAAGACACCAAACTCAACTTCCTGTCTTCATAGCGTATACAATTATTTCCAGGCCAAAAAAAAAAAATCCAATTGGCTAGTGTTTTAATTAAAGCACATAACTATTTGGTTGAAAGCAGCCATCTCACTAACCAAATCTTACTTCATACTTTATAGATATATTTATGAAGCCAAATATCTAACTAAACATTTTTTCCAAAAAAATATGGAAGGACTTTGGCATTAAAAACACAGAGTAATGACTCTGAGACTTTATGAAAGTTATCTCATTTAGACTTAATGGATAAGAGATAAACTGTTGCAGTTATGTTATTGCCTAGCTCAGTCACCTGGCCATGTGACCACAGCCAGATCACCAAAGTTGCCACTTTACTGGTGTATTATATTGGGATAACAGTACCGACTTTGGAATGAAGCTCAAATAAATGTATGTATGTGATCTTACACAAGTGCACACAATCTGAGCGTGCAAACATATTTATTTATTTGTAACAGTATTTGATCTAGAACTACTAGAGAAGTATTCATTGCAGTATTCATTTTCTCATTGTAAATGGTCAATTTCCACAATTCTGAATCTTTTCATGATGAAATTGACCATTATAAACTGCTAGAGAAGCTAAGTCTATTTGGTCCAACTTTTCATTCTGCAAATTCAATAGAGATTTATGGGGAAAAGTACATGGTCTATATATTTAAAATATTTCATGGTAACTTGAGGGATAAGAAAGCATATGCCTGTGATGGCTAGGAAAAAGCTCCATTCCTGACTACAGTATTGTATAGTCTTCATCTGCAGAGTGTCAATCAATTCTTCTCATGCTCTCTATGAGTACCAGAGGGTGAGCAAGTAAGTGATAACTCAAGAGACAAGGTAACCCAGGACACCGTTCCTGTGATTGTCCACACCACACAGAGAGGGCATCATGCAGCAGGGTCAGGTTTCACATGGAAGCACACAACACACGTGAACGCCAGCTAAGCACACCAGCACCCTGGAGGAAATGTGTCTAACTACCACTGTGGAGATGTCCAACAGAGGTAGGCCGAGCTCTCAGATCTGAATTTTCACATATTGTTATTTCTAAGGCAGTGAGACTCCCATTCCCAACAGGCCCTCATCCCTTTCTGCATCACACATTACATTTTAAAACTACAGCTAAGGAATGAGTAGGAAGCTGAGTGTAGTGACACAAACTGTAAGCCCAGCATTCTGCGAGGCTTAGGCAGGAAAACTGAAAACTTAATCAATCCCAGTCTGCACAATTTAACAATTTAGCAAAAACCCTGTCTCAAAATTAAAGAATGAAGCCAGGCATTGTACAGCACAAATGTAATCCCAGCACTTGGGAGGCTGAGGTAGGAGGATCACTGTGAGTTCAAGGCCAACCTGGGCTACATAATGAGTACAAGACCAGCTTGCACTACAAAGCAAGACCCTGTCTCAAAATAAAACAAAACAGTCAAAATGTTAAAATGTAGCTCAATGTGAAGGCCCTGAGTTCAGCCCCCAGCACACCCCCCCACCCAGAATATCAAAATGGTGATCTGAGACCTAGGCACACTAAACTTTAGGCATAAAGGGAGAATTAAAGATTTCTAAGTTCAATTTTTCTGAAAAAATATCAAAACTTCTTTTCTAATGTGACAGCTAATACCCTATAAATAATCAGACAATTATCATTAGTCTATGTGTGAGGAACAAGTTATCAATCCTGAGTTAATATATCTGCAAGTAAACTTCCAGAAAGGTAAAGGAAATTTTAGCATATATAAATCTTTCTTATTACCAAATTTTTAAGGTATCTAAAGCCTTCCTAGGAAACCAAGCCCAATCATCAAGCTTAAACAGACAGGGCTCCACCGGAAGGCTTAGCTTTTTAGTACCATCCTCCCAAACAGGTAGGTGTCCTTCCTGCCAGGTGAGTGTCTGCCCTGGCAGATGAGTGACTGCCGTGATAGGTGAGTGGCCTCCCTGGTAGGTGACAGGTAACAGGGGACTGGTCTCCCTGACAGGTGACTGTCCCCTAATGGTAAGTGTTTTCTTACTCTTTCCTGCCATCACGCAAGAAGCTCATTGGTAGAACAGCTTTTCCTAGGGGCCTTGCTATGGGCAGCTAAGATCTGTGCAATTAGTGCTGATGTGCTCACTCTCAGGATGACATGCTGAGCGCAAGGTGGGGACACTGCATGCTGGGTCACCCAGAATGACCTTGTTAAGCTTGGAGTAGTCAATGAGGTCGGGCCGATGTCTGTGGATGAGGGCACAGAGTCCAAGGCCATCTTTCCAGCTTCGCAGCGTGGAGAAGAGGAGGAACTTGGGTTAACGGACAGAAGGCAGCAGGCATGATCTGGTAGGTGGGATGTGACTTCTGTCTGGCTTCACGCACCAAGAGAGAACTGTCCCCCTTTCCTGTCCAGCAAGCTTGATGGCCCCTGGGAGGCTCACTGCATAGTTCCAGCCAGTTTGTCTCCTCTTCACTGGCCCTGCCCTATGGTCTGTCCCAGTGGGGTCTGTGCTAGCACAAATGATGACAGGAAAGAAGGTGCCTCCACTGCTGTCCCCACCTTTCCTAGTTTCTGGATTTTTTCCCACTGTCTTCTCCAAGTTACCTGCTCTGGTTCTTACCCCTCCCTACAACTGTCCAGTGTCTCAAGGACACCTGCAAGGCCCATGTCTGGGAGACAGTCTTTCCAACACGTAGGACACTTTACAAGCCTGTAACTGTGGCACTCTGGGAAGCTGAGGCAAAAGGATTAGAAATTTGAAACCTGTACCTGTGCAAATAGGGACTTAGTGAAACCCTCTCTCAAAAAATAGCTGGGGATGTAGTTCAGAGTGAAGGCCCTAGGTTACATCCCTGTAATAAAAAAAAAAAAGGCCAAGGTATGAAGGTGAAGGGGACACACAGTGAAAGCAGGTTCCTGATGTAGCCTGTTTCCCATAGGCACAGCACTAATCACTCCTTGGCCATTGTGGGTTCACAGGGGCTGGTGACAGCAGGGTTAGTGAGACCTAGGCACGGAGTCCTAGTCCCCAAGGGGTTGGTGCAAGGAGGCCCTGGTAGGAGTTCTAGTTTTCAGTGTGAGAAGCTTGTGTTTATGTGGGGCCAGCAGAAGCCCAAGAAAGTGAGTGGAAATAGTCTGGGAAGTCTGCTGTTTGTTCTGGCAGAAGTCACAGTGCTTCCTAGCTCTCTCATCTACCCAGTGACTGCTTCTAGGGATAGGATGACTTCTTTTCTCATCTGTGTTCATGAGTCCTGGCTCAGTGCTGACACCTGGTAGATATTTTAATCTCACCAATCTGTCATTTTGGTCCTTCCTTTCTCTCATCGGTCACTAACCCATTTATGTTCACTCACCATCCAAAGGTGGAAACCATAACCAACTCTTCCACCTATATAGGACAATGATAAAAATCTGCATGACCAAAGCAAGTAACAAAATCATGGTCTTGTATCATGTCTGGATTTTACCCATCCCATTCCCTATAATCTTTCAAATGTTATTTTCCTGCTTGAGTTTGGCCAGAGAAAAGCTGATGGATTAGGCATCCTGAGGGACCAGGTCGCAGCAGATGCATGAAGTCTGCAGTCTGCTAGGGTGTCTGACAAGCAAGCACCCTTCCTGTTGTCTTCTCCCACCACGAAGAGATGCCCTGCACTTAGACACAGTGCTGCCTCCTCAGCATCCCACACCTTAATGGATCTGTGGGAGCCTCCAAGCATCCAGAATTCTAAGCCTCTGTTCTCCTGCAAATATAAAACTACTGCTCAGAAAGGAGAGGGAATTTGGGTATGGAAAATCCTGATTTTCTTGGCAGCAGGGGTTTCAGGAAGATGGGAAGGGCCTCAAGAGCCCTGTGCTTACCTAGTGTGGAAGTTCTGAATATTCACATTTCTGTAAGGAGCAGTCTTCCTCTGGCACCAGAGCAGCAGACCTTCCTTGGCAGACGTTTCTGTAAAGACAAACAAGAAATTGTCCATAGAGGGACACACTCCTTAGTTCACCCAACTCCTAGATGCCTTTGAAATAGCCTCGCAGGGGCCATTCACCAACATATCAGCTCTCCTTCCAGCCTCTGTAAGCAGAAGGAAGCTGAGACACTGACCCAAGAGATGAACATTTAGTAACACTTAGGGGACTTCAAAAGAACAACACGGGAGCAATCAAAATCACAAAAAATACTAAAGCAAGACTTCAGGGTGATTAGTAACTTTCTTTTTATTTTATGTATTTTTGGTTTTTTTGACGTAGAGCCCTGCTATGCAGCCCAGACTGGGCTCAAACTCATGATCCTTTTGCCTTTGTCTCCTGAATAGTGGGATCATAGCATCATAACCCCTAGTTGGCAACTTACTCTTTTTAAAGCAAAAATAGTAACTGAAAAAACATGTGGCCTCCCCACTCTGTGAGGTGATACTTTGCATCCTAACCAATGTAAATTAAGAAAAAGGGAAATAACTGGCTGTATCTTACAAAGTTTAAGCAAAACTTACCAGGTTTGAAAAATAAAACAACAAAATCCTGAAGACTTAGTAGTGACATCTAGCTCCACATCTAGTGACACCAAGTCCCACCTAATTTCTGCCTAAACATGTCTGATCGCACTCAGGGTACCGATGTCCAACAAGGTTTTCTCCTGATGTGTTTGGCTACTTTGGTAATAGCTAACTCTCTCCTTTTCTTTCTTGGAAGAGGCCCACCCATAATTCTATTAAAGAAAACTGGCTTTTCAAAATTCTCAGGGTTTTTTGTTTTTGTTTTGTTTTGTTTTTGAGACTATGTAAAGGAGGCTGGCCTTTAACTCGCTTATGAAGCCCACGTGTCAAGCAATCCTTCTGCCTCCTGCCTCTGCCTCCTGAGTGCTGGGATCCCCGGCGTGTGCCACAACATGCAGAAAAGTATTCAACTTTATAAACAGCCTCCTTTCCTATTTAATATAGATCACTAAAACAAATGAAGTAAATTTTCTATAGATTAATAGAAATTATTACTTCATAAAACTAAACTTAAAAATGTAAGTTAGCAAATTAACATTATCTGCTGTACTGGGCCCTGAAAAACATCTTCTGGAAGGGATTTAGGTGTGCTGACATGAAATCACTACTTTTTAAATGTTCAGTTTCTTAGTCTTATGAAGAACACATGCATAATATTCTGTGACATTTTACAAAACAGTGATTTTACTATTTGGGGTGTATAAATAATAATTTTGGGGAAACTATGCTGATACCATTCATAGCTACTTCTAAAATAAAATTTAAGTTTAAAATTCATATTATTACCAATTCAGAATTTGTAACAGGGGCTAGGGTATAGCTCAGTGGTCATACTCAGCGTGCACAAGGCCCTGAATTCAACAGTCTGTACCTCCCCGCAAAAATTAAACAATCAAAAATAAATAAATAAATAAAAACCAAGGTCAAATCCAATCAATCCTTTAATGTTTGCTGGAAAAGGATTTGCTAGCCCAGCTAATGTGATAGTGTGAACAAACTTTTAAAATACAGTATTTGTTCTTTAAAGCAGACTCAACTGTTTAAATTTAGAAATGTATAAAATGTGAGGGAACTGCAACAAATTATCATTATTTTTATTTAACTTTAAAATTTTCATTAGTACATGTTTGCAGTAACAACTTACTTTTATTAAAGCAGAAGTTTCTAGGAAACATTTTGTTATTTTCATTTAGCTTAAGGGGACATCCTTTAATAAAACTTCATTGTGCAGCAGTTTTCAAGTTCAGACTATTAATTCAATCTGGCTGTCATACACGAGAGCTTGACTTGAAGTTTTAATGTGATTAAGTCTTAGTTTGATTTTTAGGTGACATGAGTGGGTCTTTGGTGTTAAAATGGAATAATCTAAGTGAAATTAAAAACTAGTTAAAGGCAAGCACTGTAGCTTACTGTAGGCTTCAAATCACCTGGTATGTACATTAAGCTAGTTCTTTGTTCTTAACACTTAATGTGATGAGTAATTAAAACCACTGGAAAAAACCAATCATGGAATCCTCTGGTTTGAGCAGAATTATAAATAGTGCCCTCATTGCTCCTCATTCTTGTACTTGGGTGTCTGCTGAGTTACAAAGTTAGGGGAGGCTGACTCACTGGACAATCCACCTGCCCTTGAACATATTCTGTGGTATACATGTTGTAATTTGAGAGTTTACTAAAGCAAAGTTCTAATTTTAAGAATACCAACTTGACATTCTTCAATAGTACTGAATTTATCAAATATTTAGGAATGTATTGGGTGTAAAACACTGAAGATTTTTTTATCTTCAGTAGCAGCCCAAGGATGAAGATTCTGTTACAATGACACAGTAGTTGTTAGGCCAAAAGATACAGGGACAACAGAGATTCTGGAAAGAAGCAGGGAAGAGGGAGAATAAGGATTGAAAGACTAGCTATTTCTATTATTGCCCCCCCCCAAAAAAAAGAAAGAAAAGAAAAAAGAAAAAGGAAAGAAGTGAAGAAAGACAAAAGGAGGGAAAAAATGAACGAACTTGGGTCAATTATTTTTGCATCCCCCCCAAATATGTATTTTGATTGTAAGCCTAAAGAACTCAGCTGCAGTTGTAAATTAGCATAATAAGAAGTTCAGAAGCTTGATAAATGCTCATTTTAAAACTCAACTTCTGTTCTGAACATGTGCTCTTCTTTTTCAAAATGACTCCACCCCCATGACTGAAACTGAGCTGCTAGGGTCTTTTCCCACACAATATATAATTTATCAAAACTTAGCTTGCATGCCTTTCATTCAACCATGTAAAAGTGACTGTTCAATGTTATAACATCCTATTCAAATGTTAATTTTCAAACTTGACTTCCAAATTATACAATTAAGACTTTTGACATGGATTTACCTTCAACTGAAATATCCTGAATAGCAAAGCGAAGGATGATGGTCCAGATCATACCCAGGGTCATTTTCACATTGCCATCAACAATTTCTATAGGGGAGAAAAATAATTAATTAATGGAAAGATACCATAGTCAGTAATTTTTCCTATAGATAAGTCTGGTTTCAGAATTGTCTGGAAAATATTTATAGAGAAGACCAGTTTATGGTTTTCTAACCACCACAATGGGTCTAGTTATAGCTGTAGTATTCATAACCAAATGTCTCCATTTTAAGTGAGTTCTGAGTTAATCACAAGCACACATCTTGAGTTTCTACAGTTTTAAGACTTTATGAGCTACAGTGTTTTGTTGTTTTGTTTTGAGACAGGGACTTACTATATAGTTCAGGTCTCCCTTGAACTCATCATGTAGCTCAGGCTGGCCTCCATCTCAAGATCCTTTTGCCTCAGCCTCCCAAGTGCTACGATTACAAGTGTGTACCACCATGTCTACCAAGATAATGTTTTAAAACAATCAAAGATAGACACAGCCTTGTCTGTACTCTTACTCTTCTTACAGCCATCCCCAGCTGGTGGGAGCAAGACTGCTGTGCCCAATGAGTTACAACGAGTCCCTAGGGGCCTCCACAGGTTCTCCATCTCTTAGAATGAGGAGGCTGCTCATCTTTCTATTAATTAGTTCATATTAAGAGACCTTGGGATTCATACATTCTTCCTTTCTCCTGTAATTGCTATAAAGAAGACACAGTGCTATAATTGACTGTATTCTTTACAAATAAGACTTGAGGGGCTGGGGATTTAGCTCAGCGGCATAAGCACCTGCCTTGCTAGTTCGATCCCCGGTACCAATAAAAATGAAAAAGACAAAAAAAAAAAAAAAAAAAAAAACCCAAAAAAACAAATAAGGCTTGAGCCTGGTCACCCACTCCTGGTACCATTTGTTCTCAGCTCTGCATGGCCCTGCAGAGGGCCTGGAACAGGTTGTCCACATCATGGTGGAGGGAGGAGAGAATTCGTGTTGCAGGCTACACCTAGACCCTGAGGTCAGTGCAGATCACATGTCACACCTCTCACCTTCAGCCCCAATAGACACCAGTTTCACCCCCTTGCTGGCTATGTAATCCAAAGCCTTGTTGACATTTGCAATCTTGTGGAACCGCATTTTCCCTCTGTCTGGTTTGGGCAGCCTTTCTCCTGTAGGATGAAAAGAGAACAGTGCAGACAGAGTCATGGCTTGGTGTGGAATCAAGAAGGTGAAATTCAGAGCCTTGGTTTTCCTTAAAGAGAAATGTTTACTCACATGGTTCTGACATGTCCTGGTTTCTCTAAATCACAGGATACAAGGAACAGCAGACTCAAACAGGATCAAGACCAAGTTTATCAGTGAGGGGCCACAGGTTTAAGATTATGTGCTTTTCAAACTGACTTTGAGAGTGTGGTTTGGCCCAGAAGCTAACTTTCACATGTGTAAAGAGAGAAGTCCATTACCCTCCCTGGAGCATTTAGCACTGCTGGCTCACTGTTTGAGGAAGTTGGGTGCCCTAGTTAAAATCACAGCAGTGGCTGCCAGAGCTTGTCTTAGACATCTGCTTATGAAGATATATGGGCCAGGGTAGGCTTGCCATCCTCCTTCCCAGGCACACTTCTGTAAGGGTGATCCATCCTGTCCAGGATGAACCAGTCAATTTGAAACTCAGGGAAAATCAAATCCCACAGGGAGCTAACTCATGTGGTCAAGAGTGCTGATGACATCGACACTGCCACTTCAGACAAAAGATGATTTCTAAAATGCACACTAGCTGGAGCAACAGTGAACAGGGTGGACGGTGATATAAATATCATTTTTCTTCTCTTATTTTCTTTTGGTGTGGGTAGTATAAGCAGTTTTTAATAAGTCCATTTTAAACAAAACTCACTCTTTCTTCAGAAGAGAAAAATAACTCCAAGAAGATTGTTCTTTGAAAAGATTTTCTTTGCCAGTAATACATGTTCTTGCCTAACAAAGTTCAAAGGATAACTTATAATGAAGTCATCTTCAAACAGATGCTGACCTACTGATTGTATATTTAAATACAGGACTAGAGTATGTGTACCCACCTGAGATGACTTCCAAAAGCAGCATGAGCTTAAGGCCATTCCTGAAGTCTTCTTCAATGTTCTCAATTTGGGTGCCAGCTTTCCGCAGGTGGGAGTTACACCAGGCTGTGAAAGTCTGCAAGGAAAACCAGACTTGTTGAGCACAGGCACCATTAGACCCCCATCTTGTGGATAACTCTTGACACCTGAAACAGCCCAGAGAGTCTCAGAGGCAGGAGCTCCCTGCACCTTCTACAGAAAGCAGAAAGTGATGGGAAGAACTGTAATTCTGGAGCTAAGATTTTAGTAAAAATTTCTTCTTGGAGACAAAAACTCATGAATTTGCTATTTCAGCTGGAGGATATTTTGCCTTCAGCTAAAAAGGCTCCCACATTTACACCTGTAACTCCACCTTCTGAAAAACTCGTCCTTTGTAGGAAAGAGACTAAATTAGGATGTACTTTATTCACTGTGTACAACAAAAATAAACTTGCTTGCAGAATGGATTCATAAATAATGTTAAAGGAATATTCAAATGTCTTTCTTTAGAGCAGAGGTGGGCGATATTGTATAGCAGAAAGGAGAAGCAAGGCAGGACCCATAACCATTAATTATCAACAAACAGTTTATCTCGGATGAACAACAGTTTTAAGCTCTTAACTTAACCAATTAAACAAATTTGCAGTATATGCATTTAAAAAATAACAACCACCACCTACTACCAGCCTATTCCGGGCTGTGAGCAGCACTAGATGCAGCCTTGTTCTTGAAGGGCTCACCATCCAGTCAGGTTACCAATCAGTAGGGTAATCTTTAGCAGAAAATGGACCATATTTTAGTGGCATCCAAAGTTATTCTGTTTATTTTTCAAGCTTCTTTTAACTTGGCTCCCACTTGTGTACTATTTCCTGCCAAAGCCAGATTAGAAATGCTTCTGGCAGCTGCTAAGAATGCAAACTGTCCCCTTGTATTACAACAGCTGCTGGGCTTGAGGACAAAGTGTCTGGCATGTTAAACTGGAGGTGGGAGGCAGGAGACACACAAATAAGGTTTATCTTCAGGATAATAAAAGCAACCTCTTACAGAACATGTAAAATCATTCCCAGCAAGATTAGAAAAACACAGTGTCCATAAAAATGATTTTCTTGGTAATAAAGATTTTTAAATCTAACAGTTACTCATTTCAAGAATTATGTGTTGGCATTAAATTCAAGGGCTAAGAAAAAAATAGAATTTCTGGGATTACAATAATAACTTTTATCCTGAGAGCCTAAATGAATGTGTTTCCCCTAAGACATATCTGAACTTTAGTCAGGTCTAGACAGGGGAATATTCTAGATCTGTATCCAACTAATGTGATAGCCCTTTGCTACAAGTGGCTATTTAAGCTTAAAATTAATTAAAATGAATCTAAATTATTAAGCCCCTGAGCTGCAAATCCCACCTTTTTAGTGCTCATGGATCAGTTGTGATATGATGTAGCTGTAGAACATTCCCATTGTCATACAGTTCTGGATACTTGAGATAATAAAAGGTTAGTTTTTCAAGGTAAAATTACTGTAAGAATCTATTATTTCCCTTGATGCACAGATGCTGTTTAATCCAATATAATCTAATTTATTGATTCTTGGTGTTACTTTTCATGTAATTTGGGTTCTGTTCAGAAAGTTTTTGCCTGTGTCTGTGTCTTCAAGTTTCACCTATTTTATTTTTCAGAAGAAAAGTGTTTCTGTTTTAATATGTAGGTCTTTAATCTGCTCTGATTTTATTTTGGACAGTGTGAAAGATATAGGTTGAGATTCAGTCTTCTGGATGTGGATAAGCCATTTTCCCAGCACCATTTATTAAAGAGCCTGTTTTTTCTCCAGCATATACTTTGGATCCACTTATCAAAGATTAGATGGCTGAATGTGCCTGAGTAGTTTCTGCATCCTCTATTCTGTTCCACTGATCCATGTCTCTATTTTGTGCCAGTACCATGCTGTTTTTATGGCAGTATCTTTGTAATATAACTTGAAATCCAAAGTTGTGATGCCTCCAGCTTTTCTCTTATTGCCTTGGATTGCTTTCTCTGCAGAATGAGGGAATTTTTTTGTGAGCTATTCTTGAATACAGAACTAATATTTAGAGCAGTGATGACAAATCCTTTAAAGTTTACAATGATATGAACAGCCTACTGCAACACATGTGCCATATATCTGCCACCACTGATCTACAATATATAAGGAACTCAAAAACTATATATAAAGACCTCTTAAAAGACCCAGTAAAAAAATGGGGAATTGAAATGAATACACTTCTCTGAAGAAGTACAAATGGTCAGTAATTACTTCCTCAAAATGTTCAGCATCTTTTGCCTTTAGAGAAATGCAAATCATAACATTAAGAGCCTATCATACCCCAGAAAGAATGACTAACATCTAATACTTAAAAAAAAAGTTGGTGAGTGTTATGGCTTATGTCTAGATATCTCCCAAAGCCTCATGCAGTCACAGGTGGGACTTTTTCAGAGGTGGCAAGATCTAGAGTGTGTGGTGCTGCAATTGATTCATGGTGCAACATTAGGCTTAAAAGCACTAGGATTAAGAGTGTGAGTGTTACCCATCCTTAGTCTGATAAGAAAGACACTGTTAAGGTTCCTTTTTGCTTTGCCACCTTGTGGGCACCATGGATTGTTCTCTCTGTGCTACTCTTCTGCCAAGCCCCCTTGCCTTAGAACCAGCCTCTACAACTGAAACCTCTATAAACTGTGAACTAAATATACCTTCCCTCCTTTAACTTTGGATGTCAGATATTTTGTCTCATCAATGAAAGAAAAGTAACTAAAAGAATTTGGCACTAGAGAAGTGAGATTGTTGCACACTATACCTGACCACATGGCTTTGGAGTATTTGGAACTGCTTGTGGGATGAGGAAGGGTTAGGACAGGTATAAAGATCCAGTTGAAAAAGTAGAGCTGAACACATTAGGGAGGTGGGAGATTCTGGTTAGAGTAGAAGGCCAGAAGACTGATAGAGGTTCTACTGGTAAAGACTAGGTACAGCAGGTTTCTGCTAGAAAGAAGGACTGAATTAACTGTTAGACTTCAGACAGTGTGTGTTATACCTTGGCAGAAAATTTGTTTACATTTTTCTCATGTCCAGAGACTTTGCCTGAGAATGAAATTAGGGGTGATAGACTAATTAATCTTGCAGAAGAAATTTCAAGGCAGTCTAATGAGGTCAGGACATAGCTGCCAGATCTATATTGAGAATCAAGAGCAAGAAGGCCAAGGGAGTGATTCAAAACAAAGCAAGTTTGGCAAGAAGGAAAGCTCCCGCAAAGTTGCACTCTGAAAAGATGGAACAGAGGAGAAATTGGTCACTGAAAAGACTCGCAAGGAAAAGTCAAGTATTTCAGAGGACAACAAAAAATATGGCCTGAGACAGCACAAGAACCAGCAGGACTCCAACTTCTCTAGCCTCAGAGTTGCAAAGGTGAAGGAATTTGCTTTGAGAAGAAGACCACAGAGAACCATGTTCCAGAATGACAGCAGCCTAGAGAATTTGTTCCTGAGGATTGAATTCAGAGTACTCAGGAATCCAGGCACTTTCCCCTTAGAGCCAAGAGAGAGGGAATGCTTAGCTACTTCTCCAACTGGCAGCAGACTTTGGCGTCATCCACATGGTGCTGGTTTTAGGTGCATGCAGAATGCAAGAGCTGTGAGGTCAGAAAGACTTCCACCCAGATTTCAGAAGAAGGCCTGGGATGCCAGGAAGTGTGCCCCTGAAAGGGCAGTATGTGAAGCTGTGAGTATGAAGCCAAAGGTGCACTGGCGACTCCAGAAGTATGGAGAAGTCAAGAATAGGGTTTATCTGAGGAAAACTGCAAAGGAGAAAAACAGGCCCAAGAAAGAGGCCATGGAAGCTATCACCACCAGAAATGCCACAGAGCCACTCAAGCCTTCTAGGGTTTGTATCTTGCCATGGATTGGTTTGAATGCTGCACATGGAACTACAGGACCTAATGTTTTCCCTGCTGGATTTTGGACTTGCTTTGGTTCCATTTCTTTTTATTCTCATAGTTATACGTATCTTTTGGAATGATAATTTTTATCTTGTACCACTGTATGTTGAGGGACAGGTACCGGAGATCGAACTCACAACCTTGTACTTGTCAGGCAGGAGCTTATGCCACTGAGCTAAATCCCCAGAGAGGGAATATAACTTTTCATTTGTACAGGGACTCACAGCTGAGTTTGCTTTAAATCACAGAAGAGCCTTGGGGACTGGACTTCACAGTTGTCAAATTCCTAACAGTTTTAGAAACTCTTAGAGATGGACTAAATGCCTTTTGTGTAAAAGAATGTACATGAGTCTCTGGGGCAAGGGTGGAATGTCATGGTTTAGGTCCTGCCAAACCTGCAGTTATGGTTCAGGTCCTGCCAAAGCCTCCTGCAGTCATAGATGGGGCTTTTTCAGAGGTGGCTGAACCAAGAGTGTGCGATGCTGAAATTAAGGATGTATGATTACTAAATCAGCCCACTGATTGGTTTGGCACCACCCTAATCTTAGTAGCCTAGAAAAATATAAAGGACAGAAAGAGGTTTGTCTTTTCCGTTGCTTGTTGCTTTTGCCGTCTTCCGCTACCACAAACTGCTTCTCCTCTGCCATACCATCCTGCCTTGGAGCCAGCTGATGACGGACAAGAACATCTACAAACTATGAGCTAAACTGAACTTTCCCCTTTTAACTTTGTATACTGGTTATTTTGTCTCAGCAGTGAGAAAAGTATCTAGGACACTGAAGTTGTGGGGATAAAAAAAAACCGTTCTATATTGCTGGTGGGAATGTAAACTACTACAACCATTATAGAAATCAGTATGAAGATTACACAAAAAATTAAAAACAGAAATTCCATTCTATTCAGCTACGCTCCTAGGCATCTTCCCCAAAAAGTCAGAGATACTATATTATAGTGATACAGGCACACTTATTTTTATAGCAGCACAATTCACAATAGCTAAATCTTAGAAATGTCCTATATGTTCATCAACAGATGAACAGATAAAGTAAATGTGGTAAAAAGGATTAAAATATGATTTGTATCTGTACCAACTCATGATGAATGTAATCATTATGTATTGCAAACATGTAC